CTTAGCTTTGCCAATAGGCCTGACTGTCGAGTGAATTATCTCCGCCATCGATCCAATTAGCTCCAGTGAGTCTCACATAGCGAAATAAAATTAACCAAGTTTCTCTAGCAATTTCTACTCCCGTGGGCCCGAACCTACACTCGGTTTCGTGGTTTGCGACTTTGTCTGCGACTTTCCGGAGATAAATACTCCGGAGCGTCCCTTAGTGTTTGTTTCAGGCGTCAAGGTTTTGTTTTATTTTTCTAGGTCTTCCTACGGACTACCCTACGGCGTCTTACTCCTCCTTTCCCCCTCGAACTATTAAATACCCTTCAGTTGTCTCGGACCGCCTTCACCCATATCACGGGGTTTAGGTTTATTTCCTTTGGTCCTTGGTGATTGTTGTGTGTCAGTGCATATCAGCGTCAGTTTTCTGCTTGGGCCTCAGCCGGCTCTACGCGTCAATATAAGGCAGAGTGTTATGGGTTCTGTGCGATAGAATCCATCTTCTTCCGGATTACTTGCATCGTGTGCATGGGTGGTCTCGCACAGCTCCCAGGTCGTCGGTGACGTGACAGGCGTCACAGATCCTACACTGCATGTCGTATTGGCTGAGGATAGAGAAGGGCGGTTCATAGCTTCATCCTCGTAACTGAATCCAGTACATATTGATGGGATAATAGAGATACTGCGCATTGCCATGGTGTGGTCGCCTTGTCCTGGCCCGGTTATCTGCGCCATGGCTGCGGTAGCCGAGTGCTTGTCGTGTCTTCCGTGTAGCCCATGCACAAGTCTTGCCAGTTTGCTGACTATCCTTGCCTTGTCATCACATACTAGATTCGAGAGCGATGTTGTCAATGGACAATCATGCTATGTCAATTGTGAAGAGTCAACCCACCTGGTCTCTGGCCGATGAATGATGCAAGCTACCCGGAAGTCGTGGCCATCTTGGGATCATCCCTAGATCCCAGAAATTCGCCATCCGTGATCGTGAAAGGACACTCCTCACAAAGGCAGCTCAGCCTATGGCTTTCGTCGATTCAAATGGCTTGCCCATGGCCGAAGGTCGCCTATGCTCTTGTTGCTTTGCTCCGGCATCCAACGGCCTCGACTCGCGACGCGAGTTAGATTGCTATACGGTGCTCTAGGATTCCAGAAGGCTCATCTCGTCAAGAAGGATTGAGGGTAGCTGGCTATCCCCGTAGTGCCCAATCAGGAAGTTTCCAACCTTCATATCCGCGAGGTGTATTATGGCATTCCTTACCCAGCTTCTGCGCTCTATATAACGGCACTCTGCTTTTCTGCTTGGTGATCGCGATGTTCTTGCTCTCTTTCTACTTCGTCAACCTCCTTTCCCTTGGCTGCTCTGTTTCACTGCTTATATCTTGACCACTCTTTCATATGCCTCGCGCACCCTCGACTTTCCCTTCTTTCTCCCTTGTTTTAACTCAGTCTGAATATTCGCATTGCCCCCCTCCTCGCCACCCCTATCGCGATGAGAAATATCCATCCTCTGTTCAAAGCTTCACTAAGACCGATCCACTCATGGTTATGAAGCTTTCTCTTTCTCTCTTCGTGGCACTGACGTTGCGTAGATGACCGTCGACTACCGATACGGTATCGCCAATTCTTCACCTGACCTCTGTCTGGTACGGCGTCCCACCATAGTACTGCCTCGCTTCCTACACTGACCTTACCAGCCTACCGTATACGACATCGAGGAGGAGCGCGAAGAGGAACGGGCAAGCGGGGTTACTATCGTGTTGGCATCGGGAGGGACAGGCAAAACCCCAAAAGAACGCAAGCGTCCAAAGGTTTCAAGGCTTTTAGAGGTAACTTGACTTCTTTACGCAATAGCCCATGCGCAGCCATCATGCTGACTTGTACGTCAGGATCTGGTCTTTACTCTCAAGTTGAAATGCCAAAAGCTGCGGGGCACCCTCGTTCACTCCCCTAAGCAATCTCTCGAGGTCGACCTTCTCTCTTGAGGGGGTATTGGACACGACGAGAGACCTTTTGCCCTTGTAATATCCGTTTTCTCTGCTGCTGCTTCCTGTATGACTAGGAGTGTGATCCTCTGTATTCCAGACCTTGGATGGACTTACAGCCGTTTGCAGATCGATGGACCACCAATCCAGAAAATCGCGTATAGTTGGAGTGCGTCGGAGTGCGTCCCAGGGACGTCGGAAGAAGGTAGGGAAGTCCTGGCGGTCTGATTTCCGTCTCTCAGGGACCTAAAATTGCTTGGCCGACGTGGTCCGACTGTAAATGATTTTTGGAAAGTGGGCCCATCAATCTGCAAACGGCTGTAGTCTGCTTGCTACCAGCCTCATTCCCGAGCGATCTCTCACACTGGTGCTAAATTTGCTCTGAACGCGCTGCGGGTTAATGCGTGCTTCACACGCAGGTGAGTCACTCTCGGGCCCAGCTGATAGAGTTCTGTTAGAGCTGGGTGTGGCCCCTGAGCAGTCCATCATTCGAGATATTTTTATGTCTTTGAGTAAGGAGAAGGTGACCCGAAGGCGCCGGCGTCTTTATTTTCAAGCTAAAGCAGCGACAAAACACTGCGGGGGATGTAGACGACAAACCGGCTGCGCGACAGACGAAAAAATGCGTATATGGCAAAATAAAAGGTGGATAGAAGTATTGGCGATGAAGAAGGAGAGGATATAATTATCGCAAACTCAAGGTATCCACACAGAATGACAAGCAATGCCAGGAGCCGTGAGCAATACGACACCGATGAAGGTATATGAATGGTTAAGTGGGCAAACCGTGCCATGATCCAACGTACACCCAAACCCAAAAAGCAACCCATGGTTTCCGTTGGACACATTCCTCTATAGACTGTGATAAACTTTCGCGCAAGACGATGATAGCGAATAAATATGTTGCGACGATGTCCAATGGCCTAGCGAGAGGTCATCCCGGTGCCCCATAATCAATATTCCCGCTGCGTGAACTCCCTGACGACGAAGGCCCTTTTGTCATCGGATTCCACCTGCGATCCTAGCAGCCACTGGAGGTCGAGCCAGCTAGCTATCGCCTGAGGTTTGGAGACAGCGCTAGCGTCCAGAGTCAGACCTTCGACGCCGTCGTGTACCGCCGCTTCGAACTGGAGGTGCGGGCGAGTGACGGCTAGTCGGTGCGCGAGCACGTGGCAGGCCATGATGAAGAGCAGCACGGTCAGGATGACAGTCCAGCGAGCTTTGCATTGCAGCTGCTGCTTCTTCGATTCCGATAGATAGCACGATATCCGTTCGCGGAGAGTGGGACTGCGAGGCGGCGCGAGGAAGGCGATAGAGAAGTCATGGGATGAGGAAGGGGAGGAAGGCGTGACAATAATAGCAGGTAACGGAGACTTCTCGCTAGCGTCAGGAAGTGATAGATCTAGCATACCTCAGTATGATAGATGGCTGGGTATAATCGAGTTCGACTTGCCTAGCGGCGCTGGGATCAGCGTGTAATCCAATCGCTGGGGCAGGCGGTGGATCCGAGGAGCTGTGGCGGGAGTATTTTCGTGAGACAGCTGGATTTCGGACAGCTTTCGCTTAACGTACCGCGTCCGGAGCGAGTAGTCATAAGTAAATCCTATAAAAGGGCTTGCAGACTGTTACAAAGTTTGAGGTCTCGCGGCTTTCCCAAGAAAACAAATGTCTCGGCCTGGCGAACGAAGACAACGGCTATGCCGAGTAGGTCGGTGGATTAAAGAGTGTGGTGAACGAGCGTGTGCGATAAAAGAGCGAATAGACGATACAGCAGAGCCGTCGCAGACAGTCAAGCGCGAGGCAGGAGACGAGACGGAAACAAGGAACTGAGCGACCGCCGTCTCGATGCGCCGCCCTCGTCGGCGTGCTTCGTTACGTAATATATCCCTTCACGCTGCCCTTGATATAATCACGCACCGATCGGGAATGCGTCCGTGAAAAACATATCTGAGCGGTCTGCAGCAGCCACACCGCAATGCCTCGCATTAGGAAAAGTAAGCGTGCAGGCCTCTCTTTGACTGCAGATTCTAAGTCATTATAGAGACTAGCAAGCGGGGGACGACCCACCAAAGGCAGAAAATCAAGAAGAAGGTAGCCGAGAGCAGGCGCAAGTCCAAGAAGCAGAGCAAGAAGGACGTTACATGGAAAACCAGTATGTTGCAGTCGCCTGGACATATAACAAAGACTAAATGAACCACAGAAAAAGCCAAGGATCCTGGTATCCCGAACAACTTCCCATACAAGGACCAGATTCTTGCGGAGATCGCAGAACAGAGGAGACAGGTGCATAGCGTTGTCTATCCCATACCGTCTCAGGGTTAACGTGGCGAGTACAGGAAGCCGAAGCAAAACAAAAGAAAAAGGAGGAGAAAAAGGCCGCTAGAGCTGCAGCTTCAGCAGAGCAAGATGACGAAGAAGAGGGCTCCGAGTCCGGCTTCGATGCCGTGGGTACCACAACCATCTCTGCCCAGGCGGCAAAGTCGAGGCCTTCTGTCCCAGTCGAAGTCTTGGATGAAGAGGACGAGGTCCCCATACTGATGAACCGCGACCTCCCGAATCTCAAGGCAGTGTTGGACAAGACCGACGTCCTCTTAGAAGTGTTGGATGCGAGGGACCCCCTGCCCTTCCGGAGTGGACGGTTAGAGAAACTGGTGAATGAGGGGAGTGGTAAGAAGAACTTCGTGATAGTCCTCAATAAAATCGGTGCGTGACCTTTATTTTATTGCGGGAATGTGAGGTATCACAGTATACTGATGTGGAACAGATACCGTTCCACGGGAAACTGTCGCCTCTTGGGCAAACCAGCTTCGCACTGAGCATCCGACTTTCCTCTTCCGCTCTGCATCCGCTTTCCTTCCTGCAGATTCGAGCGCGTCTGCTGCAGCGAAAGGCAAGGCGAAAGCTCCTGTAGATGATGGCATGGGGACCGACGCCCTTCTCGAATTCCTGGGCAAGTTGGCAAGTGGCCGGGACGGACAGAAGCCCCTGGTCGTCGCCGTAGTCGGTCTCGCGAACGTGAGTTGGCGCCATTATTCTTGTAATTATTGGACGGTAGTCTAGTCGCTAATTGCGGATTCTCACAGGCTGGTAAGAGCGCTCTGCTCAACACACTCGCCAAGCAAGCTGCATTCCCCATCTACAAGCTACCTTCAATGTCCGCCACTCTACAGGGACCTACCACAACGTCATACGCGCAAGAAATCAGCCTACCTGTGGGAGACAAGCAGATCCGCTTTATCGATACTCCCGGCCTTTCTTGGGAGTCCGGTAGTGCAGAAGACGAGGATAGAAGGCTACGAGACATTTTGCTACGGTCTAGAGGGCGGATCGACAAGCTCAAAGATCCAGAGCCTGCCGGTAAGCCAGATTGTCCCATCTTGTTCGTTGAGGCTGATGTGCCCGTCACAGTGGATTATATGGTCCGACATGCTGAACACGAGGATCTGATGCTTCTGTACAACCTGCCGGCTTTCATTCCAGGCGACACTAAGGGCTTCTTGGCCGGCGTTGCCCGGGTGAACGGGCTCGTAAAGAAGGTGCGCCTCCACGTCTGCCGTGCTGCATTTCAGACGATATTTCTGATACATATCGGTTTACTAGGGCGGTGTCATAGATCATGCCTCAGCAGCGCGCGTTGTCCTCCGAGACTGGATCACAGGCAAAATTGCTCGCTACACCAGTCCTCCGCCCTCTTCCTCAGCATCCGCAAGCGCGACTGATGACCACGCTAAGGATCAGGACGTTCTTGAGAAGCTAAAAACCAGGAAGGAAATGAGGACTAGCCTTGGTCTGGTTAAGATGGCTCCTGGGACCATTGAAGACCGAATGCCTGTCCTGGAGGAGAGCTGGATTGGCGAGAGCGAGTCTGATGAAGAGCAGGAAGAAGGAGGGGGGGTCGTAGACGGTGAGGAGGATGAGCCTGACGAAGACGCCAGCGAGAGTGAAGGCGAGGATGAGGACGAAGATGAAGATGTATCGGATGATGAAGAGGTCTCCCCGGACGAGGTCCCTTCGCCTGCCCCTGGCAAGCGGAAACGGACTGCAAACGTCTCTACGAAGAAGACTCCGCCTTCTAAGAAGGTTGCCTTTGCGGCTCTCCCGAAGGAGTCCAAGCAGTCACGAAGTGCCGGCTCTATGCAGGGGAAGAGCAAGTCGAGACCTCCTGTTAAGGGTAAGCTCAACTCCAATAAAAGGCGACGATGAGGGCTTGTCCGCAGACACTGGCATGTGCATCCTGGTTGTTAGTTGACCGTCATGTTTTTATTCGGGACAACGTGACAGTGCGATAAATCCAGGATATGGTTGCTGCTCATCTGACTCTGAGCGATCCAAAATACAACAGTTACCTCCTTAATCTACAAAACCCTATAGCTATACTTGAGGTTACAATATGTACCACTGCCCCACCAGCAGATACCATAATGAGAGCGAGAAAATCCGCTCAGAATAAATCAAGAGCAGGTACTTGACCGTTCTTAAGCAGCAATTTTGACCACTGCCGTCCCACCATCACGCAGTAAACTCCTGCTACTGAATAGATCTGGCGCATTTTCGAAGGGCAGTACCTTCTTGTCTTCGTTGTTCGTCTCCTCGTATGTGTCGACATCGGTCGGGCCTGCCCAGGGCCGGATGCCCAAGTCCTTCACCATCCGGAGGACCGCGTTTAGGGTATCTGAGATGTCCTCCCCCTCCATGTCGACGTCCGCCGAGACGCTGACCCACGCATACCCAACCTCTTTCTTCTCCTTCCCCTTCTCCCTGAGGCTGTCCTTGCCCTTACTCTTGACGCTGCCCTTGATGCTGGGGCTACCGTTCACCAAAGCAGCTGCAACCTTCTCCCCAGCTGGAACCTTTTTCACGCTGCCTCCACGACTGAGGCCCATGCTCCGTAGACCCGCCCAGAAGTGATCCTGAGCGGTTGGCACGACCCGCTCAAGAAGATCGCCGACAGTGGTAGTGAACTGCGCAGCGGCGAGTCCCGAGCCTCCGCCCATGATATTCTTACACGCGACCCAGACGTCTCTCCCACCGATGGTGTCAAGAACCATGTCGAACTCCTCCCCATCTTCGGAGAGACGTTGGATGGCCTCCAGGATCTCCTCACGGTCTCTCCCATCTCCCCTAGTAGCGGATCCCCAGACGATGTCAGAGGAACCCCAAGCGCGTATCCGTTTCTCCACGATCCTCATCCGTTCCTCCACATCTTCATTCAAGTCCACCTCACCCTCACCGCCGTCGCGGAGGCCCAGGTCAATGACACCGCCCGGCACGAAGACCGTCACATCGACGCCCCGTTTGCTCAGCATTTGCGTGACCATTGCCCCCACGCCGTCGTGGCCTCTGATAATGAATGCCCTCTTCCGCGCAAGGTTTCCTTCGCTCCCGATAACGCGTCTCAGCTCGATCACGCGCTCGAATGTCCGCAAAACACGGTACGCAGGAACGCCGACGGCCGGCAGCAAGGCTAGCTCCTCCAGCGACAACATAGTGGGCGCCGGCATGCGACTGTTCGTAAGCGTCCGGGAGGAGGATAACGACTGGGAACGAGCGTGGGACGACCGAGAACCGCCTGGAGATTGAGAATCCGAACGGGAGTGCTGGGACCTGTACGACGATGACCGGGACAGGATGGCATTGCCATCAGTCCCAGGAGGCGGAGGAGGGGGAACGCGGTGTATTCGATGCCGCTCAAGGAGCACGAATTCGGACAGAGCGCCGCACTACGAAAAGGCTCGTAAGCTTGGGGTACCAACTCGGCAGACCAGTTAATGCTGCTTGATGTCATGAATACTCACTTTTCTGACGTCCAACATCCCAACCACCCATTCGTTCCGCCTGCACACTTCCTCCCTCACACTGCTGCCAACCTCGACTGCGCGTCCCACCAGACTCCTGCCAGGCACGTAGCCAACGGCCTTTCCTGCCTTCCCACCGGCGATATCAGACACGACCTCTCTAACGAGCCTCTCGTCTACCACATCTAATCCTGCTGCCCAAACCTGCACGAGGACAGAATTAGCCGGTACGTACGACGGTGGGGAGAGATGAGAAGTGAGCGCGAGCGGTGTCTCGGACTCCGAAACGTGCCTGTGCGCAAAGGCGCCCTCGTCCTTGCTAGTATTCCTTTTGAATATGTTCCTCTTCTTGGACAATGTACCTGCAACGCCCTTGACTACTTCGACAGTCGCCATCGTAGTAGTTGCCATTCCGCTCTGCGTCAGATCGACTTTGCCGCCGCCGCCGCCATATTCCTTGTTTTTCTTCCTGATCCCCAGGAGTGTCTTCTCCGGGGCGAGGCTCTGACCGGCGCGTGGCAGGACGAGACCAGTGTAGGTGTGCGTCGCAGTACTCGAGGAGCTGGCAGGCATAGGCGTAGGAAGATTTCGCGTGGTATAGCTTTGGGAATATGCGCGAGCATGACCGTGCCCCGAGCCTGATCCGCTAGCCAGTGAAGGAGAGCGGCGACCATGACTCTGAGAACGGGGTATATCGGCTCCACCGGAGGCGCTAGAATTGGAGTGGCTGCCATGACTCGTGTGGGAGTGAGGTGGACGCAGCTGGGATGTCGACGGGGTACTCTGAACTCGCAGCCGGCGGCGAGAACGACTCGAGTAGTTGGAGTTGCGATTGCCCACGGAAGACAGATCATCCTCGTCTTCTTCCATGACCGCGCTCATCCGCTGTCGCTCCTCCTGATCCCACGGGTAATATGAATAGCTCGAGTCTTTGACTTTGCCTTTACCTTTCGACGGGGGTACAGTGCCAGTGGAGCGCGTCCCCGAGGCAGCAGCCAGGTTTACGGTACCGTTCGATGGACCTTCAGGCTGTAGCCAGCGGACATCTTTAGCCCAGTCGTTGCTCGAGTACACCGCTTTCCTCCTATCCTTAACCTCAGGTCCCATACCGGCTCCGACAGATTGCGTGCGTCTGTGTCCATGCCCTCTTTCCCTCGTTCTCTCGTTCGTGACTGTGAGGGTCGTAGCGCTAGATTGTCCAGCGGTGGTGGATATAGTGCCCTTCCGTTGTAGGGAGTGTGTACGATGGTCGTTGACAGACTGGGTGGGGCTGGTAAGATGAGTCGAGGCGGTCATTGGGTTCGTGGAAGAGGAAAAAATAGATGCGTCGTCCTCGGTATCCGAGGAACTGCTGGAGGAATACGTATACGAATGGCGTCCACTCGCATCTCCGTTCGACAGCGAGGGCGTCTGTGGCGTAGATGGGAGGGCGCGTCTGGGGAAGGTGAATGACGCGAGAGACGACTGCGGAGGATTCGGTTTGGGGGGAACAGAAATGGGAGCAGGAGGGATAACTAAGGCAGTATCGGAGAGCGCCATCGAGGTGTGCGGCGAGTTATAAGGGGAAGATAGAGGAGTGTAGAATACGTCGTTTTCCGAGTCTGAATCGGAGTCTCGATGTCCCTCAGGAGTACCGTCGTCATTTATAACACGGTGAGACGGGGATTGGTGTATTTGCAGAAAGGCTGGATCAGAAGGCGTGCCGGGACGGTGGGAGGATGTGCTGGCAATCCGGGAGCGCGAGGATGCATCGGTTGAAGTGACGTCTTCTCGAAAAGGTCCTCGTCGAGGAGATGAACCGAAGATAACTATATCGGGGATATTTTTGGGCTAAGACAGCAAGAGGACAGATAAGAAGCGCTATATGAATGGTGGTACAATAGGCGTTCAGTACATCAAGACGCGCACCTCATATCCACCCGCCCTTCCGACTCCCGCGTCTTCCTCCGTACTGGTCGCAGCGCGTAGCAGCTCGGGCTTGGAAGAGTAGTACTCCCTCGCTGGAGGGAAGGCGTAAGATCGGGACGGTTTGTTCAGGATGACTTGCAGGACGCTAGGTTTGGGCATAAAGCGCGGAACGCGAGCTCGCTGTGGTGTTGATCAGCAGAGGCCCAGGAGCTGTCGCAGTGTTTGTATGTGCAACGAGGCAATGAGGCTGTCCCGCGCGAATATACGGGCTGACTTTAAGACCATGACGTGTGAGCCGGCGGTAAGTCGTGGCTGACACTGCTTGATTAGATCCTCGGACGCGATCGTCGCTAGCGATTGCAGTGATGATAAGACAACGTCCAGGCGGCCTCCTCTGGAGGCGTGAGACCGGTCTAAAATCGACCGGTATATTCGTTCACTAGACAAATCAATTTCGGTCGGTAGAAGGCTGAAATTGTCCGCTTACCGTACGAAAGACACCGTATCATTTTGTCCCACCAAATTGTGAATTTCGACCCCCCCTCAGAACGGCCGAAAATGACATTTTCCAACCGTTTAGTGGTCTATTTCCATCTGGTCATTCAAACCACCATTCCTTGGCTTTGGCACCCCTAGCAGTCAGTGTGCAATGCAGTTGAGGCACCAACATATTTGTATATTCTCTATGTAGAATAGTACAGCAAACTGTGTCATACCCGCCCTGACCCTGAACCATGCATCCCCCAGCCCCCCCTCCTCGGGGCTCCCTATTCAAATCCCTACCAACAGCAACAACACAAAGACTACCTGCCAGATGTTAGATCAGTAGAAGTCATACCACGGCCTCAAGGAAGCACTCACGTACTCGCATAGCTCGACAAGGGGATGGCGGCAAGGTGGTTGATACACCGATCCTGTCGAGATATCTTAGATTCAGTAAACATATTGTACAACGGGTACCATACTCACTTTACAACAACCAACCAACTATCAGGCCTACGACACAGACACGTATTAGACTTCGTCGAGACGCAGGATCGAGAGAATGGACGCACCTTAGTGACCGAACCGCGGCCATCATCTAGCCTGCGACAGTACACGCTCACCGGGGAAGAAGGGCCATGTATACCAGCGGAGCTGCTCACTGCGGCGTCGGCGGCGTCGGCGGCGACGACGGCGCAACAGCGAGCTCATGGCAAGGGCCGGCGTCGAGGTCAGAGGCAAGTTGAACATGTCACGAAGTGACGCAAGTGGGGCTATCATTCCGATCTTCGAACTCCGACCTGTGGGTTCTCACGACTGCTGCTGCGGATTCAACAGACAGAATTCGACCGTTTATCGTATGGAATGCCCAAGTTTGGAATTCCAACTGGTTTCCATACGGCAAGCTATTTCGACCTTATTCGACCACTTTTTGGCCGAAAGTACAAAATTGACCCATTACCGGTCTAATTTAGGCCGGCCTGGCGCGCACAGTGCTCGTCTTATAAAAGCAATGAATTCCACCTCAATGCCGTTCGACCGAACTCGAGGGTCAAGGCCTTGGGGGCATAAACTTACCTCGCGAAGGCCGATGGAAGAGAACGCCACGTGGCTCAGTGGGAAGGGGAGGTTGACTTCGACCATTGTTCAATTTGTTGGACGGGTACGATGGCTTCTTTATATCGTCAGCGGAAAGACCCTAGTGTGAAATGCAGCGGGATAACTCGCGTCGCTTCATGCTCGTACCGCTATATCGTGTCATGGAGCACCCAGCGTGAAAGGCTTACCAACGAGAGCTGACAGCTGCACGACGAAGTCAGGATAAGAATGATGTATGCTCAGACTGATCTACAGCATACCCTCATCTGTGATCGGAGGTCACGGAATTCAGTTCTGATTGTATGCGTCTTGATCTTGAGTGGAGAACGGTAAGACCTCAACATCTGTTCAAGGCATATGGTGGTCAGGGAAAAAATGATAGGCAAAATGCAACGCACATGAGGGTTGCGCACCTGTCAATGTCAATGCTTGACCCGCGTACATAATGCGCTCTCGCCGGGCAAGAAATCATCCAGAAACCTGTCATCCGTGCCAGTTATCAGAGTGAGTACGGCAGTACAATCACGAGCTAAGTTCTACTGACCTAAAGAGATCCAGAGCCGAGCAAAATTCTTCTCCATTTGTGCTCTTCCTTGTGTGCATGTCCAGCTGCAGACGACTCACAAGCATCAGAGGTTCGGATTCATACATGCCTCACAAAGCGTCGGATTGGATCGTTGCGTTAGGGAGGCAGAAAGCACCTTTTTCGCGGTTTTCAACAAGGCGTATGTTGGACGGCCCAATATGTCCATAGGGCATGGATACATACAAAGAGCCAGACGCGCCTTGCAAGTCCTAATGAGCGCGTCAGTCACGTGACGCCCGGCTTACTCCTCGAGCGTTGCCCCGACTTGGAAATTTCCAGCGACCTTCCCTCAGCATTATTCCTCGCGGTGAGGGAGCCCCAGAGATGTCTAGCAAAAAGGCTTCGAAGTCCGACTCTCGGTTCACACTTGACTCGCGCTTTGCTGGAGAGTCTGACGCCGAGTCTTCAAATTCTGCAGGTGCTTCACTCAATCGCCCGGACGAAGTAGCTCATGATGGCGCTTCAGGATCTGAGCGCGAAGAGGAGACTCAAGCTGATATCCACGAAAATCCTGAACGAGAGCATGAGGGCCTGGGGCGAGGAATGGCCCCCGAGGGTTTCTCGGGCCCTGACAAGATCGTAAAACCTCTAACGCCGGAGGCATTGGCTGCGTTCAAGGCTGCACAAGAACGAGCTGGAGTCGTATACATCTCGAGGATACCTCCAGGCATGCAGCCGAGGAAGGTGCGACACCTAATGAGCGCTTATGGAGAAGTAGGCAGGGTGTACTTGCAGCAAGAAGGTAGGAAGCATCCCTGGTGCACGAAGGGTGCGTCGCTGATCGACATGCAGATCCCAAGCGAGCCTACTTACGGCGAAAGTATACTACGACGAAGAAGCCTCATTTCACTGAAGGCTGGGTGGAGTTCAAGGACAAGAAAGTTGCTCGCGCAGTGGCGGAAATGCTTAATGCACGACCGATCGGCGGGAAGAAGGGTTCGCGATGGAGAGACGATGTCTGGACCATGAAATACCTTCCTAAATTCAAGTGGAACATGTTGACCGAGCAAATCGGTGCGGACCCCTTCACAGTAATTTGTCTCCGTGTGATGCTCATGTATGAAAACTCGCAGCCCACGAAGCCGCTATTCATACTGCGCGCCTACGGGTCGAGCTCTCACAATCGCGGTCAGAGCAGCATGAGTACCTCAAGAATGTGGAGCTTGCAAGAGTTCTTGACAAAAGAGCGGAACGGAAGCGGCAGGCTGGCAAAGATGCAGACAATGCGCCCAAGCCTGATCCCAAACGCAAGTCCGACGAGAGTAAGGATGAAGAGAGGAAGTCGAAAAAGCGGAAAGTTGTTCCGACTGATTCTCAAGCCAACGAGAAGCAGTTGGAAAGTGTTTTGGATAGCATTTTCTAACGAGCTCACTGTGATCTTGTAGTAGATTGTAGTCAAGTTGTAGCGCCTGCATATAATAATTTCAGTCCAGACTTCGCCGCGAAGTGCACGCACGGACCACTTGCCGTAAAGGGAAGTTTGAAGCGGAGACTCAAGTCGAGCGACGTGGAATTCGCCGAGGCCGGCGTTGTTCTCCATCGCGAACACAGGCAGCGCGCAGGGAGCGTCGACCAACGTCCACGCCTTCGCCGTCATCGTGTCTCGCGATCTCTAAGAGGTCTGTCTTTTACCATGCTGGACTACACTCAGTCCCTCGCTCTCTTCCGCTGTCGTACAATGTCGTCTCATCTTTCTCTCTCCTCAGTCCTTTTCTCTTACCATGTCTTGGGCTTCTGCTGCGTATCCTCCCCCTCGCCGCTCGCGTTCTCGGTCTCCTTACCGCGCGGGATATCCGCCCAGAATGGCGCCAGATGCCGATGCGTATCGTCCTGATTGGGACGCTTACGACTACGGGAGGGACAGAGCATGGGTAGACTATGAAAGAGACAGGGCTGCATACGATTACGGTCGGAGGGGCAGGAGTAGGAGTCCTCCGGCAGATGAAGGTGCGCTCTTTCTTCGCGAAAGACGCGTCTTGCTCCACGTCAGATTCTTACATTCATTAGCTGGACGAAAGCGTCGCAGGTCGCTTTCTCCATACGACCGGGCTAGGTTCGAGCCCAGACCTAGGTACGGGGATGACTATGGTACGTGTTCAGTTATGTATCCGCGACGCCGCGCGCGCTCATTGAAACCGCCATAGACACGCATTCACGCGCCTATGATTACACATCGCGCGGTCCATATCCCCCGAACCCACATGGCGGCTACAACCGTCGGGCTCCTCCAGACCCTCACACCTTCGACTACCCTGCCAGTCTAAAGCAATATGCGGAGTGGTTCCGATACTTCTATCCGCAGGAGGCTATAGAAGAGGACAACGCGGACAAGGCCGCGGAGCAAGCAGCGGGCGACGGCAGTAAACCTCGTAATGGGATCAAGACGAGGTGGGAGAAGTACAAAAAGGAATTTGCGTCTGTTCAGGTCAGTGTCACGCTTACTTTGCCCAAATTACCCTCATGTTCCGGCGGAACCCTCCTGTGTTCGTCGCGTTCGATTTTGGAGCATGAGCTAAAACAGAGTACATTCTGTCTTGTAGCTCCAACGCATGTTCGATCACCACAGAAAATCTCCTTGGTTCGCAGAAAAATACGATCCCTCACCAGAGTATGTTAACCTCCGTAAGCGGGTGAGGAAGGAAGGATGGAGGGGCCGACTCAATATGTTCTTAAACGATCTCGAAATCGGTAAATATGATCCTGAGTTGAAGGAACCGGAGCCAGTTCCTGCTTCGCCGGTCAAGGAGAATACCTCGTCTGCCCCTGCTGAGAACGGTGCTGCACCGGACGCAGGAGACGCTTCCGGCATGGCACCAGCTTCAGAAGAGCATAAGGCTGAGGATGAGGCACAGCTGGAAGGGGATGACGAGGCTGGAGACAACAATAATGACCCTAGCAGGGCTGAGACTAATGGCAAGCAGTCCAATGACTTGAAGAAGTCAAACCGAGGGGAGGAAATATCCGTCCCTCCTGAGGACAATCAAGTTATGATTCGGACGATTCCGCCTGACATTGGTCGTCTGAAGTTAGAAGAGGTACGCGCCGTGCTCGATCTCTTCTGCAGATAGCTGAGGCGTTTATCACCTAGGCATGCGGAAAGGTTCCGGGCTTCGTGTACTTGGCTTTGGGTGATCCTCTCCAGAAACGCAATTACTATCGCGCCGGCTGGCTCCGCTTCCGACAGGATGCTGACATGTCCACCGTCATGTCTGAGCTGTCCGACAAGAAAGTACGTGGCGTACTAGATTCCGTCCCCAGTTCATCAGTTTACCCGTGTATTACCAGATCGAAGGCTTCAAGCTGCATGTGACGCATAATGTGAAGCCGTTCGTAAATAGGGTCCGTTACGCGCCAGAGGTGTCAAACAAGCCCGACAGACTTGAGAAGGATTTGGCGAATGCCAGAACACTTGCTGCTAAGTTGGAGCAGGAGTATCTCGAATTTCGAACATGGCAGCCGCCTAAGCCTGAGCCAGCCGCGGGCGGCGACGCTGACAATGTGAAAGCGAACGGTGAAGATCGTGATGCCACTATGGCGGACACGAACGGCAGCTCGGAACAGGAAGAGGACCCTGAGCCAAATGAGAAGGGAACGGATGCTGTCGAGCGAAGGATTGAGAAGGTGATGGCAGACTTGGTTGGTCAAGGTCTTGTTGATGCCAGTGACGAGAAAGTTTTGAATGCAAAGAGGGTCAGTCTATCGGTTGGTGTTGAGAGCACGGAATATCTGACATGGTTTGCGGCAGACTGTAATTGCTTTGGATTTGTATCTTGCTTACCTTCGTGCTGCTTTCAACACGTGCTATTATTGCGCGGTTGTCACCGATCATGTCGAAGAGCTGCATCGTAAGTGTATAAAGCATACGAGAAAGCCAATGTCGAAGTCGCTCCTGGAAGAAATTCGGGCGGCTGAGGCGGAGAAGGCCGAAAGGGAGAAGGAAGAGAACGTCAAAGAGGAGGAGGTAGAGGACAATAAGGAGAAAGACAAGGAGACCGCCTCCAAAGACAAACCGGCTGAGAATAGGGACTGGAAACGGAACGGTGAGCGTGTTGAAACACATTCATGTGGTTCTTGGACTTACTCTCGCGTAGACGAGCGGTGGCTAGAATGGTTGGATTCGAAGGTGGCTTTACTGATTAATCGTGACGGCGTCGATCCACGCGATTATGGAGGGAAGAGCTACGAAGAGTGCGTATTCCATACAACGTTATCGATGGGTCCGGCCCTTGTACTAAACAGCCTGAAGGGAGCTCTCACGAGCCACGGAACAGTATATAAAGCAAGAGGATGAAGGCAAATTTCGGTGTAAAACCTGCCAGAAGCTATTCAAAGCGACGTCCTTCGTGGAGAAGCATATCGTGAACAAACATCCAGAGCACGTGAAGAGTCTGGAAGATGTGCGTAACCCCAGTACGACAGACTGAACCAGTTACTGAACATGCTGCAGATTCCTTACTTCAACAACTTCGCGTTGGATCCGCACCGGATACAGCCCTTTTCTCACCCTCCTCCGGCTGTTGGCAACAGCCAGGGTCCGCCCCCTCAAGCCTATGGTCTACAAGCCCCAGCTGCTGGCTATCCTCCACCAGGGGATTACGCCCGCGCTCCGCCGTATTACAACGGATATTATCCTCCACCCTACGCAGGCGCGCCGCCCTACTGGGACCAGTATGCCTATCCATATCCGCCACCTCCTGGTTACCCACCACGACGGGACGAAGGCACGATTGCTCGACGTCTCAGTGATCGTATAAGCGGATATGCGCCCGGTTACGATCCGGCAACAGAACCTCCGGTGATCCCTGCAGGAGCGGGCTTGCCGGCGAAGCCCGCCCCTATGTTGGAGCCCGGACCTGGTGGGAGGAGAGGCGGTCGCGCCAATAGTGGGGGTGTACCCCCGCCTCCCCCGCCTGATGCGAAGGAGGATCCTCGCGCTGCCGCGGGGAGGAAGGTTAGCTACCATGATATGGATCTCGTCGCAGAAGGGGACGTCGAATTGACTTACTGAACTCGCCGCACTGTTTCCACCCCTTGCTAGACGAATAATCATTTGACTTCGCTGTACCTTTTGCTATGCCAGCTGTTATGTATTGGGGAGATGTGTCCTGCTGCAACGAGGCCGGTTATCGAATTCATTCGTGATTCTCGCAGTGAGTTCTCTTCGGATACTTTTTGGGTAAGGAGCGTCTCTGTTTGTCTGTGTTTCGCCACAATCCAAAGGTTTCCTCCTCCTTACGCTTGCAAGCACAATTAGTCGGGAGTGCTCTACCTGTCCCTGCTGTGCATTGGACGTCTGCATGGACGTGCAGGAGTGAGGCTTCCGGACTGTCTGTTTCTGTTCATTTGGGCACACGGGTGGACGATTCCGCAGGTTTCTTTCTGGGTCTTGATTGCGACGCTTCTTTATCCTGTCTATTTTGTGGGCTTCCTTCTGACGAACGACAATGACTGGTCCAAAACTCCCTGCGGTTCGACTTCCAGCGCTAGGTGGTGAAAGGGAGGGTATAACGCAGGATGTTGTGGTCGAGCTGCCTCCGTCGAGCAACAAGTTCAGTTTCGCCTGGCCGGCTGAAGGCACTCCAATGGCACCCCCTCCCCCTAGCGACCGTACAATGAGTCTGAGCTCTTCGGATTACGAATCGGAGCTGTCGGAGGAAGAGGCATTACCCCAGGTATGCGGTTCGCAGACGCAGGTGGCGGAAAGTGGCCACGACACTACGCCCAAGAGCCGCCTCAACCTGGACCAGAATCCAATCGAGCAATACGTGCAACCGGCACCAACACCCCCTCGTCTCTCTCGTGCCTTCTCTATGCCCCTCCCTCATCAGCTGAGTTATCTTCAGAACCCGCGGCGGTCGCCTTCTGTCTCGGGAACTCAAGTGTCTGAGCCAGACGAGCCACCTCCGGAATCCTCCCGATTTCATGAACTCTCCTTGGAATTGGCAGACTCAGTACAAATGGTCATCCAAACTCTTCTTCAGCTGTCCCCACCTCAGGTCCTGGATCCCGCCAAAGAACAATTCTCGGCATGCTCATTATCTATCCCGACTCCTTCGGTATCTGCCATGTTCACCTCTATGAAGAACCTTAACTATATGTCTGCAAATATGACCGCCTTCAGTTCAGATCCGTCAGATCCACGAGCGTCTCCTCCCCCTGGAACCTTGCGGTCAGTACACGACGACTTTGACGTGGGTGAGATGCTCCAGAGTGTGGGCGACGCCTTGAGTGGCGTAGCTGCCCAGGCCGGAGTGGATCTCGTTCTCTTCCACCACGACGTGGGCTTAAAGCATGTCGCAGTCAAGGGTGATGAATGTGGTGTCTCTTATGCCCTCTCGCACGTGAGTAATATCCATCGTCAAGTTCAGACCAATGCCAACTTCATTGCAGATTATTCGTCAAGTCATTAGTACAGCGAAACGCGGTGATACCATTGAGATTGGTCTTTCTGTCAGAATGCACGTGCCCAAGTCGGCAGAGCCCCCCCTTCCGACCGATGCAACAGAAGGGGACGTCGAGGAGGACACTTTGCCCGTCGTCGACCTGGATGCACCCATCCGATGTGTTTTTGAAGTCTTCCACAAGTTCTCCCGCACTCCTCCTATCACCACTTCGCCCGATAACGAGCCTCTGTCGCCCCCATCGCGTCCTCGACCTCAGTTAAATAGTTTGTTACTGAAGCGGTTACTCCGCCACATAGGTGCTTCCTTGGATGTTGACCTGCCGACAAGAAATCACAAACCAGGTCGTACTTGCCAATTGACGATGTGCCTGGAACGAGGGGATCCTTCAGCGGTCAACCCCGCCGTCAATGTCGGTTCTGAAGAAGCTGGATATTTCTTAATGCCAGAGATCCGATTAGCTAATGAGCCGACGCTGGAGGAATTGCTACAATTCGTCGAAACGTTACGGGGGAAGAAAGTGGACCTGTACGCTAGCGCCAAAGGTTCATTTGCGCATCATCTCACCAGCTACCTGACGGCATGGGGGCTGGATGTGCGTCACGTTTCTCCTGCCGAAGGCCCGGAAGATCAAGGCGAGGGCTCGCCTGAGGAGCCTACTATTCCGCTGCAATCGTCTCCAAGGGATGATCGTCACAGTCCCATTTTACCCGCTCAGATGAGCAGCAGTTCAGAGTTCAAAGCACAAGGAAACCCAGATGGACCTTCGTCCTCGCCTCCGGGTAGTTCACAAGCGCTGTCTTTCATCTTCATTGATGACGACGTGTCTGTCCTGCGAGAACGGCTGAAGAAGTTGCGAGCCGAGCAGCCACAACCTCCAAACCATACATTGGGTGGGCGAAAGCGGCCGTCACTGGCTGCATTCCATCGTCCTCGTTCGTCGCCGCATGTAGCCAGGACTATGGGTTTCCAGAACGCACTGCCTCTTCCACCCCCTGTAGTGATCGTCCATTTCACTAGTTTGTCAAATTTCAAACTCGTGAAGGATGCCATTCACTCCTTGCTTGCGCCACCAAACGGTCCTTTTATTCGACCACCCGAAGTCATCGTGATTCCCAAGCCCGCAGGTCCCCGGCGTTTTCTGACAGCACTACACACCGCCGTTACTAAACCCGTGGTGGATCCCTTCTTTTCTCCAATAGCGACTTCACCCATCAGCCCTGGTTTGAATATCAGTCACCCATTCTTCCAGCACTTTGATAGAAGTCCTAGGTCGCCTCTGTCTCGTCCGGCGCGTACTGGAACGGATCGCGGGAATCGTTCGCCAAAAGATGACTCAGTGCACACTCTCAATCTCCCACCCCCTTCCCCGTTGGGTATGTCGGATGGCATGGAGTATTTCTCTGAGGCCGCTGTAGAGGCCGGTATGAAGTTGGGACACTCACCTTCATCTGGCCTTGTAATTCAGAGTCCAGATGGTTCCCCTGCCGGAATCTTCTTCCACCCTGGTGCAGCCAAACCTCCCAAAGGCTCGACTCAGAGTGTGCGCATGGAGCGGAATCCGGCAGAACTTGGCGTTAGTCGTAGAGGTAGTACCCCCAGAAAGGCGTCGGATGAATTTCGCCACGGACAACGCGACCCAGGCACCGCACCCTTCTTATCCTCCACAGCATCCGTCATCCGTCGACCATCAGGCTTGCCAGGTGGTTTGGACGGTAGTCTGGCTTCGCCCAGGTCTGACCCTGGTCATGTATCGCCGCAGGTCATCACGCCGATCGAGTCACCGGGACAGGGTACTCCCCATGTGGCCTCTCGTCAAGGCAGCCAGGGCGATATCTCGGCAAGAAGTGGTCAGGCTGGTCCAGCTTCCCCTCGACCTAGTCCTGGTGGAGCGGGTGCTGTGCATAAGAGACCTCTCCGGCGTCCCACTGTCAACCGCAAATCCACGGGAATTTCTAACGCCAAGAAACCCGTTGATCCTAGCATTGTACCTCCCATTAGCGTGCTCATAGTTGATGGTGCCTTCCTCCCTACGTCTGACTATGAAGGGATATCTCTAACCTACTTGTAGATAACCCCATCAACCAAACTATCCTTTCCACGTTCATGAGGAAAAAGAAGATCAAGTATGACGTTGCCAAAAACGGTGAGGAAGCGGTTGAAAAGTGGAGGAGCGGTGGTTTCCATTTGATTCTGGTTAGTGGAGTCTGGTCCTCATGCATGATGGTAAACGCTCATGCGCGTACGCAGATGGATATCCAAATGCCTGTGATGGATGGAATTCAAGCGACGAAGGAGATTAGGCGAATAGAGAAGATGAGCGGATCCCAGGGTTTTCCCACTCCCCAGTCGGAGGGCGCTGATACTCCCTCGGATTCTTCCAACAATTCAGCCACCACTCCCTATCGGTCTTCCGTTATTATCGTGGCCTTAACGGCATCATCGCTGCAGAGCGATCGTGTGGCGGCCCTGGCCGCTGGGTGCAACGATTTCTTGACCAAGCCGGTGTCTTTGCAGTGGCTCAATAACAAGATTATCGAGTGGGGCTCAATCAAGGCACTACAGATGTGGGCCGATCTCCGACCTGAGGTCGTGAAGAGTATATCGAGTGGCCAGGCTGCACAGGCTCAGAGCGTCGCCCAAAGACTCCACGTTCCGGAAGGTCGCAGTCCCTCGGGGTCCCCTAGTAGGTCATCGTCTTTACGACGTAAGGCGCGAAGCGTGGAGAATTCTGAGACAACGACTCCCAAACCTCGACCTGCCCCATCTCCCATTGCGCACGACTCTCCGGAGGCTTCATCCTCCGGGTCAACGGCTACGGTCTCGTCGGATAGGCCCGCGGGCACAGGAAGTAAGCGTTCATTTCCCTAATTTCCAACGCGTTTCATTCATAGCTGGTGCGCATCGTAGCTCCGTCAATACCGGAGTTTACCAAAGACTTACCGGATGGGCAACCCGCAATGGCTCCTCGTAAGTGTCTGGTCATTTTGGCATTGTTACCAAGTGACTCAAGTACTTGCGTGCTAGGTGACTCTGGTGGTGTACCGGCAGATCCATTGTTAAATAAGGATGGCAGCGGTATCGCGAGTGATGCGGTTTCCGAGGATGTTGACGAAGTAATACCTAAGGTCAAGTCATCCGTTCCGGATACTGGGGACGAGATAACGCCGAAGGCGAAACCGCTACCCCGAACAGGGTCCACTGACGTGGCCGCAATCTTCGAACCCCTTCCAGAGGCGAAAGTCGGTGAGTACCCGGATCAGCGCCCTTGAGATTGTCGGCGTTAAAGATCTGACTTTGCTCCCAGAGGATAGTCCTCCGGCTGTTCCCGATCCGCCTACCGAAGGTGAAGTCACTGTTCTCCCTGGCCATTTAGGTGAGGCATTGGCGCAAGACTTGTTTGGACTTATATTCACGCCTATCGTAGATGAACCTACCCCGCTCACCGAACATTCCGAAAAGCCTCTCGATGGACAGGCATCCCACGCCAACAATCCCGTGGTACACGATACAACGCAATGACGGTTTTGGGCGACTTTCGGGTTTGTCGTATGGCTTGCCTTGCCTCTTCTCACACCATACCTGCCGAGAGTCGCCGAGTACCTTTGCAAGTTCCTATGATAGTCTTGGTTCTGATTGAGGTTTGCGTCTGCACTTCATATTTCGGGTCTTATGGGGATTGGCAGCTGCGCTCGTTCGTTGTTTGAATTGATCTGTGTTTATGCGCTCACCCTCTGTACCAAACATGCCGCCATCTAATGCAGCCGGTCCTATACCTACACGAGCAGACCGGCTGCCGCATTCCTGTATAACGTACCTCGCATCATCTAGCAATATTTCACGAACACGAGACGACCTACTATAGAACAGGGACATTGTGCGAAGCTAGGGGCCTGTAGAGTACTACAATTGCATCACATATGAGGACCAATTGATACATCGGTTTCTAATGCAACTTGGACAGAATTGGCGCCGCGAAGATGTACCTTGGGTTGGCATGCACAGGCAATGCTGTGTCGACACTGCTCGCATCGTGCTGTAAGGTTTGTTCCCGCGTCTGCCGATGTAATTAGAACGCGCTCTGGGGTGGGCGCTTATAAGTAGCTCGCAAGTTGATACTCAGCGAACCGCCCGGCAAGGTCTGTTCCTTCTCTCCACGCCTTTGCTCAGGGCTGTCCGACCGCGTTCCCATTATTGTTCTTGTAGCTCTGAAAGCATGAATGGCTTGCAGGAGCTTCCTACGCCGAAGCGGACATCGATTCATCAGCTCTTGAATCCCGTGGCTTCAGGACCACCGGCTGGGTATGCCGAGGCCAGCCAACTTCCACCATACAATGCCAACGGCAACTCCATGCAACAACACGTACAACAAGTCTATCCGTCCCAGAATCAGTCAGGATCCTCCTTCAGCTTGCGTGCAGCCAATTGGGAGCCTAACGGGGAGGATGAGTCGTTACAGCGGCCGAGACCGCAGAATGGTGAGTCCGACGAGCACTGCCTGTAGTTCTTTGCCGTTAACAGATCGCGCAACGAAGGACATGGGCCGCCCCCTGGTAAGCGAGTAGGCGAACAGATACCCTATGGCGCGATACCCTGGTCACCGCAAACAGGCGCTCTTCCCGCCGATGCGCCACCTACTTACATGACTCCAGCTATACCTCAGATTTACTCTGACGAACGCACTGGCGAGTCTCGCTCATTTCTAGCCATTTATTTTATCCTAAGAGCCTGTTGTATTTACCTATAGCGGCGCAAGGCGATCACGCTGTTAAGAGTATGCTCGTTGTTTGCCTGAACTGATGCTTCAGAGCGCTCACTTTTATTGCTGTGTAAAGACCACTATATGCCTCAAGCTATCCCACAGCCGCCTATGGCCTTTGCCGCGCCGGCAGGTACAGTACTACTTTCTCCAGATTCTCAGTGGGCTTGGAACCCGGGACATACAGGTGTGTACCAGAACGTGGAGCGGGCTTCTGTTCGTTTGGCGGCACGTGCTACTGTAGAACATGAGCAGGCTGCCTCGCAGCCTAGAGTAGCGCCTCCAACGCAGTGGGTCATGCCTTATGCACCCGGTGCCTGGGTCGCTATTCCTATCCCACATCCGATGCATGCCATGATGCCCGCAAGTCCTTCTGTGCATCAGCCGCAGCCCCCAGCAGAGAAACGGCCCTCTGCAGACGAGGAGGAGCAAGAGCAGCGGCCGAGTAAGGCTAAGAGGAGTAGAGCCAAGTCAACAGCTACAGGTGCAGTAACTGGTACGTTTTTCTTAAGGTTCATTTACTCTCCTGTTCGAAGGGGCAGCTATTTCAAAAATAGCGGGCTCGTCGAAGAGGGGTTTTAACAAGAAAAGGCGTGCTGAGGCTGCTAAAATCCAAGCGCACAACGGCAAGTGTTTACCAGAGGAACTTCCCCATTGTAGATCGTAATCATTGATGGTCTTCCTCTACACAGCCCAGTTCAACAGGGCGACTCCAGCAGTGTACGTCACAAGCGATCAAGGGAGAAACAAAGTTAGCAACGGTGATGGTAACTTAGCTCCCCTCGCACTCTGCACATATATGCGTCTTACTCGTTTGATCTGCCTGATTCAGGCAGCATGACCATTGTGTGCGACAACGGTGTACAACTGCCCGAAGCAACAAGCGCTCTACGTCCGGAATTGCAGTTCGCAAGGTGTATGTCAAACCGATACAAGGCCGATTCGTTCCCCCGCTGTGTGTCTTGCACGCGCCGGTGGGCTGGAGACCAGTGTCGCTTCCAGGGTATCCGCTTTTTCCTCAAAGACGATCAGGGCAAGATCGTTGGCATCAGTTTTGTGGAAAGTCAGAAACCTGACTCGCCTACGATGAAGTTTCCGGAGCGGTGGAATATCGAGTTGGCTGCGCCATATATAGATCGGATAAAGGTGAGGTTAACACTAGTCTGAATTCGCTACGTGATGTCGATGTCTAGTGTTAGAGAACCGTGGCCAGAGCTCTGCTACCGACCCTGCGAGAAGAGCAACAACATTTGTCAGCGCCGGGCGTTATACGTCGACCGAGAGAAAGTGATGTCCGAGCTACTTGCGGTAGGTGCCTATGCATTATATGGCCGTTATCGTTAGTGATAGCTTTGCAGACACATGCAATACCTCAATATTCTCCAGCAGTTGGATGTGCCGGATGTGCGGTCGCGAGGCCTGTGGGGAATGCTACGAACAAGTCAGGCAGCTGACAGAAGTTCGGTCGGAAGCAACGGAGGCCGAAGTAGCGGCCATGCAAGCCAAGCGGGAGAGGCACGCCCACTCCAATCCTTTCTTCTTGGCCTGCAATAAGCGGACTGAGCATACGCATGGTCACTTCTCCCCGATGTCGCGGTTTTGCAAGGCTGAGCTCGACGAGGCTATCAAGGAGATGGAAGACTTGCTGCGAGAGTCACAGGACGATCAAGACAAGGAGATCGCTGATCCTTCATTGGACAAGGCTGCTGCAGCCTCAGAAGCATCTACTTTGTCTTCGGAACAGGATCACAGTGCGCCATCGTCACCAGAAGCCAAGAGCTCACCCCGCGGTGTGGCGGATGAGTCACCCTTAACATCCCCTCAGAGCGATTCTCACTCTCCCGTGATCGGCCGTCCTCCGGTAACGTTGACCGAGGAAGTTCCAACGCATCACATCGAGCGCTTCTCAGATGAGACGTTCACTGATGACGCCTTTCGACCGTTATGGGCAAAGGGTGAACCTCTCGTTGTCACTGGTCTTTTGCCCAAGTTCCAGATCCGTTGGACCCCCGAGTATTTTATGGAGAAGTACGGATCACAAGCCTGCCTTATTGTAGAGTGTCAAACAGATCAGAACAAGCGCGTGACTGTTCGAGACTTCTTCAAGGATTTCGGAGTGTACGAAGGTCGGAAAGAGTGTTGGAAGTTGAAGGTACGTCTGGATGAGGATGCTAGTAAAGCAACAGAAGCTGAACCGCTGGGGACGAAAGGACTGGCCATCGTCTACAGAGTTCAGCACAGCTTTCCCGGAGTTGTTTGAAGACTTCAGTCGCGCCGTTCCCGTACCAAACTATGTCAGGCGAGACGGCGTTCTGAACCTTGCGTCCCATTTTCCATCAAACACTGTTGCTCCTGACATTGGTATGCTCATTTCTATGCGGTTCATTTTCACGCTGCTGTACCTTATGGTTTCCCTAGGACCTAAAATGTACAACGCAATGGCGTCCTCTGATCAGCCCGGGAGCAAAGGTTCAACTCGTCTCCACATGGACATGGCGGACGCTTTGAACATCATGACGCACGCTGCTCCCTGTCCGGACGGCTCTCCTGGATGCGCAGTATGGGACCTCTTCAGAGCTCAAGATGCGGACCATCTGCGAAAGTTCCTCAAGAAGAAATTCAGAGGCACTTTCCAGAACGATCCGATCCATAGCCAAACGGTATACCTCGACCGGCAGTCGAGGCAAGAGTTGTACGAACAGTTCGGCGTCAAGAGTTACAGGGTGTACCAGAAGCCTGGAGAGGCCGTTTTCATACCTGCCGGATGTGCACACCAGGTCGGTATCTCCTTCTTTCTTCTCATTGCGTATCGGTATTTATGACTATAACTTGTCAGGTTTGCAACCTTGCCGACTGCATCAAAGTAGCCATCGACTTTGTCAGCCCCGAGAATGTGGACCGGTGCGAGACGCTCACGAGGGAATTCCGACAGCAAAACCAGGCGCAACAATGGAAGGAAGATGTCCTGCAATTGAAGACCATGATGTGGTTTGCCTGGTTATCTTGCTGTCGACAAGAGAAGCAGGCGGCTGAAGATGCTTGACTAGATATCTCGACGCACGGATTGATGTTGCGAGTTTTGAGCGCACTTGTTTTCCTGCTAGCATTGATTCTTTCATTTTTTCGCGGAGGTAATCCTGTTTCAAATGTAACATTCTCGGGTTTCAGTACGCGTCTTTTCCCGCTTCTTCTTTGCTTGCCCTCTATGCTCGTGAAGCTCATACATTCACACCGAGCCTCCCCACTACCATCGGTTGTACTATATCACTGTTTTGTTGGCGTCGCAGAAGAACACTAATGTTGAAGTTATACATTGCAATATTAATTGCATCCTGATGTTTGCGTTCACTTGGTTCGATACCGGGGTTCTTCTCAGTCCCTCGCTATGTTCACCCTTCCGCTCTGACCAGCTCGATATTTGCCACAAAAGATCCACGAGACCTTCGCTCTCCTCACGGTTTTGATTCATATAAACGGTGGTGAGGCATAGATACCACATCCGTTCTGGGAACATAAGACAAATCAAAGGTACATAGTAATACATTTCAGAAAATAGACAATGGATGCAACTCAAACAGAGGAACAAGTAGACACAGGAACGGACAGATAGCGGAGCGATCGTACCTGCTGCAGGAACCAGGCCAGGCACTCGATGTATATTAGTCGCGTCGTAGCTCCCGCAGGCAGCCGCAGGACCTGGACCTCTTCAATCTCCAGGCGAGGGTGTGCTTCCTGGCAGGTATATACGGGTCCTGCACGTGTATTAGGTACAGGTTCAGAACGTGTGGAAAGCCAATGACGCGGGGAATGGAAGGCGAAGAATGGAGGAGCACAGCTTACTGGACGGCGATCGGTAATGGAAGCGAGATTGTCGCGGAGGAGCTTCATATCCCGGGGGCTAGCAACGCCCGCCTAAACAGCAGCCAATCGCGTTCAACCCAGGGCAGGCACGTGAGGCGGAGATGAAGGAGAATGGACGTACGCGGTGCGAGGCGAGCCAGTCGCGGATCCGCCGCTCGTCGAGGTAGAGCAGCGCGCGCTCGCGCGAGCGCCGGTCGAACTGCTGTGCGTCGAGCGTCCGGCGCCAGGATACCCACTGCAGGTAATCTTCCTCCGCGCGGAGCGGGTCGACGGCGCCTTTGCGTATTGCAGCCCAGGACTCGCGGCTCTGGTGTGTACACGGTCAGGCTCAGGGCCCCACGCATTAGTCAATCGGATGGAGAGACGGGTACCTTGGAATGCTCGCCCGGGGTGGGCGTGTGTAGCTCGGAGGGCCGGCGGTCGCGCCTGCTCAACTCGAGCGTATATTCCAGACCGACCCACTCGCCAATGTCGTCTTCTACTGCAGCTGGAGTATGGGATTCTTGGAGCCCAAGCCGGTCGTTGGTGATATCCGCCAGAAGAGTATCATAGTCCTAGGCGAACAACGACACTCAGAGGGGCTGCCAACGGACACAAACGGGAGTGGGCGTACGATGGGCTTCGCGGGCTGCTTGCCCCGCTTGATCTCCTCGAGGCGCTCGTCGCGGCACTCGTCCTCGGTAAACCACGTGAACGTGCGCTGGTGCACCTGAGACTGAGAGTCGGGCACAGATATACAGGTCTGTTCGGAGTAGCAAGTCGAGAGCGAAGAGCGCGAGTCCGAGGATACCGACTTGGCGTGGAGAGAGCCAGCGAGCGTCGTCGACGGCGAGAGAGACTGGGACTCTTGCAGTTGAGTACCGGCGGCGGCGCAATCCGCGGGAGCCAAGGTTACAATCTGAGAATCGAGGTCCGGCCCAAATTCGAGTGCACCGCGCTGGACAGCCTGGTATCCAGAGTTAGAGTTAGAGAAGAGGCTCCCAAGTCCTGTGGTGGCCACCCTGTTCTTCAAGCGCGCCAGGATATTGGAAGACTGAGCAGACCACGTAGAGATGCCATTATTGAGGCTGTCGCCGCTATCCGAAGGTGTGAGACCCCCTGCGTGGTTGCCATCGGGGCCTTCAGGACCGGGAGGGAAGAAGTGGTATACGCCATCCATGCCTTGCTTTTTCTCGAAAGAAGCAGAACCACAAGAGCGAAAAGATATAGTCGGATGAGTGAAGGTGGAAAGAAACAGGTTCCATGTTCGCGTCGGACGCGTTCGGGCACGCGACGTTACTGTCACTAAATCACGTGCCGTGACCTACGCGCTCCCGCTTATCCTGAGCCCAACGCAGAACAAGCAAAACAGATTAGAATGAAGCAATATAATACAACATCACACCCTAAAGAATCACACTGCCTCGTCCTTCACCTTACTCTTCTTTTTCTTCTTCTTGGACTTGCCCGAGTCCTCCCCCGGCGCCTCCTCCATGACCTCCTTATGCTTCCGTTTCCGCTTCTCCTCGACGGTGGGCGCTGCCTCCTCCACGGGCGCCTTGAAGGCCTCGGCGCGCTCTGCTCTTCGCTGCTCGGTAACTTCTTCTTGCTATTTGCCAGCGGCGTGGTGAGGACTATTCGTAACAAGAGATGACATATGTGCGAACCTTTTGCTTCTTCTTCGCCTTCTCCCGCGCGTCCTTCTCGTGTGCCTTGAGGAAGTACTCACCCGTCTCCAGCTCGATATCGACCTTCCGCGGCTGCTGCGGCGGCGGGAATGGCGTGTACACCTTCTTCTTCTCCTTCCTCTTCTCCTTCTCCCGCTCCTTGATCTCCTCCTCGCCGAGCCCCGCCGCCTTGAGCGCCTCGCGCTTCGCCTCGGTCTGTGCGTGCTTGCGCGCGGTCTTCTCGCTCGTCTTGAGGTGGCGCTTGCGGAACTGCGGGAGGAACCTGTCCCATGACTCGGTCGCGAGCTTTGGGTCTTTGGCGAGCTCGCGCTTGATCATGAGCTCCTTGATGCGGTAGATGGGGTGGATGTTCTTCATGCAGTCGAGCACGATGCGCCGGACCTCTTTGAGCCCCTTGTAGGGGCCCATGACGCTCACTGTGCTCCCTTGCACCAGGACGTAACATTGTGTCAGTAGTTCAATCGCCTGTCCTTGGGATTAGCCATGTCCGCCATGCAGGAGACAGCATAACGCACCTTGAGCGTACTCCCGTCGGGCCCGATGATGCGCTGGCGCCGCTTGACGAAGCGCTCCTTGTTGCGCACGAGGCTGCCGATCTTGATGATGTCGCACGCGACGGTGTCCTCGAGAATGCGCGCGGCCTGCGCGACGTTCACGCCGCGCGCGAGCAGCTTGATCATGTCGCGCGCTTTGAGGATGATGTACGGGTCGTACGTCTTGCGCGTCGTGCGCACGGACATGGAGCCGTGCACGAGGTCGAGCGTGCATGCGATGCCCTTCGGTTTGGTCAGCTGGTGAAGGGAGGGAGAGGAGGCAAGAGAGAGGCGAACGTACGTGCGGCTCGAGGGCCTTGGTGACGGCGCTCCAGACTTCGCGGAGGTACTTTTCACGGTACTTTGGGAAGAGGGTGGCGAATGAGGATTCTTCGGTGAAGGTCCCGCCCTTGTTATCCTCCGGCTGGAAGGGGTCGACTTTCCACTAGCTTGAGGTCTAAGACTGTTGAAGGCCCATATATCAAAGAGCTACTTACACTAACGAAAGCTTGATATAAGCCGCAATTCAAGAATGTCGACAGTTAATGCTCACTGGTCGATATCGTCCGTATCCCATGCTATAGCACACGGGTCAGCACGATCCAAAGACTCGGACAAGACTGCATACGCTTGTCCTTCCTATGTCTCTTGTTCTTGTTGACGACGACGTTCGCGCTGCTGCTTTCCGCCTCTGCCATGAGTGCCAGCCAGAATAAACAAGAGAGATCGAGCAAGGAAGTTTGCCGGTTTCCGAAATATTGAAGCTGCTGACGTAAGCACAGATCCATCGACGGGATGGTGGCGGTGCAGCAGGGCTTGGATTTTGTCTCCGTCTCATCGCTGCACCCAACCACGCCCACTTTCTTACACCCCGCACATCGACTGCAATGGACATCATCCCCGACGACGCGATGGCCCCCGACGCCGCCCCCCTCTCCTACGACGATGCCGTCGCCTACGAAGACCAGCTCTCGACCACCGCAACAGTCGCAAGCGAAACAGCAATAATGGCAGACGAAACACCCGGAGCGCCCTCGCTCGCGAACAGGATCGGCCAGACAAAGGTATACCTGCTCGCGGACGCCTCGCTGTCCAAGGCCGGAAAGGTGCGCGTGTAGCCTTCGTTGGCGGTGATCGCGCGCGGCCCTGATGCGAGCGTGTTATGTGTGGTAAGCGGAAGCGCGGGGAGGACCTGGGCGAGGATATGGAGGAAGATATTGCTGAAGAAGGCGCGCCGCTCTCTTCCCATAACCATTGGTCCCCCGAGTTTATGGACTAAATGGGCCGTATGCAGATCAGACCTACCGCCCGAACGCGGTGCTCCTGCATGGCCCGCCCATCGCGCACCTCCCCACCTCCAACCTCTTCGCCTACGCAACTCACTTCGACTCGCACCCCATGGGGCTCGAGTGGATCGACGACACCACCTGCGTGCTCGTCTTCGAGTCGCGCGCCGCCGCGCGCCTCGCCCACCGCGCCCTCTCCAAATCCCCCACCGAAGCCCCCGACGAGGCGGGGTTCGTCGCGGCCAAGCCGATTCCCGTCGCGCTGTGGCCTGCGGAGGACCGCATCAGCAAGGTCCTGGGGAAGGGCGAGGGCCTCAAGGGCGCGATCCGCATGCGCTGGGCAAGGCGCGACGACGTGAAGAAGCGCGGGGCGAAACGGGAGAGCGAGTTCTACCGGAAGCACGGCGCGCGCGCGGGGAAGGAGGGGTTCGTCCCGCCTGAGGAGCTCGAGCGGGAGAGCGCGCCGAAGAGGCGGCGGAAGGACGAGGAGCAGCTGCGCGCGGAGCTGGACCAGGATATCGACTCGTTCCTCGCGGAGGACGAGGAGGAGCCGCCTGCGCCGCCGTCGAAGATGCGCTCTGATAATATGGGCGTGGGGAGTAGGAAGTCGCTGCTCGAGCGCACGTCGGTCATGCGCGTGCGGGATAGCCCCAGCCCCAGTCTCGCGGACCGTATCACCAAGCCAATGCCCCGGCGCAGAGAGAAGAGGGATCGTGAATGGGATAGAGGGAAGGAGCGTGCGTCACCTGCCAGACGACGTAGTGGAGAGCGAGCGCGCTCGGAACGGAGAGAACGGCCCAAGAAGACGCAGCAGGAGTTAGACGACGAGCTAGACGCGTTCCTCAATGAGGGCCGGTGATGTTGAGTTTGTATTTTTTGTAGTGTACATTTTTGTATAATCCTCATCAGGTTCAGGCATCCCCACTCGTCTCCTACATTGCACTATCCCCGCTTAGTCGCATCTGTAATGTGAATGGATGAGCTTCTAGTCGATGGTTGGGTGTAGACGTCCTTGAGTGTCATCCTTATATTGCAACGGTATGAAGTCCCGAAGCCTAGATATACATTTATTCTACGAGCGAAATGTCATACAACATCCTAAGAGTGACAAACCCTTCCTCTCTACTCGCCCTTCCCCTCCTTCCCCCGGTCCTCCCTAACCTCCACCTCCCGCACCTCCACGTCTTCCCTGATTGCCCTGGGTTGCACCGTCCGTCCCCCCTTCGCGCCCCACACCCCGCCCGTGACCCCACCCTTCTCGAAGATATGGTCGACGTCCTCGAGCTCGAGCCCCTTCGTCTCGGGGAAGAACGCGTACACGAGCGGCACCCAGCACGCGTTGAACACCGCGAAGATGATGAACACGCGCCAGGAGATGATCGCGATCGCCGGCGGCGTCATCTCGACGACCGCGAAGACGCACATCCAGTTGAAGAAGGAGGCGAGCGCGGATGCGCGTTGTGGTTATCTGTCAGTGGTGGCAGTGCGGGAAGTGGGAGCGCTGGAGGGTAGGAGACTCACTTCGGCGGGGTATAGCCATGGCTGTGCGGGAACAGTTAGAGGGTGGAGCCCTGGAAGAGAGAAGGACGTACGATAGGCAGATACCCGATCCCCAGGAAAATCTGGAATATAAACACCATCGCGGTCGCGCCGTACGCCGCGCTCTTCGTCCCCACCGAGAGCAGGATGCTCGCGAGGATGAAGCACACGGATAGCCCCGTCGCGGAGGTCATCAGGAGGAAGCGGCGGCCGTACCGGTCGACGGTCTAGTTCGGTTTGAGAGGAGAGCGGCTAAGGGGAGGGAAGACGGGGAACGTACCCAGAGAGGGATGAAGGACGCGACCATGTACGTGCATGCGGTCGCTCCGCCAAGGATGAGTGAGAGGTTGCGGGACATGCCCATGGTGTTCTGGTATACTACGGGAGCGAGGTAGCTGGGTGAAAAATGAGCGACCATGCGTCACATTCCGGTGGATGGCAGACGTACTTAATCGTGTTCGCACTGCGTAGGTCATGTCAGGTCCCTCAGTCGCTATAGATCGAAAGTAGAAGGAAACGTACCCGGTGAATTGCTGCATCACATTCACAGCAACACAGAGACATATCCTCCTAAAGTTCCCGAGAGGTCCTCCCTGGAACAGCTCCGCATACCTGAACGGACCTAACACAGCTCAATCATCAGAACGCCTTTCTTCCTTGAGTCCAACGTACCTCCGGCGCTCTCCTGCTCCAAACTAACCTCGATCTCCTTCCGTTTCATGACGACCTCCGGTTCGTTGACGTCCTCCGTGCCTGCGAGCTGCGCAAGGATCCGGCATGCCTCTTCCGGCCGGCCGTGCGCGAGCAGCCAGCGCGGGGAGTCGGGGAGGACCATGCCCTGCAGGAGAAGGCACAGCGCGAACACTGCTTGGAAGCCTGAGGAAGGAGATTAGGCGTGAGGTACTAGGTCGGAGGGAGCGAGGGATCGGTGCGTACCGACTGGTAAGCGCCATTGTGCCGGGCCGTCTACGAAGGACATGCCATAGTCTAGCCAGTACGCCTGTACAATGTTCTGAGAGATCCGCTGGGACGGGAAGAAGTCGAGCACGTACGATAACTAGGCCTATGATAGTTACGGTGGAGTTGAGACAAACAAGCGTGCCACGGATGGCCCCGCCGCATGTCTCCGACTGGTAGACCGGTACGGAGGAAGAATTGAAACCATTGCCCTGGACATGCCATATGTACTCAGCGAGGTCCCCGCATGTCCGTAGGATGCTCACGTACGATACCAGTGACTATACGGCCGACAAGGAGCTGGGCGACCGTGGTAGAACTTGTCAAGATAGCCTAAGCAGAGACACAGCTTAGCCGCTAGTGGGGCGAAGGGGCATGGAGTTGCTTACAGTACCGACGAGCATGGTAGATGCACCCGCCATGATCATGCGTTTTCGTCCGATGGACTCGCCGAAGAAGAATACGAATAAGCTTCCCACCGCACATCCTATGTCCTGAATTCCCGGAGTCAGTATGTACTCTACTTTCGCTCGAAAGCTACAATCTCACATATATCGCGACCTTTACCGGGCGAGGATAGGGATGTAGGAGTTAGTAGTCTGTACCAGGGCGTTAAGTACCACCGGAACTCACGATCGTGCCTTGCAAAGTTGGATCAGGATGTCCGAAATCTTTTCCGAACTGGTTGTCAGCGCCGATCTAGTGCACGGCGCACATTGGTAAGTACATGCGCTACTATGAGGAAGCTATCTAGTCAGCGTACAATGCCTGACATGACCCCTTGGTCGTATCCGAGCAGTAGGAAGCCCTGGCAGCAGCATGCTGTAACCATCCGTTCAGCAAGACTTTACGGACAGACAAGGAAATAGAAACGACCACACCTGTAATCGCCCAGACCAGCCATTTCCCTCTTACAGGCAGAATCCACATCGTGAAGAAAGCAATTCTTCGAGGTGCGCAAGAGCAACCGTGACGGCACCCTCAAGAAAACATATCCCCGCCATGATTACCCTGGCTGCGAAGCCGGCCCACCATGTACGTTCAGATGACCCTGCAGAGGGCACCATTTATCAAACTTCTTCTATCACAGGACGTGCATGAACGCGTCAGAGCCACCGACGCGGTCATGATCAGAGAAGGCGTGTTGCAAACTCTGCGAACCGCACGCGCAGCTTCGCACACGTTACACCGGGACCCACATCGACCATGCCCATACTTACACTTCTTACACTGCTATGAGTCTGGCCCATCAGCGAGTATACAGAAGATAATTCGCAAGTGAAGCACACGAGAACCATTGTCAAAATACCAATCCGAAGCAATAATATTCACATCAGGCCTTCTCCCAAGTCCCATCCGAATACCAGACTAAATTACAAGATGTGCACCATACATATCTCGTAACGATGCTGTCGAAACACTCACACCCCAATTGTCTATATTACACGAGTATACAAAGGCTTAGACGGATTGAACGCCGTGTAGAGGGTAATTACCAGTCTCCGCCTCCTCCGTCGCCGTAGTCAGCGCCGTTGTCAAACCCTAACGCAGAGTATGAACATCCGCCATCTCATGATGAATAGTGATAATCAACGTACCTTGGTCGTACGACTCCTGGCGCTCGTCGTCGATATGATCCTCGATCATCTCGCCAACCAGGACGCCGCCGAGAAGACCAGCACCACCTAGGAGCCTGTAAGACGTGCATTCGCGCGAGAACAGATGAAGGACACTCACCGGCCGCGAGAGCGGTCCCCATGCCCATACCGGACTTCTTTGGAGGCGCTTGCTGATACACGACCTGCGGCTGGGGACTAGTACTGCCCCCGCCGAACCAGCCTACCATCACACAAAGCTGATCAGCGCGGGGTCCCGAAACCCCTACGCTTCACGTACCTCTCCCGCTCTGCGGGGCCTGCTGGTAGCCTCCCTGGTATCCCCCCGGAGGTCCTCCATACCCGCCTTGTGGCGGCCCGCCATACCCTTGTGGAGGCCCGCCGTAATTCTGGTACCCGCCGCCGTAGCCGCCCTGCGGACCTCCCCACTGCTGCTGGGGAGGGCCCTGGTTATAGCCAGGACCGGGGCCATACGCGTCGCGCGGCGGAGCCCCGGGAGGAGGGGCAAAGTTGCTAGGGGGAGCTGGCGACCCAGGAGGGCCGAGTGGGTGGACCCACGATGATCTGGGAGGACTTTCCTGCGTGTTCACGTAGAACCTGAAGGATTTCAGGATAAGGTCGGCATCGACGGATGTGCTGTAAATATCGCCACATACCATGCCTTGTAGCTAACATAGGTGGCGCGTCAGTCTCGCCGCTACTGATAACCGCGATATTATCCACGTACTTATGATCGTACTGCTGAATCCATCCTGGCGGGAGCGGTCGTCTGTCTGGATTCTCTGGCGGAGGTGCGTTGTAGGGCGGAGGCTGAGACATGTACGTCGACTCTTAATCGATGAAGTGGTGAAGGAGCAAGAGGTTCATTATATAGCTATCTATAGTATGTACTGCTTTGCACAGCAAGCCGGGCTCCGAGCCCCGGCCGGCCTGGTAGTAGTACGCAATCTCCAATCCAAGATGGTTACACATAATATAATGTGCGTAAGGTAAGAACAGGAACACCTTTACCCAATGTTCAGCATTCAAGGATGAAGCGGTGATATGTCCGGGTAACGCGCAGGCACAAACATTGCACCCCATGTCTACCCTGCTGACATCGCCACCGGTATTAGGCTTTTGATTTCTTCGATTTTTTCGGTGGTTGCGGAGGCGGAGCGGCGCTGGGCTTCGATGATGCTGCGGCCTTTTTAGACTTCTTGGACGGCGGCTCGACTTCGACCCTCTCCTCCTCCTCGTCGGAATCGTCGTCCGACGACGCTGACTCCTTCTCACTATCCTCCTCGCTCGAATCGGAGTCGCTGCTAGAGGAAGCCACTACGGGAGATTTAACTTGAGGTTTCTCAACCTGCTACGGGGCGCTCAGCGGTTAAGTAGGAAGTATCTCTGAGCTAGCACACCTGGACTTGGACAGGCGCAGGAGTAGGACTGGTCTGGGCACCATTGGTAGTCGTAAGATCGTAAGCTGCTTTGGCGATGTCGTATTTCGCCTTTTGGTCTCTGGTACGTTGTTCATACACCTGGAACGGAAGTCAACTCGCGCTCATGCGATACACTCGGGTCGCCTACTTCTTTGTCCTGCGGACTCAACTCCTTCCATCGTCTCGAGATCTCCTTGAGCAGCTCCGAGTTGGGCATAGTGGGATTTTGTTCTTGTATCGCTCTACGGATCTCATTTTGGAAGAGAAGGTAGGACGATGCGGGACGCTTGGGCGCGTTGGGGTCCTTCAGCTTCTTCTTCTTCTTGCCATCATCATCATCAAGTGCCGCGGCCTTGCGTTTGCCTCCCTTCACAGGGGGAGGCTGCACAAGGGGCGCGGCAGCATTGAAGATAGGCTGGAAAGCTGCCGCCGCTGCACCATTTGGGCTTGCCGGCATTTCACGCAGCAGTTGCCCGAACTGGTCGGCAATGCTTGCACAGGTGCGCATTTGATCGGCCACGCTGGTGAGCGCGGTGATGAGCTGGGGCGATTGGACGCGTCAGATATGATCATGGTTGACAAAGAACGCGGACAACTCACCTGCAGCTTCTTTACCTCAAACTGAGCAGCGTTCTCCATGGTTAGTATTAAGGCGACGCGACCTCGACGCGTCTGAAGACGCGATCAGTACGTGATGACAGCAGAGGATTAAAGTGAAAGCCGAAGAGGCTCTTACCCGAGAGATACGAAGGGGGTAAGGAAATTGAACCAACTGGAGCGGCCGACTAGTGAAACCGTTATTTGAGGGTAACAAAAGGGCGAACGAAAATTTGAAACCTGTGTATAAGCCACGTCCTTAGCGTGAGAGTCTGTGCCGCAAATAGAAAGCAAATTGAAGAGGAGCTGAAAGCGGAGCTTATAGTCGTTGCCGATTGACCTTGAGCTCGAACTTGGCCTCGGTCGTAAACGCGGCCTCACACAGCACAGTCGTCAGCAAAGGTGATACTAGCGGCGTTGAGGTTCTATTCCCCAGATTACCTGTCTTTTATGCCCTCTTTTTTCCGCCTCATTTGCGCAGAAATAAGCCGTTTAGTGTTGCCTGACGCTTGAGAGCGCGAGTGGAAAAAAGAAACGCTCGGACAATGGACATGTATACGAATGCGCCTGCGTGGCTCCAGCCCCAGGGCCAACAAATCGAGTCGCAGTCGATGCACCATGAAATGACCTCGCCGTCGTCGCACGACTGGAAGGACCCGTCCAATTCGGCGTCGTCGGCAGCGGGGTCATCGTCGAAGAACGCGCAGGCGCCGTTGGATCTAAGCGACTTCGGTGGCATGGGAGACATTCCGGGTGAGTATGCCCAAACGCGCGACGAATGGATATCGTTCGTCGCGGTCGTGTGTTGAGGAAGATAACTGACAAAGACACGTGTAGGCCCATCATCGACGCCATCGATGTCGCCCCCCGCGCACGCGCACTATACCAGCGCGTTTTCGCAATTCGGATACTACTTGTCTGGCGTTCCCGGACCTTACAACGCCGTTCCTTATGGTTCTCCTTGGGCGGGCCCCTCAAATCAAGTGCCCCTGTCGAACTATTCTACCCTGGATGGTGCTACCACAAGTCCCGCAAGTACATCCCAGCAGCAGCCTCCGCAACAGTCCAGTTCTTCGCAGCAGATGCTTATTGAGTATGTCACAGTACAACTTTGGTCTTTGCTCCATCGTAACGTGTCGCTCCAGCCCGGCCCTGACTACTACAAACAATCCCACTTCTAATGGTCAACAACAGTACTCTCATCACTCGCCTAATATCCCCTCTGTGCAGTCCCCGTCTCAGCAGTCTCCGTTCATGCAATATCAGTTCCAGTCACATCTGCATCCGCAGCCCTTGTCTATCAATCCAGCATATGTACAATCGCCGCAATATTACCAGCACCAGCAGCAACCTCAACCCCACCAGCAAGGTACCCTATCTCCTCAAGTTCTGCATTCCCCTACGGGTATAGCTCCTCAGTCGTTCTATGCGCCTTTGCAAGCCATCTCTCCTCCGCCACAATTAACACCTCAGCAGAAGAAGGACAAACTTCAGGCTGCTGTACGCCCTCTCCTACAGCCCAACGTGTTCACCGGCGCAGGAGCAGTACAGACTTTAGTGTCCCATTTGGATGACTTTGGGTCCCAAGATGTTGACGGGCAGTTACGCTCGGAGATCCTCACGAAGATCAGAGATAACGCCCCGAATCACTACTTTAGGGCATGGTCGGAGAATCCCACGGCAATGGACATTACTCGAGAATGGCTAAAAGCTGGGTACACTAACAAGGCTGATAACCAGATGATGGAGACGATCATGCCGCTGTTACATGTGGGTACTAGACCAGCAGTGGAACATATCATATGATACATCGATGCTCACGCCCCGTAATAGATTATCGACCGGTTACCTCTAACCGTGGAGAGCCTAAAGACATCGAGACTGGGCAAGATCATCGTCAAGCTAACCAAGGATCCTCCTAATCCAGGTGAGTTACGTTCAACTTCCTATCTCTTTGTAGCTCCCGTGACCTGGCGCTGTGCCCTCGGTACCTGCTTCCCGCGGCGTGAGTCCCTAAGAAATAGAGTATTCATGTTGCTTGATGACCTGTACTGTTCTGAGCATCTGAGTTACCTGCAAAACTTCGTGACGCTGGACAACTTGTATCTAACTATGCTTTGTCTCTATCGTGAAACGCAGCGATCAAGGACATGGCTTCGAATTTGGAACGTAAATGGCGCCAAATGGTGAATGTTCAGAAAGACGGCACCTCAAAAAATGCCGATAATGATACAGAGGGTCAGTCATGTCAGTCCATCTGGCTGTCCCATGCCCCTGATAAAATTGTGGTTAGACGTTAAACCGAAGAAACGCAAGTCTGTTGAGCCACCTCCGAAGGCTGCACCTCCTGCGAAGAAGGCTGCGGTGTCCGCGCCTGGTCCGTCCGCCAGAACCACGGTCGTGAAGAAGGAGGTTAAGCCAATCGTGACCTCTGTCAAGGACGCGAAGTCGGACTCTTCGTTCTTCTCAGCCCCCAAGCCCAAACCGAAGCTGCCAAGTTTCAAGAAGGCGCCTGTACCTGTCAAGAAGGAGCCCGATCCCAATGTCGCACAACCTTTGGCCTTCGACCCTTTCCAAGAGGCGCTGAAGGATATGGCCAAGGCTCGCAAAGCGTCACCCGCGGCGACGGCTACTCCACCGCCAGCTGCCCCTGTCGCCGAGAGCGCCCCTTCAATTTCGTCCGGTCTCACCAAGTCCGGTAAGAAGAAGAAGACGGTCACTTGGGCCGCCGACGGCCAACTGGAGTCCGTCAAGCTCATTGAACGTGCAATCTACGATGACGATCCCACGGATGTAAGTATCTTATCTTCGAGTTTAGTATCAACCTTGTTCACTCTATCTGTAGGGCATGCATATGATGCATAGTGTTCGTGACCTGGAGCGAGGCGAAGGTGCTGCATTGCACGCGCACTTGTTCGAAGAAGGGATTGATTGGTATGAGCCTCCACGTAAGTTCGCTTCAAACCTTAACCTCGCTGCCGAGTCATTGAATTTCTTCTACTGCAGTGCTCGAGAATCCTGAATACAAACCGCGGGGTCTCAATAGCGCCGAAGCGGCGGCTCAAGAAGAGCGCGAGCAGACAGCCTTGATTGCGTTGTATATGTCGGCGGCTCAGATACCGGAAAGTCCGGCAGAGCCTGCGACGCAAATACCCGACGATAAGGTTGATGCAGACGTAAAGCTGATGCTCGTTCATCGGGATCTTGACGCACTTTTCTGGGGCGGAGGGGCACCAGCAGATGTTCAACCTCAGGTTTCGGTGCCAGCCCTTCTGGGTCAGCTGTCAGCAGCCTCGGACGCTCCTCTGAACGCAGGACCACCTGCAGATGGCCAGCCCCCGCCAGATACCAGTATGCTTACGCCTTCATCGAATATGACGCCGGAGCAACTGCAGGCACTACTACAGCAAGCGCAAGCAGTGCTCGCTTCCCAATTGCGACAAGGCCCATCACCTCCGGGGCAGCCGTCCTACCCAAATGGCGACCAAGATTGGAACAACAAGCAGCATTATTCGGACTTTGATCAGGGTTACCGGGATGATGATGGAGGACGGGAGCGTCGTTGGTCTGCGGATCAAGGATGGGAAAATCGGGACCGTGGCCGTGGCCGAGGTCGCGGGCGTGGTCGTGGCGACTTTAGACATAATAAAAGAAAACCTTGCAGTTTCTTTGCACAAGGAAGGCGAGCATCGAACCCTACAGTGATAACGGAGTGAAACCTGAACTGATTCTTGCAATGACTGCAGATGCAAATATGGAGACCAATGCGACTTCAGCCACGATCCCGTCTATAGCTGATATGCCCCATGTACTTTTTCCGGGTATTTATTGCCTTTTATGTCATGCAATCACAACTTTTGCAATGTTTACACAACCGCCCAATGGCAGAGTATCAAGTGACGCACACGAGGAGCAGCTGTCGGTGATAGTTCGGTGCAGTAAGAGTACAGAGTGGTTGGTAATAAATAGAAAAACATTGGTAAGACAGCTCCGCTGGCAGCAACAAACCCCCCGCAAAAAGAAGAGTACCGTATAGACAACTGCGATATATAATACAATCTATGCCAACGTGAGCGCTACTCCGGGAGGGCAGATCAAGAAAGAGATAAAAAGAGGAAAACGTAAATAAATACAGCAGCTATCCACCAGTGTTTGTCCGACCTCGTTTCCGCGTTATGCGCTTCGCCGCTGGGGGGTTGTCGGAGCCTCCGGACGGCGTAGCGTCCGACGGCCCACCTTTACGCTTCAGCGTTGCGGGAGCCATGGACGGTGTGGCATTGGCGGGCGTCGGCGTACTCTGCGTCGCAGGGGTATTTGCTGACGTCGGCCCAGGCGTAGGTTGCTGAAGGACCTTGTGTTGCTTCAATGGCGACGCATCCGGTGTTGGTGGGGCATTTTGAGATAGTGACGAAGAACCGGCGTGTGAATTAGGGGGGTTCCCCGGGGGATATAGTGTAGATGATGATGGCCCAGCGGAGCCATTAGCCTGACCCAGTGAACCACTCGATAGCGTATTATCGCCGCCAAGGTTTCCGGGTCCCGTTCCGTGAGGGTTGTTACTCGTCGAGGCGTGTCCCTGAGTCTCCCGTAGCTTCTGTGCGAACTGCTTCAATGCCTCTGTAGTGAATATGAGTCCACCTGCCAAAGGCAGTTAGTGAAACAGACGTACCCATTGGCCCCAGTTGATGCTTGCTCGAATACTCGATCAGATCTGTCATCTGGCCGACACTTTCTGCTAGCTGTACAGCAGGGTCATCCAAAGCATGAATGACAGAAGCACCGTCCGAGGAAGTCCCCTGACATACCTCCAAGCAGCGCATAGTAGCCTGAGGGATCCCGAACGCATTGACGGGCTCCGGTGGGATAGCCAGGCGATCGATAGTCACAATCCCGTCATCATTCCTCCGCTCCTCCTCTCTTTGCTGGGCCGCGACAGAGGCGTTGGGCGTGTGTGGCGGCCGCGATCGAGGCGTCTTCGGCGAATCACCAGGGACCATAACGCGATTCAGTAGGAGGTTCTCTAGCGATATCGCCTTATCGTGCCACCACGCGTCGAAGGTGATCGTTTCGAGCTTGTAGAAGGTATTAGTGCCATTGGAGTGCTGTGACGGCTGGGCCTGGAAAGACACGACCACGGACAGTGCGCCGCGCAAAGTCACGACATATCCGTTGGTATACCTGAAGGTCCACGAAGCAGCCGGCGATTCAACCACGGAAGCTTGGTAATTGTACAACCGTTCGTTGGCTCCTTCCATGTTTATGGACATTGCCTTCACGCCTGATTGATGGGTCACCAAAAAGAAGCGAGGCAATATAGGGGGACCGATGACTAGCGAGCGGAGTGAACAGGTTAGAGTTGAAGCTATGAGAACAATACTGGAAAGACAGACCGAAGGGTTTGGCTTCATTCCGTTGATTGTCTTTCCATAGCGTGAACCTGAACTGTGCCTTCGAACCGAACCAGGTGGTGACAGCGTCCTTCCAATATCGAAGCGTCGTTTTCTACGCGGACGTCATGAGGGAATGTAATCTCGCCAGAGACCGCGGATTAACGACTTACATCCGTCGTTTCATTACTTAGCATCTGACTGAACTGCGTCACCTTCAGCAGCGCCTGACCGGTCCCAACCGGATAGTTTCTGTAGCAATCATTAGACACGACACGAATGATAGTAGACAAATGTCCAAGACTCACTGCAACCGTGGCTGCAAGGTCGGCTGTGTAGCAACAGGAGGCTGATCCGGACGGGCCACCCCTCTCCGAAGCGGGTGCAGGGCAGGATCGTTAGGGACGGGAGGCACAATACTCGGCTGCACACCGGGCATCCCAGGCGTCATCGCCTGTGGCGGCATCTGCATCGGTCGCTGCTGCTGTTGCTGCTGCATGCCGGCCGGCTGCATCCCCGCCGGTAGTCGCTGCTGCGGCTGGGGATTACCGGGGAGTGGCTGCTGCTGCGCGTGCGGCGTGCGCGACTGCACGGCCGGCTGTGATGGGTGGTGCACCTGCTGGGGCTGCGGCTGCGATTGAGGGCGGAGCGGCTGCGAGACGCGCGCGTTCGCCTGGTCGGACTGGTGCGGGGAGTGGTGGTGTGGCGGGGCCTGTGGCTGCTGGGACATGGGGTGCGGCTGCGGGTGTGGCTGCTGCTGGGACGGGGGGCGGGCGGGGACGTTGGATTGGGGCGGGCCCATGTTCATGTGCGGGGAGAATGAATCGTTCGCCTGCATCTGCTCGTACTGCTGGGCGGGCGTCGGATGGAAATTGGGTCGGTTGGGTGGCCCTGGTGGCGCGAGGCCCCCCGCCATCGGCTGTGACATATCCTGGTTAGGGGGTTGCGGACTGGAGGAGGAGCCAAAAGAGAATTGGGAGTTGGTCGGGGGAGGAATGCGATGAACGTTATGCTGCTGCATATTTGGCGGGAAGGGCTGGTTCTGCATCGACATGAACATGGTGTCAGGGCCTCCGGGACCGGGGCCAGGAGTCATTCTAGGGCGGTTACCAGGCTGCGATTGCACAGGCATGTTAACGCCCATGGAGCCAGGAATGGGATTCTGGGAATGTGACGGGGGGCGGGGAGAGGAGGAGGGGATCGATTGGGAGTGGGGGAGATTCATCGGGTTCGGGAATGAGTTTTGTAGGGACTGCTGCAGACCAGCAGCGTGTGGCTGGCCCATCGACGGTGGCTGGGGCATCAAAGGCGCACCGGCAGAGGGTGCTCGGGCGACACCTGAAGACATGCCCGCATTCGCTTGCATATGCGCTCTCATCATGTCCTGCGTCATCCCTCCCGGCATAGGCGGTTGTGGCTGCCCCGACATTCTCATACCCATCTGTTGTACCGCTTGTTGTTGGCGCATTTGCTGCATTTGCTGAGGGCTCATTCCCATCCCCGCTGGACCCTGTTGGCCTGCGTGCATGGGCGCTGTATGCGGACCCGCTTGGTTCATGCCTTGTGGCTGCGATACCATACGCCGAATCTGAGCATTTTGAACCTGCTGCGGCATCATACCATTCGGAAAGCCCATATTTTGCAGCGAGTTGGGCACCATGCCGTTCATCCCAGGAGCCAGACCACCCGGCTGCTGCAAACCTTGACTCTGCTGCAACATCATCTGTTGTTGTTTTCGGGCCTGCATCTGGGCCTGATAGTTGGGATTGTTCTGCGACGGACCAACGTTGGGCTGGGCGCCTGCGAGGAGACCCATCGGAGGCTGGCCGGTATTCTGCAGAAGACCCATAGGAGGTTGGGCGAGAGATTGCTGGCCATGTGGCTGGTTTGGTGGGATGAAGTGGGGCGAGTTCATGTTCATCATGTTCGGAGGTAAATGCGGCATCCCCTGCTGTCGAATCATGGCATCTGTGCGGACGTTCATGGGCAAGGATCGCTGCTGGATATCGAAACCGAGGGTTTCTGTGCCCGTCTGTACTTGGGACTGGACAGCCGACATGCAACAAGGAGATTGACGCGGCGAAAGGCGAAGAACAACTGGGACCTGCGCGGGGCAGGTAAACAAGCCTTAACAAGGGAAAGCGGGAAATGACACGCCTAAAGGGGCCGATGACTAGGGAGCATCAACAGCCGACCGCGGCGCAGACAAAGATCTCGGTCGACGCGCGCGACGGCGGCGGCGGCGGTGGCGACGAGGAGAATGGAGAAAAGCTGGGAATGGCGCGGGGGCGGGCAAAGACGTGCCAACAAGCGTCGGGGAACGAGGCGGACCCAAACGAGGCGAGTTTCGCTCACACGCTCTTGCCGAACACTGCTCCTGCTTCCAACTGTCACTGTCAGCCACGTGCGGCCGATAATCCTCTCCGAGATGCAGATTCCATCTAGATTCTCCCTGCTCTATTATTTCTGCGATATATGCTCGATATATGCTCGATATATGCGCATTTTATGTGCGTTACTCGTCTCTGAAGAACGGCACAGCAGCCACTCGCAAAATGCCCGACCTTTGGTTGACATCGAACGCCGTCCTCGGCATACGACATACGCACGTTGAGAATCCAGAGAACTGTCCGCAGCCGTCGGTCTCCGTCCATCGAGTCAAAATGGCCAACAGCTTCCCCGAGGCGGACGCGGCAGCGCGCCGTTCGACATGACTAAAAGGCAGACACCGCGGCCTATCACCAGATAAGCCGCGTCATCAGCTCTCCATACCGCGGCGTAAGCAGCTCTAGAAAGAAACTGTAATCGTGTCAAGTGTCCAGTCAGCCTTGTCATACACCCAGGCTTGACCTACCCAGCGGCAATCAGACAATTGCAAGGACCACTTACTACCGCTCGGCGCTCGCCAGACCATAACCAAGGTTATTGATACACCTGATGAGACATAGAATACACACTGAACAGCAAACAAGAAAACCATACGGAGGCGTCCTAATCCTGGTCCGTCTGGTCTCTTGGCCGATACTTGATACCCCGCGCTTCGAGCTCTGCCTCTACGTCCTCCGGGACTCGGCCTTTTACCCGTACCGCATACATGCCGCGCACGTACTTCGCTATAGAGTAGGACACCAATGAAACATCTCATAGACACAGACCAGAGAATGATACTCACATATCCGCTGCCACCTCGCCACCCAGCTCTGCTCGGGATCCACCACAGCAATAACCCCGTCAAAATATGTCGTCGTACATACTTGGATGCGGTCCGGCGAGCCTTTCATCTGCGATGAAGCATTGCGTGTCAGAACTCGCCTTGCATACGCCGTGAGCGCCTCACCTGCATCAACTCCTCGCAATTTGGACACCCGTTTTTACGAAAATCTGCGGGCGTCTGGATGATCGAGCATAGTAGACACGCCCGGAGCTGCTTGGCACGAGCTTGGGCTGGGATGGCGGCGGTCACACCAGAGGCCATGGTCAGTGAACGAGAAGACGAAAGCTAGCGCTCAAGGTGTGCAACTTCGGTTCGGACTCCAGAGACTGATGTGCACTGCCACAGGTGTCCGACTCCCGCTCATCCGCTCCTACATCGTACAGTACCAACAGAAGACGTGCAACACCATAGCGAACATAATATAGAACATTCGTAGGTAGACTACTGTGCGTTTAGGCGACAAATACAATATAATGATATCCACCTTAATAAACAACCCACCTCGAGGCGACAACACGGCACTTTGAGAGACACAACAAAACATCCGAAAGCAGAAAAACTGGCTCAAACAAAAGACGGCGGGCCAAGTCGTTGCCCGACAATTACAGCTGAAGATTGTGTTAGTTGATGAGACATAGTTTTCATGCCCAGCGCAACATACCCTGAACAGGAAGCCAAGGTCATCAGGCGTCAATCTGCCCATAGCCTGCAACATGAACAATTAGTCCTGGATCCCACCGAGGGAGCGAACCTAAGGGGCCACTCACCGAATCGTCAGTAGACAGAGTGGCATCCACCATTGCTGCTTTCTTTTCTTGCAACTATCGCAGCTGTGAGTTGTCAGAGTTGGCGGGATGCTAGGGGATACTTACCTGGACTATGCGGCTCTCGATGCTGTCTTCGACAACAAGCTTGATGGCCTGTACGGGCCGATGTTGCCCAAGACGATGGATACGATCCATGGCCTCTGTATCAATATCAGAGAGGTGATCAACCGACCACGGGGTCTCTACGTACGGTATTCAACCTGTAGACAGGGCGTCAGCATCAATAGCAGCCACAGCAGATAGCGACAATAACTCACAGCAGGGTTCCACCAGCTATCCATCAGATAGACTCGCGAAGCTTCGGTCAGGTTGAGAGCCACTCCTCCGGCTTTCAAGCTGACAAGGAATACCGTTACATGCACATTGTCCACTGAAGGGTGGCGAGTCAGGTGACGAAAAGCGGCATCGAACAAGCGAACGTACTAAAGTACTTGATAGTGGCATCTCGGGCATACGGCCCCATCGTTCCTTCAAGCCGGCACACCTATAACAAAGTCAGCTAATCTACCCAAGTTCTGCTATACTCATGCCACTTACGTTGAACCCAGCCTTCTGCAGTCGGAACGCAATCAGATCTAGGAAGTTCACGAACTGACTGAACACGATGCTCTTGATCGTCGCGTCTTGCTTCCTGAGGTTGGTTAGCTCCTCGATGAGGGCCTCTATCTTCGTCGACGACCGCCACTTCTCGAGGTCAAGGCGGCCAAGAATGCCTTGGCGGACTACGGACGTGTTCTCTTCTGGCTCGTAGGCCGGAGCATCCAGGTCAATGGTGAGGGGAACGTGGCAGACAGGACATTCAGGCTGTGGAAAGATAAGCCACATAAGCCATGAATGAAGCAAACCCTGACGCACCGTTATACCGACGACAGTATCCAGATACTGCCTGATGCACTCGCGATCGAACAGATGCCGACACTTGGAGTGAATAGCATCCTCCGCAACGTCATTGCAAAGCCTGCAGACCGGTGCTTCACCGAAGTCCTCAGAGAGGAACTTCCCTTGGTTATTCTTGCTCCTAAGCACTAAATCAGGATGGCACGCCATCTGCCTCATCCGCGTGAGCCTGCAGAAGAACGATTAGCCAGCCGTCACGGGTGACCGGAACGTGTAACGTACAAAGAGAAGATATTGGAATAGTCTGGTGATATACGTGGTCAGCTGCGAGCCCTCGACGACCGGAGAACCATAACTTACTGTTCAAGACCGTGCCCGAATCGACGTATGTAGTGAATTGCCTCTTGGCATCAGAAAACAGCGATAGATAAAGCTCCTTCTCTTCAGGACTGAAGTAATCCCTACGAACGATAACCGTCCGCGGAGGTAAGCCAAGGTCATCAGCCCTTTCGACCTTCAGGCAGGCAGTTATTGCAGTGTCAAGCATAGAAGAAGTGAGATGGTGCCGTACCTTGGTCCTGCGCAACATCAATCTATCCAAGAGCACGCGCAATTTTTTGAAGGCGATCGCGCCAGGCCCATTCATTCCATTTTTCTGGATGGGCGACAAGACCTCGTTATTCCAGAAACATGTCTAGCACCAAGTAAGTAACACTGCGTTGATTGGAGGAAGAATCTGTGGGTCTTACATGATGCATAGGCGTATGGCCACAATCTAGTCAGATTATTAGCAATGGATGCATCGGCAGACTAAAGCGAACACTAACCATCACAGTGCCTCTTGTTGCTGAATTTCCAGTGCAGCGACTTACAATCGCACCTCTTGCCTAGAAGCAAAGGCTTTAGCCGTGGCCTGGGGGGTAAGAATCGAAACTCACAGAAGTAGTAGGCGAATGGATCGCCGCCGAGGAATCTTATCAGACTGTAGAGCTCGCCCACTCGGTTTTGTAAGGGCGTGCCCGACAGACACCATTTATACTTGCTCTGCAGCTCGAAGGTAGCTTTAGCAGTGTTAGTGGCGCGCTCTTTGATGTTGTGCGCCTCATCGAGCTAAGAAATTTCAATTGAATACCTTGTATATCAGGGTTATGTACTTAATAACGCGCATACCACAATCCTATGCCATTTGATAGCGTGCAGTGGGGACTTCTCCTTGACGATTTGCCCCTTGCGCTTGAAACCACTTTCCTGCTTCCTGAAAGAACTCTCCAATACCGAGTAAGTTGTCAAGACCTGAGAGTAGCCATCAGTCGGATAGGGTCAAGTGTCCGGTGAATTGCTTGAAAACTCACGACGTTGTGCTTCTTCAGTTGATCGATGCTAGATTCCCTATTTGCCCCGTGCCACACCAGGACACTCATGCCTTCGGCATGCTTCTCTATCTCATTCTTCCATTGTATGATGGCAACAGTAGGACTGATGAAGCGGACATGAGCTTCACAACATGAGCCAGTGACCTGAAGATAACGCACGCAATGACCAGGTTCGGTTTGTGGTTGTCCGACACCATGAGAGCAATCATTTGGATTGTTTTGCCCATACTAAACAACTGTCAGACAGGTGAAGAAAAGGAAAGGATGTAGTTCATACCCCATCTCGTCCTGTTAAATGGAACCCTTTAGTGACTAATCTTGAAAGTTGTACCGTTATACTCACCGCGAGCATCCCACCAGCATACTGGCCCTTCTCCTGCTTCCTCATCCAGAACAGACTTTCCAACTGGAAAGGCAAGAGAGTCGCCTTGAGTTTCGCGGGCTGTTCGGCCTTTTCAGGCTGCACGATGGCGACCTTCTTCTCGAAGTCACCCCACGCATCTTTCAGTTCTGGATGGAATAGTGACAATGCTACCGTGGTCTTCTCAGCCTTCAGGGGTAAGTGAGCATTTATGTGGCCGCTGGACGGAATAGAGAGCGTATTTGACCCACATGCGTAAGCTTTCTCCCTAACTTAGATCTCAACTTGTTCTCCTCCACTTTCAGCACATTCCTTTCGGCCTTTGCTCGCCTGCGGGCCTCTCTGCGCTCAGCATACAGGTCGTCCATGGTCATGAAATTGGCAACAAAATCTGAAGTTTTCTTCTTGGCAGACTTCTTCGTGGCCTTCTTCTTTCCCTTCACTTTCGACAGAGGTTCCTCCTCTTCGGACAAGCCATCCAGTGCGTCAGAATTGTATTCTGGGACATCCTCGATCTTGGAAGCGGCTAGTCGACGCTCGGCAGCTGCAGCAAGAAGAGCAGCTTTGGGGTTCCCAGCTCTTGCCCCTGACGAAGTGCCTGCGCCGGTTTCGTTGCTTGCATCTTGTAGAGACTGACGCACAGCTTCGTCCATGAGAATCGTCTCGTCCTCCGACGCATCTTCGGTAGGTGGAAGCATATGACGAGCATGCATGTGCGCTAATTCCTCCTCGGTAGAACTTTCCTCAAAGCCTTCCTCAGCCAACGAGTCGCCGTCCTCCGACATCTCGAATTCAGAGCCACTGTCGTCTGACTCTGAGAGTGACTTGGCCTCATCTGGCGACAGTTCCTCGCCTGCTTCAGGTTCCACAGGTCCTTGGGCGGCCCTTCCCGAACCTTGTTTCCTTTGGACGACTGTCTTGCGCTGACCTGCGGCCTTGCTCGTCGTCGTGGCGGATGTGGCGGCCTGTAACACGTTCCAGTGAGGACTTGACCCAGACCACGGTCGGCCTACTCACCCTCGCCTTTGCATTCGTACGAGAACTGGTACTTTTCTTCACGACAATCTCTACCACAGGCTTCTGAGGTAAGGCTCTCCGCTTCGCTGGCGGACCACGGGTGGAGAGGGGTTCTGCTTCTGCTTCGTCTTCGCTGCGTTGTCGCTTTCTAGACGTTGATACTTTGCCACTGGCCCCTTTGCCCTTGCCCTTCTGTTGCGTCGTGGGTTGGTCGTCATTTTCTCCCTCACTAACCTCCGTCGGAGGGGTCACCGATTTTTCGGATGTTCTATTACTGAAAAACGGTGATACGTCGTTGGACGGAAGCACCGAGGGCGACGGCGATTGCGCCAGCCTCAGACTTCGCCTGGTAGAGACCATCGCTGTTTCAGTGTGGTAGCAGGGGTTCACAAGAAAACGCGATACGCGCCTAATTATTACCCACGGCGACTGCCGCGACTGCTTATTTACGCGGTCACATGATCTCGGGAGCCGCCACAGGCGCGTCCGAGTCTTTGAAATGTCAATGACTGGCTTTGACTCGTACGATCACTCTTGCCACCCACCGCCACGCGTACGAGAACGCATCCCTGCTGTAGAATCACAAATATATACACGCAAATGCTCCGTTCTACATAGCATGAAGATGTACGTCTGCGTACGTCTATCCAAGTCCTTGCTGTATCATATCGGCCCTTCATGCTCACTGGCTACATACAGAATGGAAAAAACAGTTAGTAGAGCGTCGCTATCGCCATGAGGACCATGACCATGCTAAATCTTTGCAATGTATTCTTCCTTTCCTCCATCTGAGGTGCTTTCCCAGCTCTACCCGTGAACCAATCGAAGCGCTTCCCAAGGACATACGCTTCACCTCGTTCCAAGATTCCAATGACCCTTCCGCCTTCGCTAGCCATCCGTATAAGAGAGCTCTCCAGGACTGCGGCTACCCACGGTATGCCAGAGACGGTGGTCTTCATGGCTTTCGTCCTCTCAGCATCTCGGAAGAGATGCCGGTACACGTCGTGCACGATGTTCGCCACAAGGATGGCGCACGCGAGCTTCCCAGAGAAGACCAAACCGAACGGGCTACCCGTCATCAGCCACGTCAAACCCGCAAAGATAACCATGGCGCCAGCTACGAGAAGCATCTCCGCACTATTTGGAGCGACATCCCAGTAGGCGTACTGGGGATAAAGCTTCACCAGTCCTCCGTCTCCCTTGGACCACATATAGAATCGCCAGTAACTCCTCGCAGCATTATTCCACCACGGATGGGTCACGATGACGTTGGGTGCAGCACGGAATCCTCCTCCACCGTGCTCCAATGAAAAATCTCTCTTCTTCCTGCAGAAGTCAATATCTTCTCCGCCACCTGTCTTCGGAAACTGCAGATCGTACTCCACCCCGTCTTTGATATTACGACGCGCGATTAGGTTCGCCGTGACACCCCAAGGCATGTCCTCTTGCATCTTGGTCGCGATATCCCAGAAATATGTTACACCAGCTAGATGCACTGCTGCCGTGAAAATGCTGTCGGCCGAAGGGAACTGTGCATTGCCGACGAATCCGGCCGCTTCAGGATATGCGCGAATACATTTCTCTACCTCCCAAAGGAGGTCGGGCTGCGGCGAGACATCATCATCCAGGAAATGGATCCACTCGGCCGCGGACTCCTTTATGCCCCTATTGCGTGAAGCGGATGCCCCCAGGTTCTTCTCGTTTACTCTAATCCGCACATCAGGTCGGTGCGCGTATTTGCGTACCAACTCAGAAATGTACGGGGAACTGGGATCGTCGATGATGATTATAAACATCACCGAACATCTGGGAGAGCTTTGCAGTTGCAATATCGGCTCCAGGAAGCGAAGTTGAACGCGATAGCAGGGGATGACCACGTCTATGGTGAGTTTGCGTTCCGCCATGGGCGACGATTTCCGCAGCCATTCTTCGAGGACCTCCGTTGAGCCATCTAGGGTGTCGAACGTCCAATCCACAGCATGCACCTTTTCATATCGTGCTTTGTCACGTCCTCCAGTTCCGTTGGAAATTCTGCTCGAGAACATTAAAGAGCAGCCCCACCTGCGGTACAGCTGATATAGGTAGGGATCGCCATCTTGGTTCACGAATATCTTTGGTATCACCTCGCCTTTAAATATATCCATGTGGGTCCTATGTATGATTGGAAAGGTCGGCATGCCGGGGAATGTAGTGTCCGTGAAGGCAACGCAGCCAAAACCAGGCATCACATTTTCCCTTTTGGCCAGTTCCTTGAACTCGAAGACCGCATCCCGCATCCACCCTTCATCCTGTAATACGACATCGTCGCCCAGAAGTGCGAAATAATCGCAATTGTCCTCCCACGCACGTCTAGCGAGAGTTCTCCACAGATCGCAGACATGTCCACGGCGGAAGTCACATATGAGGGTTTCTACATCTAGGACACCTTCATTACGAAGGGTCGATGCAGCTTTGTTCTCGCCTTCTGTTCCAAGCAGGAAATCGTCATCGTCATCGATGGCGAGATATATCTTGACCCGGTAACGGTCCCCTCCAAGGCTATGGACGTCTCGCCATGTGGTCCTCAATAGAGATCTCGCAAAGGTACGGAGATTTCCCAAGCAGTTCTCAGGCGATGATGTCCCTCGGGACGTGACAGGAAGGAGGATGGCAAACGTAACACCGGACGAGTGGAGGTCTACCACCTTGCTTCGTTGGAGCCCATCAAGCAGAGCTCGGCGCTCCGCGCCGTTTAGGCCACGTACTAACTTCAGCATCTCGCACTCCATCCATTCGGCAGTGCGCATCATGCCTTCCTCCAGGGTCACCTTGGGATGCCAATCCAACTGGTGACTTACAAAGTCATTGTTTGAATTGCGGGCAGCCACGCCGACAGGCTTCTTGCGATCGTAAAGATATCGCGCATGCTCCTCTGCAATGCCAACGCATTGTAAAGAAATATTCGCGAGTTCTTTCATTGTCACGGACCTCTCCGTACCTATGTTGACGGGCACGTCGCAGGGAGATTCGAGGAGAGAGCACACGGCATCCACACAGTCGTCGATATAGACGAAGCTGCGGCGCTGTGTACCATCTCCCCAAATCTCAAAGTCAATGGGTAAATCACCCAACAACTTCCCTGCGAGTGCTTTCCTGACGAATGCAGCGGGAACCTTTTCGCGACCGTTGCGCCATGCACCTCGGGGCCCGTACACGTTGTGGAAGCGAGCGACCCGCACTTGCATTCGATCTTTGAATTGGTGAAGGAGTAATTCCGTGTTGAGTTTCTCTAGGCCATACAGGCCTTGGGGTTTCGGCGGCAGATTGACCCAGACGTCCTCTTCGCGAAGGGATACATCGGCGTTACCGGATCCTTGCAGGCTTTCTGGATACACACAAGCAGACGAAGCGTATAGGAAACGCTTCACTCCAGCCTGCACAGCTGCGGATAATAAGTTCGTGGTCATAGCGTGATTCTCCGCATAGATTATGAAGTCGTTATTGGCATGGATTGTACCCATTCCTCCCATCGTTGCGGCAAAGTGCATGACGGTATCGACGCCTTGCACTATACGATGACAGAAGTCCGGATCGCACAAGTTTCCTATGTGAGTATCACTAGATATCGCTTGCGAGAACTCGCTGGACGGCTGAATATCAGCGACGCGAACGTGGAAGCCTGTATTGTGGAGTCTGTGGGCCACATGGGACCCCTAGGTGAAGCAGCTTCAGACCAGGAACCCCTGAACAGGATCAGACACTCACGATGAATCCATGGCCACCGGTGACCAAAATGATTCCAGCTGACTTTGCTTGTGTTTGCATGGTAGACGGTTCTGATATGCGTAGCCAGGAGTACTTTTCAACTCGCTCTTGTACTCTGGGGAAGCTCGGTAGGGCGCCGGGGTGTCTCCACTGAGATTGTGACCATCGCTCAGAGAAGAGGGATACTAGGATCTGTGCAGTGTCACATACTAGCAGCGTCTGTGCATCTCTCATCCTTATACGGGACCCTTGTGTACTTGGGTCCTTGAACAGCAATGCGAGCTCCGATTGGTCCGCGGCACCAGCGGAACAGCTCTAAACCGAGAAGCAGCGGCGGAGCTCAGCGCTTAGCAGGAGGTAAGTGGTCATGTAATATTCGGTGAGCGCAAAGTAATCTCGTATCATATACGTACAGCTGTTCGCGGTTGCGGGGCACGCTGCCATGCTGGGATAATTCGACAGGTTGGCAAATCATGAAATCCGAGGATAGTACACAGTACTAGTAAGTATTCAAGCGTGCGCTGCAACTCGGTTGGACTGTACTTGCGGCGCGCCAATGGGACTAAAATGCATCATAGCTGTTGGCCAGCGTTCTCTTCGGATTCAAACAGTGCCGCTCATGATTTGGTGCTGAGATCCCGAAAAGTCTACCTGCGCTAAGTTGGATCCCCACAGACTGGCACGCGGCTGAACAGCTCTGTACTCAGCCTACCTTATGGGCTCTCCCGGGGCGGGTATGGGGTGAGCTGAATCTCGATGGATATAACCTGTGGACAACACGCAGCTCATAACATCTCGATACAGCCTCGTTGTACCATAGCTTGCACGCATTTTGATGGATGCGATCGAGATGAAGGGTGCAGGTCATCCTCGACTTACTGCGCAGCACCAATATCCGACTATTCGGTAAGCTTGACTGAAGGCATGGTTATAGAAATTGTGGCGGTCGTTCGCTCTGTTATTGCTCCTTGGCGATCACTTACCTAGAATCGCGCCGAGATCGACATATACTCACTGAAAGGTGGATCTCGGAAAGATAGCTCCCAGAGGAACAGCCGTTCCGCATTGAAACCGCTGTCTAGTGCTGGCTATAAAGGTCGTGCAACCCAGGCCCTCTAGCAGACAACACATTCCTCACACCCTCGTCATCGCAGTCCCAATAACGAGACAAGTGTGAGGCTTCAGACAGTGAAAATTGTAAATGAGCGTGCTGACCCTCTGTAGCCTTTCCCTAGCCGTACACATGGAGACCCAATCGTCGAATACCCAGATCGCTCAGCGCGACTCCGTCATGGGGGACGACTACATATTTACCCAGTCTCAGGACTGGTTTTCCTTTAATATCGATATCTGGAAGGCTCTCTTTCCATTGGTGAAGCCTTCCCCGAGGATCCTGGAAATAGGCTCCTGGGAGGGTCGTTCAGCCGTATTCCTGTTGAACGAGTTATGTGCAGACGGTGGCGAAGTCGTCTGCATTGACCATTTCGACCTTATGGCCACAGAGGCAGGAAAAGCGCGCTACCGCAAGCTAGTGCATAATCTAACTTTGACAGGCAAAAAATTCCAGATCATCGATGAATTTTCAGTCCCCGGGCTCATGAGAGTCCTCGACGAACATATCCGGTCGAAGAGCACTGGCTTCGACTGGGTGTACGTCGATGGCTCTCACGAGGCCGACGACACTCTCCTGGACGGGGAGCTCGCATGGCGCTTGGCCAACGACGGAGCCATCTTCATCTTTGATGATTATCAGTGGGATGTGGAACTTGTTGGAAGTATCCATCATCCTAAACGGGGGATAGATGCCTTCTTGGCACTTCACGACGGAGAGTACCAGCGACTCTCGAGCCCCTCCCAATACCAGATGATCCTTCAGAAGAAAGTCGATATGCGTATCGGCTTTCTTTTGAAGGATCCCTCAGTCAATGTGGACGACCGCGCGCTCGGCTATGGCATGAATGTAGCACTTACTATCGACGAGTGCTATGCCATGCCAGCAGCCGTGGCGGTCAAGGGACTGGTAAACCATAGCAATGGTAAACTGACGATTTACATCGTTGACTGCGGTCTTTCCGTTAAGAGCAGGAACAGAATCGCATCGGCTGCCAAGGCCACGGCAGAGGCCAGCGTCGTGTTTGTGGAGCTGCCCAAGGATAACTTCTCGACCAAGCGTGGCGCCGTATGGGCGAAGTTGGACATGCTTCGTGTCTTGCCTGTGGAGCGCGTCCTCTATCTAGATGCCGACACTTTGGTCCGCAAGACGCTTGTCGAGTTGTGGAGAACGGATTTGGAGGGCAGGTCCTTAGCAGCCGTGCCTGATATAGGCCTTCCTATGGGACACCCTGGAGTTGAGAGGAGGCCGTACTTCAATGCCGGGGTTATGTTGGTGGATCTGTCCAAAGTCCGTATCCGGATTACGGAGCTTTGTGCCCTTGCGGACGAGATGAGACATGCCCGGTTTAAGGACCAAGACGTACTAAACATGCACCTCGGTGGAGACTGGAAAAAACTGAGCCTCACCTGGAACGCTCAAGGACTGGGAACTTACGCAGACCTGCCGTCCAACGATCGTGACGCAATCGCGTTGGATGAATTGCGTGACCCTGCTATCGTGCACTTCACTGGACCTTTGCATCCGGACCTTCCTACCGTGTTGAATCCCTGGGTTCAGCCCTACACCGCTAAACCCTGGGGTTACGCAGGCTCCCCAGGCCACCCCTTCGAGGCAGAGTGGTGGGAGACTTTGGATGAAACTGCATGGAAAGGCTACCGTCAGTCCTCGGAGTACAAAGCAATGGTCGCAAGCGAGAAAAGCAAAGCCATAGCCGCCGCTGTTCTCGCCCTGGAAGATCGCTTCACAGGCCAATGAAACTTGGTAGTATGCATCGCGCTCAACCGCGAATGATATAGGCCCGGACATATTTTCTGCTTGATAGATGTTCTCGATTTCACTTAGTATTCTCAGGACATTTCCACGCTGTGCAAGGAGACAACATGAAGAAGACATCAGTTCATGACAGTCGTGTGGTGGTAACAGAAAAACTACATGTGGATAAGTATGCAATGCGACATTCTAAACATGATATCATAAGACGACAAGGGGGTATGCAATTGAACAATATTTTCGAATAGAGATATTATACGTGAAGCGACCGATCACAAAGAGGGACGTGACTCGCCGTGTCAGGAAGGAAGGCGCGTCGGATCAAGCTTAGTTGTCCATGACTGCAGCTCTTTTAAGTTGGGAGCGGATAGGGCGTAAGAGTTCGATGAGGTAAAGAGCGTGAACGCGAATGGTTTCTACAGGCATGATGAGCGGGAGCTATGTCTGAAATCGGGGTACCACTTACTCCTAGTAATGTTTCCATATCCGGATTGCTCTCGACGTTGACGCCACTTAAGCTAACAACGCCGAGTTCCTCTAACTCATTTGAATGGGAATAGATATGAAGGTAGGGTCTAAGCAAAGGTATCAGATGGTTCTCTCTGCTTGATCCGCCGAACAATTACCTTCGAAGAACAAACCACCGTTTCTCCCAGGTGTTCTGACTAGCGTCCGTCAGTATCATGAGGTGGCCTTTCTTTGTCGGCGTATCACTAGAGTTAATGCACATCACACAATGTTCTGATACATGGGTTTCAAAGATGCTGTTTGGACGTACCTGCGGGGCACCAGCTTCGAGTTACCTATTAGTTTCATTGATTCCAGGGATTCTACATCAGGCGTCCGAACGCCAGGGGATGAAGCGGAACCATCGGTTTCTGAAGGCTCTTGGCTGATGACGATCTGCACAGACAAATTAGTGCATGTTATCCTTATTACAAGGTAACTCACATCGCCCTGATGGCCGAACTTCTTCTGCCACAGCTCCACAGACTTCCTGAGCAAGTCATCCGAGCCCCAGGTGGCAAGGCCTTCCGGTGCGGGTTTCTGTGCGGAGGCTGCCAGAATAACGCGTACCGCCTGAACGTCTGCCGCGCGTCGCTCTGTCTTGACCAGCCGTACGTAGTCTTCGACTACCGACACCCCCCGAGGCTTCCAGGTCGCAAGGCTCTCCTCACCACGGACATAAACTTCTGACGTATCCAGCCGCCATAGCTCCTTCGGTGAACGGGTCAAGGGAGGAGTGAGACGGACATTGAAGACGCTACTGGTCTTGGTCAGGATCTTGGTCGTGCCCAAGAATGATATGAGTCTGGAAGGAGGTCTGGCGTCCCGCGTGCGTATTGTCACTGCGACGTCTACGTTAAAGGGAATGGGATCGGCACACGTCTCTACGGCCACTGAGAGACTCAGCTGCACTAGGACACGCTGATTCGCTGCTGTAACTCTGTTCAGCAGGACGGAATCATGCACACTGGAGTCCCAGAGAGCCTCCGCAGCCAGTGAACCCGTCCCGTCCGGCTTGAAATCAACTTTTTGATCTCTAAGTAGCGGCAAGGTAATGAGAGCCTTGGATGTCGACTCATGCACGCGTCCCTTTGCGTCCAGTAGTCGGACGTTACCTAATCGAACTTTCGTGACCTCTGCCCACGGCAGCTGACGACCTGAGCTAGAATTGAGAGTGATCGCGAGACGTCGCTGTAAACCCTGATGCAATGTGAAGGAGCCGGGGTCGAGGTGCCCTTGAGAAAGCACGGGCACGGGGGTATATTCACCGTCCGGCGCCAGCTCGCAGACTTGAAGCCACATTACTACGTCATGAACTTGTTCGACAACAAAGTCTGTCTCAGAACGGCGCATAGGCTGTGGAACACTGGGCGGGGCCTCGGGTTCCTGCGGAGTACTTGACGATCCCTGGAAATAGCCTTTCTGCTCTCGCAATTCATCCCAGCGCTCCAAACGCTCAAGGTACGTCGGTCGCACCGAAGCAAAGAATTCAATGGGCGCGTACCCTTGACGTAGATGAGCCAAGACCTTCGATGTTGCTGCGATCGAGAAGGCACGTCGGAACTTCAGTTCTGACAGAGATGAGTTGTCAATGTCTATGGCCACCGAAGGGAATACTTCCTCAGCAGTGATGGTAGGCCCAACGAAGGAAGAGAGGCGAACTTGGAGATGCACTGAGGAGAACTCGTGAGATGATAGACCTTTGACAGAGTCGACGGTCAGGAAGAAGCTGAGCTTGCTCCCAGGTGGGACAGCTCCCGGTACAGGTGATGAAGAGCGCGTCGAAGCACTCGAAGCCGCCTGAAATTTTTGGGAAGGCACGACGTTCACGATCTTGATATCCACGCGACACGAGCCGATTGCCTCTGCTGTATACCTGCAGAAAATAGGTACAACGGCGGTAGAGGATAGACGGCGATACAGTGGGGCAAGTGAGATTAAGGCATTCCCGATGAACGAATATTCGGGAGGGGGCGAGTCGTAGAACGCGTCTTCCAAGGAGAAATGCCTGGAATAAGAGGGCCGATCGATGAAGGTTGTAAGATTGCGCATTCGCTGTATTTGCTGCTGCATACGGTCCAAAGACCACAGGTAGATGGCATTGTGACGTTTGTCAAGTACCTTGATGGCTACCGAAGGCTGCGTGGCCGACGCCAGCGCACGGTCAGCGACGTCTCCGAATTCGTCTAGACCCGCAATAGTATCTACTGCAGAGGCTGGTCGAGCCAGCGAACCTCCGGAGGCGATGGTGAAATTGTAAGAGACATCCTTCTCGAGCTCTTTACTGTAAAGAGGATCAGTTACAGTGCCTCGCCATGTGCATGTCTGGACTAACCTAATCACATTGGCCTCTTTCACTAGCACCGCGTTAGATAGGACCGCTTCCGCCATAGAGAACGAACGATGCGAGCGCCACTTGTCCAGGACCTTGCGTATCAGTCGAAGCTGTTTCGCACTATAGAAGACCGGCTCAATAGGTTCCATCTCGACGTCTTCGCCACGAGCCCGGGCATCTATGAGGCGTTTCATATGATTCTTGACCAGCCTCAGCTGATGCTCCATCTGTTCCTTTTCTACCTTCAGGTCCTCAGCCTCAGAAGACTCTGTAATGGCCTGCAGCCGAGACTCGAATTCCACGCGTTGCGTTTCCAGTTGATTCTGCACATCCTTCAGAGGGCCGCCGATATCAGGACTGCTATGGTTCGTCCAGACATCCACACTGGTATCATCCGTGAACGCGTCGCTGGCAAGTGGTCTGCCCGACTCGCTCCATATGTCATCGGCTTGACTAAGGCTGCTCTCCGGACGGGACTTCGCATGGTGGTCACGCATAGTCTTCACTTTGGCGATCTTGTCGAAAAGCTTATTCAAGTCTTCATCTGGCAGGTTGTCCAAAGCAGGATCCAACCCCAACTTGAAGAACGCAGCTTCCCTCTTAGCAAATGTCCAGTCCACGTCTTCAGGATCTCCAGAGCTGGAGGTCTCTTCCGGAGGGATGGCAGGAGAGGCGGTACCGTCCGCAGCGGCAGCTGCTTCCAGATCGGCAGCTGACGCACTTATTGACAGTTTCGACTTGGTCGCAGCACGGTCACGTTGCTTGCGAACCTCCTCGGGATTGTTGAACCGGAAGACATGGTGCTCACCTACGTTTGTCAGCATGAGTCCGCCACATCTCTCAGGCGCTCTACGAAAGTTGGTACGTACCCATGATGATACGGAAGCCAGACTTCAGTTTGTACGGCTGGAAACAATTAGGCAATCAACAGATGACAATATTGAGAGGAGTAGGGGAGCATACTTGGCCGGGAGTAATTTGCCGACCGTTTAAAAACTAGGAAAACAAGTCAGGGTTCCAACGAACGCATGCAGCAGCGGGAAATGCGCGCACCGTAACAGCGTCGGGGAGTCCATGGAGGGTGACCTTCCCATCATTGTTCTCGAAGTAGCAGTGCTCCTCCAAGATATTCTCCCCGCTGAGCCTGATGGCAGCAGGCTTGGCACTGTCCATTCGGCCAACCATAGTTTGACCCTGCTTCAGTTGGTAGATCAAGCATTCACTCATGAGGGGATCTATGTAAGCGGTATCAGTTATCCACGCGCACGGATGGCTGAGTAAGTGTATTACCTTCGTTCTATATCCAAGAATGCAATGCAATACAGGTGAGTCTTGCACTGTGAATGTGCAATAGTGACTTACCAAGTTCACAAGATGGGGCATCTTCTTAGGCGTATGTACGCCTACATTATTCTTCTCGACTGTGATACCCAGCTCCTCCAGTGCCTTCTCTCGCTCTTTCTGCACCTCCTGCGTCTTGATCATCTTCTCCTCCCACGTCTCATTCAAACTCTGCATCAGCTTCTCGCTCTGCTCAAGGTGCTCCTGCAGCTCGGCCTTCGTCACCGTCTTCAGCGTCCCGTCCTTCGCCTGATACGTGACCTTCTGCTTCTCCGGCGGGATCTTCGGGTCGTACACTTCCTCCGCCCCGCCCGAGCCCGAGACCCGCGCGCGAAGCATCTCGAGCTCCTCCTTGAGCTCGCGCACAAGCTTGGCGTTGGGGTCCTCATTGATGACGGCCTTGTTCCGGATCTTCTTGGCCTGATCAGCGTAGCGGAGGGTACTCAGTGTTTCGTCGTAGTCGGCAGGCGAGATGGCTGCAATCATGGCTGTTTTGGAATTCCCGCCCAAACTGTCCTTTAGCAGCCATGTCAAGACCTATGTCGAAGCAAGCTTCAGTTATAGACCCGGCATGTCTGAAATGAATGGAGCACAACTTAGTACTCACGGAATCACGATAAGGCACGAAATCATCTCCGCCCTTCTTCTTCTTCTTTCCTTCCGCCTGACTGGCCACCGCCAACGCTGAGATGACTTTACCGAGCGTGGTAAGGGACTTGTTGATGTTCGCACCCTCCTTCAGCCGTTGACCTGTAGCGCCTGTAGAGTTGGCACGTTCCGACCCGGCCAAGTCGACCAAGCTTACAACAATCAGCCTATACGCCTAGAGCAGAGAGCCTGCAGACATACTTGATCCGCGACACCTTCTCCGTGTCCAGGTTGGTATCGACGTCGTGCCGCTTCATCGTGAGCAGCAGTGTGAACACGGCATGTGAACGCGACGAGGTCTCGTTCATGTTAGTAGCGGCCACCGTACGCGCCTTGTTACCCTCGTCCATCAACGTCATCATCTCATCGTAGCTGTTGACCACTAGCTTTGACAAGTCTTCCACGTACGGGCCCAAGCTTGGGTGTTCTCGCACTCTTAGGTTGCCCGAGTTCTTAGGGTTTAGAAGGTCTCGGACTTTCTCGTTGTATATCTAGGTAATTGCATATTAACTACATAGATCTCAGAGGCGAGTAGTGCCCATACCTCGATATACGAGACTTCAACCTGAAAGTTGATATTGGGGTCCGCGGCTTTCTTCTGCTCTACGCGGTTGAAGAGTTCACAACATGTCAAAGGAATGATTCCCTTGTCGGCACCGTCTACGCCACACCGTCAAGAACTCGAGTAAGTCAAGAACAAGGAGATCACTCACATCCCATCATACTGGAACGGGCCCTATGAGCAATGCGTTTCCAATCCGTAACATTACAAGGCGTACCTGTAAGACTTCCCAGATCCTTCACGCGTACGCGTCATTAGTGCAAGCCCTAACCTAATCAACCTAAACACACATACCCGTTTGCCCATCTTCGAAAGTGTGTAAGTCAGTATAAGTCAAACGCACGAATACGCGGTTTGAACCTACTCACAAGCAAAAATACACGCATTGAAGCCCGAAAAAGCGTGGTCTAGCAATTCCGTCCCTAGATCATTGTACAGCGTCTGCTGTGATGCATAGCCCGGCTCGTCCTTCGGCCCCGCCGACCAATAGCTCTTATCAAACGCAAACGCTAGCGTCTTCCGTTCCGTTGCGCGACCTGCCCCCGCCTGTGCAGACCCTGGCTCGGGCGGGTCGAGGAACGTTTGGTTGCCCTGCATGCGGATGAGCGGCTTGGCGCCCTTTGCGAGCTCTGCATGTCGGACGAGACAAACAGGTTATAAAGCAAAGCAGATGCAAGGAATGGTTAAGTACACTGAAGGCAGAAAGGCAGAAAAGACCGAACGCACCGCGGGAGTTGAGGGGCCGACATCGCACAACGACCTTGATGTTGCCATCGCCCGCCTCGACCATGGTCTAGTCTGTCTAATGTCCTCCAGTAGAATGCCACCGTCCGGGGTATTATGTTCGTGTCGCCGTCGTCGTCTCTAGTCGTCAATAATAATAAGAGCTCAGAAAGGTTGAAGAGCAGAAGGCAACCGGTACCGCTTGCGGGGGCGCGTGAAAGTGCGCGTCTGCCGCGTGGTGCACTAATTAGGCACGATCCAGTTTTCTGTGCTGATCGTTGCAGCCACCGCGTTTTCTGAGGTCTGCGCTCATCGGTCGCGGCCATGGTTCGCCAATTCAAGCATCATGAGCAGAAGCTGCTCAAGAAAGTCGACTTTCTCAACGTGAGTGCCGACACTATCTGCTGGTGGACGTCCCAGACACAACGGAGCAGTGGAAACAAGATGCGGGGCATCGCGAGATCAAGGTCATGCGGCGGTACCACATCCAGGATCGAGAGGACTATCACAAGTGAGTACCCACTAGGCCTGTCTTGCAGCTCATCTGGTGAACCGATGTAACAGATACAACAAGCTCTGTGGCTCTCTGCGTGCCCTCGCACACCGCATCTCGAACCTCCCGGCGCAAGACCCCTTCCGCGCGAAGATGGAGGGCCAGCTGCTCTCGAAGCTATACGACATGGGGGTGCTCAACTCTACGGCGAAGCTCAGCGACGTGGAGAATAAGCTCACGGTGGCGGCGTTCTGCCGCAGACGGCTGGCGGTGATCATGTGTATGTCGAAGATGGCTGAGACTGTCAGCGCGGTACGTCCAGTTGTCAAACCCCGCTGTGTGATGGGAGGTCTAATGGCGAGGAATACCAAAGGCGGTGAAGTTCATTGAGCAAGGCCATGTACGGGTTGGGCCGGATACTGTTACGGACCCTGCGTACCTGGTTACACGGTAAGACCACCTTCACAACGTCCCATGTCGGAGAGGTGCTTAGAACCGCGATGAAACTAGCCATATGGAAGACTTCGTCACATGGGTCGACACCTCGAAGATGAAGAGGACGATCATGAGATACAACGACGAAGTACGTCTTCCGTTCTGACATCCGTTTGCATGTACTGACCGGGACTTCAGCTCGACGACTTCGACCTTCTCTGAGCCTGCCTCCTGCTCGAATATATGCCGACAGACATCGTGCAGTCGACCAACTGCGTACCAGGGATATCACAGCAGGTAGAGGAGACGCGGAGAGTATTTGTTGGTTTCTCCCGGCGTCCGTGAAACTTTACATGTCTACGGACCGCACATCGCTGGACCAGTTCCGCATACATCTCCCTGCATCAATGCGGCGCCATCGACTCGGAGAGACAGCCGGAGCGAGGCAGAGCCGCAGGGAGGCAGAGGGGGATGAAGGGCCAGAGTACAGACACGGCGTAATTGGACCTGTCGAACATTCAATGGATATAATACACCATTCGAGTTACTTATATGCCAAACAGCCAGACAACATTCCCGACCTCGGGAAGTCTCTTCGCGGGGCACGAGCAGGGGGACGTACGCCCAGTTAGTATTACCAGTTACGCGTTACGCCTCAGAGGGCTCGTAAGTGTGGTCGCGTCGGTGGCGCTGAAACGCGAGGATCAGCCGGCCGTGCAGCAGTCATCGTACATCCGTCCAACTGCAGGGACATCGCGGCAACCAGACGGGGATGAAGCAAATATACTGCATCCATCGTGATGATACACTTTATAGGCCGCACGTACGCGTCGCTCGGTCAGGTCCGCATAAGTACACCGCTCCCCCGGTTCACTCGAAGCTTCCGGGACAAATGCCAGAGCGATTTAGGACATCGCGCACGCATGCACGCCGATACAATATGCCATGCCATACCGTTCGCATTATTTCTAGTACGGCTCCAACCCCAGCACCCCCTGACAAGCGCCCTCCACATCGACCACCTGCCCACGCATCAGCTCCGACAATCAATCAAGCAACCACCCGACAACCACGAGATCCACGTACCTCTTTCGGCGCGCTGACGCTGAGCACGACGGGCTCGCCCTCGCACAAGAGCACCTCGTCCTGCATATGTAAGGGCGAGATTCGATCAGAGTGAGAGTGCGAGTGCGAGTGAGGGGAGAGAACGCAGAGCGCACCTCGATGCGGATGCCCATATTGTGGAAGTGCTTCGGGAAGAGGGGTGAGGAGGGTACGTACACGCCTACAGCAGCGTGCCAGAGAACGCGATATGTTATACATACAGTGATGTGTGAAGAGCGAGAGCGTACCCGGTTCGACGGTGATGACCATGCCCGGCCGCAGTCTACCGACACGTCCAATGGTCAGATAACACCGCGAGATGGGGAGGGGAGGGCACTCACGCCTCGCCCCTTTCGAAACTCGCGCTCTCGTGCAAATCTACCGCCCAAACCATACATCAGGCACGCACCACCAACCCCCGTACACACGTAAGACTGAAGAAGACCCTCACCAATCCCGATAGGATGACTCAAGTAATGCGGGTACAGCTCCCTCTCGAGATCGCCCCTTTGCAGCCCGAAACCAATCTGGTTCAGCTCCTCCCTGAGTAACAGGCAACTCTGGCTGTGCAGCGAGTTCAATGACGGGGAGGAGGAGGATGGGGAGGGCGAGAGCGCGCAGGCCTGGATGAGCGATTTCTGCACGTTCAGAAGCGCCTGGTAGAGGTCCTTTTGAGCGGGGGTGAAGTTGCCCGAGGAGGGGAATGTGCGGGCTGCATAGGGTGGGGTCAGTGGGAGAAGGGGAGAGGCGGAGGGGGAAGGGCTGACTGATGTCTGAGGCGTAGCCACTGGGTTCATAGCGTACCAATGAGCCTCAGTTGTTAACAAGGGGCATGCGGCACGTACTTGTATTCACAACCAGCGTCGACGAGGACCATCTCCCCGTCTCGTACGATATGATTATTCGTGGTGTAGTGTATGATCAACGCGTTTGCCCTTGGCAACGAACAATGTCAGGGCGAACTAATAGTATTAGTGTGACGAGGAAACGCGCACCCGGATGCGACGACAGGAACGTACGCCGGGCGCTGCGCCCCCTCAAGTGCACATAGATACTCGAAATGGGCCGCGAGCGCGCTCTCCGGCACATCCGGGCTTGCGAAGCGCATCGTCTGCCCACAACCCAATCTCAGCTCCCCACCCGCCAAACATCGCTCGCACCGCTGAACGCTGACGCACCTTCGCATGCGCTCTGCCGCTGATGTCCGCCGCAGCGCGCATAACCTTCTGCTCCGCTTTGCTCTTCACCGCGCGCAGCCGCCCGACCTCCTTTGCGAGCGGCCGGCGCTTGCTCCCGCTCAGGCCCTCCACGACGCTCTCGAACTCCCCCCGCGGCGCGAAGGGGGGCGCGAGGTACTTCAGGAGGGCGCGGCTGGCGGAGAGGGGGGTGGTGGTGATTGAGGAGGAGGAGCGCCGGCGGGAGGGCGTGGCGGAGGGGGGGAGGTCGACGTAGACGGAGGTGTACTGTGGGAGGAGGGATTTGAGCGTGGAGGGGAGGGAGGAGATGGGGAGGGCGTCGTCCGCGTGGAAGTGGGTGGCGACGTCTTGGAGGGAGGTTCTGGGCAAGCAAAGTGTGAGGAGTCAGGCGGGTTAGCTGGCGGGGGGTCGGGTAGTACCTTGCACCATCCCATTTTTCTTTGGCAGAGTCTTTGCCGGAGGAAAACATGGTCATGCGGTAGCCCCTTGAAGTCGAGTTTTTCTCTATCATACAGTGTAAGGGATTGTGCCACGAATAAGATATACACGTCACTTGCCAAGGATCACCGCAGACTCTGGCTCTTCGAAGCCGGTCAGATACCAAAAGTCTGACGCCTGCCGGTACTTGTAGCTGTTGAAGTTAGACTTGCGGCAGTACATACGGGTAATGACCCTCACAAGATTTCTTGCAGTTATATGAGCAAAGGGCGGAAATAAGAGAAGAGCGGCGCTCACGTCCACTCATGTACTTGACAGGCGCTGCCACCGACACGACGATACTGTTCTCGGGCAGACTGTCCATGAGGTCTTTTCGCCGCCGTTCATACTCGTGCACGGGAATTCCTGGAGTCAATTCCCCGGCTTTCACTTGAACCAAAAGTTGCTAAACGCGCCCGCTCACGCGTCGGTCAAAACTCACCAAGGTGCGGATGCGACTCCCATAACGGCTGGCCAAACTCTGAGGGCTTCGGGGGGTGCAGCGCATGCGCTGGCTCGGTGGCGTACCCCCGACGCAGGAGACGATGGAGAGGACGGAAGCAGGCCCTGGCTGTGAGCGCAGACATGAGCGTCGTCCAGGGCGGCGCCGTGTCGCTTTGTCAGGGCGGCTACGCAGCGTCCGGCCTGCTCCGGCCATCGCCGATCAGCCTCGATCGCCCGTCGAGAAGCACCGGTGGCGGTGCAGACAACGTGGGCATGCAAAAATCATGTGAAAAGTCCATCGGCCCCGTTGCAACGCGTTGTGGCCACCGCCATTTTGGTGACTTATGCGCTTTCTTTGTCGCCGTCGTCGCTGCAGCGTCAAGCAATGGCGTCCAACTGGGACAGGTACTCGAGGTTCGGCATAGACGCTGCGTCGTCCGCCGCCGCGCTCGGCTTTTCTGCTGCCAAATTCGGGACCAAACTCGGCGTTGGTACCATTCTTTCCATGGACTTTTCGTAACTGATTATCGTTTAGTTCTCTATTACTCGGGGCGTTGCGTCGACAGCGGCGAACATCACAGGCTCTGTCGTCGACTATGCGCTCTTCGGCGGCGCGACCGGCGCAGGCAAGACGCTCAGCGGCGCCGTCTCGTCCGTCATCACTCTCATCGAACAAATCGCCCTCGCACCCATCGTCCTGGGCGAGACCATCACCTCCACCTCCGTCATCGCCGCGCACTCCTCCATCAACGTCCTCTCCGCCATCTTTCCCGGCAGCGACGAGGCGTCCTTCTCCCTCGCCAGCTTCGTCGAGCTCGTCCGCAGGGAGTGGAACGACCCCGTCCTCCGCGAGTGCCTCCCCGAGCGCAGGTACGGCGTCACGGAGATCGCCAAGGCGCTCGTCGCCTGGGGCGCGCTGCAGGGCGTCACGGAGGAGTGGCAGGAGAAACGCTGGTTCAAGTATCTACGCGAAATCGACCCCGACGAAGACGCGCCGTACGAGCGCACAAGGCGGGACTCGCGCGTACATGTAACAAAGGACGTCATCTACCCCGGCCACCGCGGGCAGATCATCACCGCCGACATCGTCGACGTCGGCCCCTCCCCTTCCCCCTCATCCCTACCTTCCACCCCCTCTCGCCACCTCCAAGTCCCCCGCCTCCCCCCGCTCAACCCCGCCGCGCCCCGCCGCCCGTCCAACGCCGAGCTCAAAGCGACGCTGCGCCGCCTCTCGAAGCTCGTCCTCGCCGGCTACGGCGGCGCCAGCCTCCTCTTCTTCGGCGTCTCCCTCGACCCGCCCGACCCTGCTTCCTCCACCAACACGTCCTCCACGGGCTTCACGAGCGCCGCGCAGAAGGCCTCCGAGGAGGCGAAGCTCGCGCGCGCGGTGGACGCCTCCGAGCAGGAGGCGTCGTCCGCTCCGCAGGATGACCCCGCCTCACCAAAGTCCCCCAGCACGACCTCGTCGTACGCGTGGTGGGACGTCCTCCTCGGCCGGCACGACCACGAGATCTTCACCAGGTTCGCGGACCACCTCGCCTCGGAGCAGGGCGAGAAGGAGCGCGAGCGCAAGGAGGCGCAGGTGCAGCGCGAGATGGTCGAGGAGCGCAAGCGCAAGATCAGCGCCGTCATCGGGAACGAGCGCTTGATGCCGCGTTTCTGGATCCTGCGCGACCACGGGCGGAGGCAGGTCGTGCTTGTTTTGAGAGGTAACGCAGCACGCTTAACTTGTGTAAGGATGTATGTATGCTGATTGGGCTTGAATTGGAATTTCACTATGAAGGCACGATGTCCCTGAACGAGCTCGCCGTCGACCTCACATGCGACCCCGAGGAGTTCGAGCCCGCCAGCAGCGCGCGCGACGGCGACATCGACGAAGAATCCGACATCCCGGGCGCCTTCCCCGTCGACGCGCAGATGCAGATGCAGATGCACCCCCTCCTCGCCCAGCACCGCCGCCAGCGCACGGCGTCCACTACCTCGACGCTCGGCGGGCCGCGGAAGTACCAGGTGCACGGGGGCATGCTGCGGATGGCGCGGGTCATGGGCGGGAAGGGCAAGCCGGTGCATGTCGCGGTGAAGGATGCGCTGAAGCGCAATCCCGGGTATGGTGGGTGATGATGCTTGGCTGCTGTGGTATTGGATTTGTGCGTTGACTGTGTTGCGCAGAGCTGGTGCTGTCAGGACACAGCTTGGGCGCGGGCGTCGCTGCGCTGTTGGGAATGGTGTGTATCGACGGTATGTGTATTTGGGTGCAGAGCTGTACTGATATAATCGGTACTGCCCACAGCTGTGGGCCGATCCAAGGACATGTCTAACCGTCCCCTCGAGCGGGCTCCCCGTCGGCCGGCGCGTCTCCGTCTACTGCTTCGCCCCACCGTGAGTCCCTCCCCCCCTCTCTCCCTCTTCCCCCTTCCCCCCTCCCCCTCCCCTCATTGACTCCTACTCACCCATTCACCAACAATACAGCTGCGTCGCCGACGGCCCCCTCTCCGCCCTCTGCGCCTCGCTCATCACCTCCTTCGTCTACTCGAACGACGTCGTCGCGCGGCTGTCGCTCGGCTCCGTGCGCGACATCACGCGCGCGGCGGCGTGGCTCTGCGACTCGCGGGACGACGGCTACGCGAGCGTGACGAAGCGCGCGCTGAAGCGCAAGACGGGGTTCGGCGCGGAGGAGGACCATGAGTGGGTAGGTCTTCCCTCCCCCGTCCCGCCTGACCCGGTCATGCAGTAATGTAATGTTATGTGGGTTTAGTTTTTGTCGATACGCAAGACGCTCGAGGCGAACATGCACATGGCGAACATGTACCCGCCCGGCCGGGTGTGGTGGGCCGTGCGCGACGCGGACCTCCACCCGCGGAACCGCAGGTACACGAACAAGGACAGGAACAGGGCGCGCCTGTTTGAGGTGCTCGACGCGGAGAAGGTGTTTGACCAGATTATTTTTGCACGGGATATGTTGAGGTGCGTCTGGCTTCTGTCGCCATCTTTGTTCTCGTGCTGGGCCGCTTACGCGGGTGTCTGGGCACAGTTCGCATTTGCCGCATCAGTATGATAGGGTTCTGCATGACCTCTCGTGAGGGTAGAGTTTGCTATAGACGGCGTTTCGTTGCATGCATTGTACGTTATAGAATTGATAGGTGTACAATGTACATGGCCGGTATGATCCTAGTCTCGTGCATTCGGTTTACCCCCGTCGTTCACAAGGGGAATAACTCAGGAATGGATATCATTTGGGGAGACACTGGCAGCGGCCATACGTACTCTGCCGCAAGGTTACTTGGAGTCTAAGTGACCCTTCCTATCGGACTGTCTTCAAAGTTCAGGGCCATTTTACAACAACGAGGAAATTTCGCGCCATCTTTGAGTGCGGGGACGTACTCATCAGACACTGCGGGCAGAGACCGATGTCCCGCTGGCGTGCATGCTATGAACATGCCCCGGTTGGGAGAACACTTTCCTAGAATGGTCTTTGTTGGACCATGACGTGGAGATGGAGAATGTCCTTTGAATGAACAAAGGCAGATCCACGGGACATTTACTATGCTCTCTAAAAATTAGGGGACATTTGATTCACATTGTTCTCTCATTCTTTATGTCTCTGCCAAGTCCCACTTCGGAGCATGCAAGGAAAGTGTTCTCCCACCTATTTCATGAATGACAAATGTCCGGTGGCGGGACATCGGTGTTTGCCCGCTGTGAGAGTGCCTCAAGCAAAGGCCGCACCGGTCTCTTCAGTCAGACTTTCGCGGCAAAGGCACTGCCGCCGCTGCAAAACGGGACGGGTACATTCGGCAAAGCTCTGACCATTCAGCGGAGAGAGACGGGAAGTAACTGCGTCCAATCAGAGTCCGGTTATTCCTAACCCCCGATCGCCTTGTTTGGCGAGGCCTTTCCCGTATGACCAGCGAAACGGTTTGCCCACGGAAGGTCCATACAGTACAGTAATGTCGCTCTGGCCAGTCTCTAGAGCAATTCAAGACCGGGCGAGGCAAGGCGAGTGAACCGGTGCCGACGGCTGCATTGGATTTGGCCAAATCCTGCAACATCGGAAAGGGGAGGGAGACAGCAGGAGGGATGTTATAAAAGCTCGCAAGGATGGCTGAAGGGGTCGCACCTAGCCTGGACTTACAAGTACGTACGGGACACAAGCGTAGCCGAAGCGGTACTGATCATAACCACGTCTTCGTCTCGTTTAGATCCGTCTCAACTCTATCGTCTTTACGATCCCGCATCCCCGTCCGGCTCCTTATCAATTTCACCTTATCGCGCACCCACCATGCCGTCGAAAATCTCCCGCGTCGACCCTCACTCCCTGACCGACCTCCCATCCCGGGTCCACTACCTGAAGGAATTCCTTCAATTCACCGACGAGGACGGCGCCGCCATCCAATCCTCCGCCCCGCTTCTCAGCGCACTCCTCCCTACCATCCTCGACACCGTATACACTCACCTTCTCTCTTTCGACATCACCGCCAGGGCATTCGTACCCAAGCAGCCCGAGCAGAGCGGGGCTGGAGGGGCCGCCAGTGTGGAGGAGCTCTCGCTCGAACACCCCAATATCAAGCACCGCAAGGACTTCCTGGGGCAGTACTTCGTGAAGCTGGTGAGCAACAAGGATTGGAGCGACGCGAGCCCCTTCTGGTGCTACCTCGACCTCGTCGGCGTGATGCATACCGGCGAGCCGGGCTTCAAGCATCGCGCGAAGAGGCCCGAGCTGCGGGTCGAGTTCATCCATATGGGTCTGCTGCTTGGGTGGGTCGAGGATCTCGTTGCGGACGCGGTGCTCCAGGAGGCGAGCTTGGATCTGCAGACGAAGGCGAAGGTGATCCGGGCGTTTAACAAGCTGCTGTGGATACAGAATGACCTCTTCGCGAGGCATTATGTTGTCGACCCCGCATCGGGGACACTCCCCAAAGGCTCCGAGGCAAAGAAGGTGCGTTTTGTCCTGCTACTCAGCTCCCTTAGGTTGGGCAATTGACAGTTCGGCTTTCTAGCTTTTGCTCTCTGCGTCTTCGGATAACAAAACGCTAGCTATCGCCGGCGGGGTCGCAGCAGCTGTCAGCGCTGCAGTTTGGCTCGTGCGCTCCTTGTGGTCGTAGGATGATACCTTGGAAGCTCTTGTCACTCTGTTAATGTATTATATCGACTGTGTAATATCCGTATAGGTTACGAGCAGGCGCTTATTTATGGACGGAACTCACTACCGTTGGCTCATCTTGCAGTCCCTGAAATGAGTTGGCGGTTCGGATCGTCGGCTTGCTCGAGCCAGCCTCCTGTAGACTCTAACTGACAGAGTCAGGATGGCCAGCACTTTCTTCTACCACAAACTTCAGTCCCGTGTACCATGTCCACTTCATTTGCATGATCGACTCAGTCCAGATTGTTTCCGCAGAGCGCGCGGGGTCGCGGGCGCCATACGGATGATTTTATCGACTTCGAATCAGTATTCATCTCAAAGCAGAGCGAAAGCCTCGATGAACATAGAACATGTTGAACTCGGAGATGGAGGACATGTTAGACCCGGCCAAAATGAGAAATCTCGGGAAAGATACACTCCGATAAACAAAAGCTGACTCTTCAGCCACCTTCACGGTACCGCTCCCGCCGTTCTCAGCGCTGCGTCCCGTCCCATCCCCTCCTGCTCTCTCTTTTTCTTGACTAGCTTACTTCTCACTCGTCCTCCATCATGGCTCCGAAAAACAAGGGAAAGAAAGGCAAAAAGCAGGATGACGATGACTTCTGGTGCGCATCCCCGCGGACTCGTGATCGGGGATTGTAAGGCTCATCTCGCCGCCAGGGAAAACGCAGGCGTTTCGGTTGCGAACAATAATGTTGCGGAAGATGCCTCCGATGGAGAGGTTGCGCCGAAGAAGGGCGGGTTCAGCGGGTTCGCGGCCGCGGGCCTGTCCGTGGAGGAGCCCCCTGATGTCCCGGATGAGGAGGAGGATTTCGGTGGGCTGATGGTACGTGACATGTCATTCGCCCTCCTTGCAGGATGATCGCTGAGTCTTACTATCTATGTACAGTCTACATTGAAAGCATCGTCGAAGAAGAAGGATAAGAAGAAGAACAAAAAGGCAGCGGCCGAGGAGGACGTCGACTTTGCAAACGGAGATGCTGCCGAAGACGCCGCACCCAAAGCGGCACCTAAAGAGGTCACAGCTGAGGAGCTCGCGGACGAGGAGTGGGGTCCGGCGAAGGAGAAGGGGAAGAAGGGCAAGAAGGCCAAGGGCAAGCAGGGGAAGGCTGCGGACGAGGAGGAGGCTAACGAGGAGGCTGCCGGTACGTGTCTCTGTTTACAGTACTCTATGCTCGTACTCATTCACACACCAAGGCACGCCAGAGCCTACTCAGGCCGTTGCCCCGGCAGCTCCGTCTCCTGCTCCTAAGGATGAGGAAGAGGGCGAAGATGGTGAGGGAGGTCCGCGAATACTATCCAAGAAGGAGAAGGAAAAGCTGAAGAAGGAGCGGGAGAAGGTTTGGTCTCATTCTACCTACCGGGATCTGTCGTTGACCGTTGTGGCGCATAGGCTAAGAAGAAGGCTCAGGCCGCTGCCAAGAAAGCTACTGGGGGCGCATCAGCGGAGAAAACGCCGGAGCCGGAGGCTGCACCAGCCGTGGCTGCACCGGCCCCGGAGAAGGAGGAGGAAGACGACGAGGAGGAGGGCGGTGCCGGAGGTGATGCCGCGAAGAAGAAAAAGAAGAAGAAAAAGGGTGCCAAGAAGGAGGAGGAGCCTGCGCCTGCTGCAGGGAAGAAGAAGGGCCCAGCAGGTATCAGTGCGCTGAAGGCACTGATGGAGGAGAAGAAGCGGTTGGAGGAGGAGGCCCGGAGGAGGGAGGAAGAGGAGCGGCTGAGGATTGAGGAGGAGGAGCGGAGGGCGGCTGAGGAGGAAAGGAAGCGGGAGGAGGAGAAGCAGCGGAGGAAGGAGAAGGAGAAGGCTAAGAAGGAGCAAGCGAAGAAGGAGGGACGATTGCTCACCAAAAAGCAGAAGGAAGAGCGGGCGGCTGCAGAGAGGAGAAAGCAGGCCTTACTGGCTAGTGGCGTGCAGATCGAGGGTTTGCAGCAGCCTAGTAGTGGCGCTCCCAAGAAGGTGGTATACGAGAACAGGAAGAAGAAGCCGGCTGTCGCGAGTTCAGGCACCAGGGATTCAACGCCTGCGCCGGAGACGAAACCTTCCACTCCCGAACCGCCCGCGCCTCTAGAGCCCGAAGTGACCAAACCCGTAGAGAAGGCTGATGACGTGAAAAGCGACTGGGACGCGTCGAGCGATGACGAGAAGGAGAAGGCGCCAGCCAAAGCTGAGGGTGTCAAGAGTGATTGGGATGCCAGCAGCGACGAGGAGGAGGGAGAGAAGAAGCCTAGCGCGCCTGCGAAAGGTATAACTTGACTGTTTTCTGGAGAAGCGGCATGACCTGACCTCTCCGTGTAGCAAATGGCGCCAACGGTACTGCTAAAGCTGGACAACCTGCTAAGGCCCCTGCGAAAACTACTGCAGCTGCTGGAAAGGCGGCTCCTGCTAAACCAGCAGCCAAGCCTGCCAATGGAGCGATGAAAGCTGAGTCAGAATCCGAATCTGAGGAGGACAGCGACGACAGCGACTCGGAAGAAGACTCTTCTGAAGAGGAGACATCGTCTGATGAGTCTGAGGACATGACTCAGGCGCAGAAACTGGCGGCACAGAAAAAGGCTGAGGCTGCTGCGAGAAGGGCCAAAGCCCATGAGGAGGCTTTGCAGAAGCGGAACAAGGACGATCTGCGGAGTCCTATATGTTGTATTCTCGGTCACGTTGATACCGGTAAGACTAAGTTGCTGGACAAGGTACGTGTTCAGAAGGCTATAGTCATGAGGAACTGCTAATCGTGGATTGCAGATCCGTCAAACGAACGTCCAAGAGGGTGAGGCTGGGGGTATCACACAGCAAATTGGTGCAACCTACTTCCCCATCGACGCGATCAAGCAGAAGACTGCAGTTATGAACGCGGACGGCAAGTTCGAGTACAAAATTCCTGGTCTTTTGATCATCGATACACCCGGCCACGAGTCCTTCACCAACTTGCGTTCAAGAGGCAGTTCGCTGTGTAACATCGCCATCCTGGTTGTTGACATCATGGTACGTGAAATGATGTGAGTCCTCTACGTCAGCTCTCATCTAACTATTCAATTAGCACGGCTTGGAGCCTCAGACACTGGAGTCCTTGAGGTTGTTACGTGACAGAAAGACGCCTTTCATCGTTGCCCTTAACAAGGTATGACTTGCGTTGCACTGCCTCTGGACGTCTCCCATAACTTCCCCTAGATTGACCGTATGTATGGCTGGGAACCGACGCCGGATAATGCGTTCCGAGACTCCTTGGCGAAACAAAAACGCTCTGTTCAGCGGGAATTCGAGGATCGAGTGCAAAAGACCATCGTGGCATTCGCCGAGCAAGGTCTCAACGCTGTTCTCTACTATGAGAACAAGAGCTTTGCCCGGAATGTCTCTCTCGTCCCAACGTCCGCGATAACTGGCGAGGGCATACCAGATATGATTATGCTCCTCGTCAATCTCACGCAGCAACGTATGTCGGAGCGTCTGATGTACCTGTCTGAACTTGAGTGTACGGTATTGGAGGTCAAGGTTATCGAGGGTCTTGGTACGACCATCGATGTTGTTTTGGTCAATGGTTACTTGCGCGAAGGGGATAGGATTGTGGTCTGCGGTTTGAACGGACCTATAGTCACGCAGATCCGTGCCTTACTGACTCCGCAGCCTCTACGGGAGCTTCGCATAAAGGTGGGCAATTTCGACGATCTCTAGAAGACTGCATCTCACAACAATCGCTCAGTCCGCGTATGTTCATCACAAAGAAGTCAAGGCTGCATTGGGTGTGAAGATTGCCGCCCCAGACTTGGAGAAAGCGATTGCTGGTTCTCGTCTTCTGGTCGTAGGACCTGACGATGACGAGGAGGAGATGATGGAGGAGGTCATGTCTGATCTTACGTCCTTGCTGAATAACATCGACAAGTCCGGCCGTGGGGTCTGTGTACAGGCCTCGACTCTTGGTTCTCTGGAAGCTTTGCTAGACTTCTTGAAGAGCAGCAAGATCCCCGTCTCCGGCATCAACATCGGGCCTGTGCACAAGCGGGACGTCATGCGTGCGGCGACTATGCTTGAGAAGCAGCGGGAACTTGCCTGTATCCTCTGTTTCGATGTGCCGGTAGATTCTGAAGCAGAGCGCCTGGCTGAGGAGATGGGCATCCGGCTGTTCAAGGGTATGCGTTATCTTTACAACATCGAGACGATATAACTGACCATAGTCCAGCTGATATCATTTACCATTTGTTCGATGCCTTCACGGCGTATAACAATGAGATCATGGAGGCGAAGCGCAGAGATGCTGCTCCTCAAGCTGTTTGGCCCTGTCGACTCAAGATCATTGCGGCCTTTGCCAAGCGAGACCCGATTATCCTTGGTGTCGACATCATTGACGGTACCCTGCGCGTGGGCACTCCCCTCTGCGTCGTGAAAGTCGACCCAGTGACAAAGAAGAAGGAGATTGTTGAGCTCGGCAAGATGTAAGCTCGCGTCCTCTATTTTGGTTTTGCGTCTAACGATCATTGCAGCTCTTCTCTCGAGATCAATCACAAGTCGCAAGAGGTGAATCGACTCGGGTTATTAAGGGTGTATCTATGATCTGACGCATGTTTCATTCAGGTGGTCAAAAAGTCGCAAGCTGGCGGTGGTGTGGCTGTTAAGATAGAACACGCTGTCTATCAGACACCCAAGATGTTCGGACGGCATTTCGACGAGAAGGATGAGATAGTCAGCCGTATATCTCGTCAAAGTATCGATGTACTCAAGGTAAGGATTGAAGCTGATCGTTGCGTTAGTTCTTGTCTGACCCGCTGTCTTTTCTTGCAGACTCACTTTAGGGCCGAGGTCTCCAACGAGGAATGGCTGCTCATCAAGGGCCTGAAGTCGGTCAGTAAAATTAGTTTCGTGATGTGTCTTGCTTTCTCTGACACTGTTGGGGATCAGCTCCTTGACATTCCATGAGAGCGCGTACCTCATCGCAACCTCATCGCGCCTCACTCCGCCCTTATCTCTCCATCTTGTCCACACAGTTGTCTTACATAAGCACATGTATTTATACACCCGCAATTTGTGCGATTAGCATCCCTGTATCCTCTTTTCACTGCTTCTTCATCGCTTCTGTGGAGGACCCACTATGTCCGCACCTTCCATCGATACAAAGAAGGACCATGATCACGAGGCCGACGCCGTCGATCAGGATGAGATTCAGCTGGTAAAACTTCTACGGAGAAGCTGGGAAGGACCTTGCGGGGCATGAGGCTGAATTGACATCATCACTTCATTGGTAACGTCGCTTTCTAGTGGACACTGGAATGGCTGCGGGTATCCCTGTCTGCGAACCGTTCTTTTCCATCTGACCTGCCGCCCGAATATGGTGGCTGGTCCGCAATGGGGAGGCGGGGGGCGACATGGGGTTGAGATTACACCGTTAGAACCTGATCAGCGCTCAGACCTGCGTAGGGAAAGCCCCAGTGTATCTTCTAACTTTTGCTTCCTCCCCGGAGGAAGCCATAGCAGAGCTTACTGACGTGCTATTTGTCCCTGTGCTACAGCAAAAGCTTGGATATAAACAGGTACATTTTGGGTATTGAGTTACTACCCTTTCTGTCATGACGTTCTAATTTGCCATGTAGCAATTGCATCGGACATGGCACTTCTTCGAGAGTTTTGCAGCGAGCTTCGCCGCTTTGAACTTTATCGGTGGAGTGAGGTACGATTGTAGTTCATGCAGACGCCATTCTTCGTCTCATGTATTTCCAGGTCTGCCCTCTTCCTCGGGCTTCTGGCTGGTGGGCCAGCGGCAGTCTGGTAAATGGAGCCGAATATCATCCCCACCCCGTCTATTGATTTTCATCAAGGTCGTCGTACATTGTTACCTTGGTCTTCATGTGGATCACAGCGGCTGTGCTGGCAGAAATATGCTCTGCCCTGCCTCTCAGTGGGTCTATATACATTTGGACGGCTGAGAGCGCTGGACCCAAATACGCGCGGTTCTTCGGCTTCATCGTGGCCTGGTGGTCCTGCACCGCTTGGATGACCTTTGCGGCCGGAAATTGTCAGGTACGCTTGGTCCTTTAACGATCTGCAAGACGATGTTTGAAGCGGGACTTTCATCGCAGACCACCGCCAACTATGTTGTCTCGCAGCTTGCCGTATGGGAAGTCAACTTCCCTGGCGGCGTTGGGAATGATAACATCCAATGGCGTGCGCTCATATGGGCCATTGCAGAAGGTCTCTTCTGCGTCGCCATTGCCCTGAATTACATGCCGCCGAAGTGGTACTCCCGCCTGTTCAAGTTCTCCGTCGGGCTTATGATGCTCGACTTCTTCCTGTGTCTAATTTGGCTGCCGATTGGAGCATCGAGGAGTTACGGCTTGCGTACAGCCAAGGAGGTCTTTACTCAGACTTGTGAGTGGTGACTGTAGTCCACGTATAGATGAATGGATCTAACGATAGTGTAGATAACGGCACCGGTGCCCCGGCTGGATGGAACTGGATATTATCATAGTCAGTCGCACTTCCACTCAAGTTACACTAACAGATCCTCACAATGCATGTTCAGTTTGTTTACCGCAGGCACCCTGATAGGCTTTGACGCTTCCGGCCATATCGCGGAAGAAACCAAAAATGCAAGCGTCGTCGCCGCTCGCGGAATCCTGTCGAGCGCTTTTGCCACGGGTATCCTAGGATTTGCGACTACCATCCTATTCCTCTTCTGCATCCCGGACCTGGAATCCGTATTTGCTCTCGACGCACCGCAACCCTTCGTGCAGATTTATGCCCTTGCTCTCGGCAAGGGACCGAGTATCTTCATGACTATTCTTGCCGTACTGGGTCTCGTCATCGTAGGTCACAGTCTTCTCTCCGCCCCTTACCTGCTGACAGGGTCGTATCTAGAACACGAGCGTCGCAGTCGTGGCCGCCTCGCGCCTGGTCTTCGCCGTTGCCCGCGACGGCGTGCTCCCGCTCTCATGGTGGATTGGCCGGGTCACGCCGGACGGACAGCCGCGCAACGCCGTCACGGTCATGTTTGTCTTCGGCGCGTTGATCCTGTGTACCATCCTGCCCAGCCAAGTGGCGTTCACGTCGCTGGTGTCGGCGGGCGGGGTGCCGACGACGGCGGCATACGGCCTCATTGCGCTGCTGAGGCTGACGATGACGCCGAATGAGTTCCGGGGGAGCCATTATCGCCTTGGGCGGTGGGCCAAGCCGTTCTATCTGTCTGCGGTGCTGTTCAACGGGTTGATTGTTGCGGTGAGTGCATATGGTCATCTTTTAATTTTTTCAGTGTGCTGATGGCAACAACGGGTTTGTAGGTGCAGTTGTCCCCGTTTTCGTTCCCGGTCAATGCGGAGACGTTCAACTTCGTATGTCCTCTCCCTTATCTTGTGTAGCGCAACTTTTTATACTTAGTCGTAGGCTGTCGTGATCTTCGGCTCGGTGACTCTATTCGCTGTCCTCACTTGGTACTTTACGCCGGAGGAAAAGTGGTTGAGGCGGGAGCAGATCTTGCAGGCTCTGCAGACTGCTGATGAACCGGAGGCTGGGGCGAGCGCAAGCGCGACGCGTGACTGAAGGTCGTAATATGTGTGGTGGCGAGGGATGGGAATAAAAGAAACTCTGCGTTTGCGTACTTTCTTGGATATAACCTGATGTGTTTTTGCTTCACAGAGATCCTGGTAGCTTGTATGTAGAGCCCGCTGTTGACGTTGTGTCACGCGTCTATCCAATTGATATCCCGAGACCTTCTACTTCTGCTCAATCTCTGCTGCAATTATATCCTACAATGGGATCTATAAAAGAGGTGCTCTTCCTTAATCCTTCTTTATGGTCCCCTCAGCTCCAGAACGCAGCGACTCGAGGAGGTCGCGCAAGCGTTTGCGGAGGTTAGTGACCAGCGGATCCTCGTCTGCTTCTGGCATTGGCTGGGACAAACAGGTCGATAGATGAAGGATGGGTTGTGGCTAAAAGCGCACCATTTGATCTAGCAGATACTATGGATTAAGTGAACATTGAAGTCATGAATGCCGGTGGAAATGTAAGGACAGACCTCTGCTTCATCGATCGTCTGCTGGACGGATTAGCTTCCACAGCTCCGATATCAATGTTGAGTACTCACCAGAATAAGAGGTCCTCTAAAGACCAAGGTCAATATTCACGTGGTGTAACCCAGAGTACTGCATACCTGTTCATGATGCTCTGTAGTTGAATTTGTGGCAGTTGGGTGTGGCGGAGAAATGCAGGAGCAATCACGGCACAACCACAGAGAAGCACGCTTAGTCAACAGATCGATCGGGAGATCGGGTGCGTCACCAATCAGATCAAGGCCAATCCACCCGCCACCGTGTGCATTCAGCGCAAATGCAACCCGCGACGCGTCTCTCTCTGCTTTCCTACTCATACCACTCCGACCAGCATCGCCTACCCTGATGGCCACAGATCCTGTTTTCAAGATCATTCCGGCGACGCAAAAGTATGATTGGGGAAAGGTCGGGCTGAGCTCAAAGGTTGCTCAGTTTGCGGCAGCGTCCAAGATACCCGGCTTCACACTGGACGAATCCGCGCCGTACGCAGAGGTATACACTCTGCAGCCTTCAGAAATGGGATACAATTTGATTTGTGGAACTCATTGTTAGCTATGGATGGGAACACACCCTAGCGGCCCCTCGCGCGTACTCGGCACGGACGAGCCTCTTTCAAAGCACCTTGCGGCGAACCCCCAGCTGATGGGACAGAAGGTCCTCCAGAACTTCGAAGATGCCAAGGAGGGGAATATACCCTTCCTATTCAAAGTACTCGCGATAGAGAAGGCGTTGAGTATACAGACCCATCCGGATAAGGAGACTGCTAAAGTGCTGCACAAGGAGCACCCGGACATCTACAAAGGTGAATTCTGTATTGGCATAGAAGATATATCCTGCCTCACTCATTACCCACAGATGCAAACCATAAGCCCGAGATGGCGCTGGCCATCACGCCCTTCACCGCCATGTGCGGATTCCTCCCGCTTCCCAAGCTTGCCTCCTACATCCGTTCCGTCCCTGAATTTGCCGCCCTTATCCCTACCACAATATCTGCGGCCTTCCTGTCCCTCACTTCGGAGGATCCCTCGAACCCCAAAGTGAAGACCGCACTTAAGGACATGTTCTCCGCTGTCATGACTGCGGAGCCGGGCCTCTTCCAATCACAGCTGCGGGCACTCGTTGAACGGTATAAAAACGGTAACGTGCGGGAGGAGGAGAGCGATGTCAAGGATCTGGTCCTCAGGCTGGAAAGCCAGTTCCCTGGGGATATTGGGGTGTTCTGCGCGTATATGCTCAACTATGTGAAGTTGCAGCCTGGCGAGGCGATATTCCTTGCGGCGGGCGAACCACATGCATACGTGAGCGGAGGTGCGTGCATATTCTCAGCGTCACCTCACTAGCGCACGGATTTTAACTTACCACGAACGCAGACATCATGGAGTGCATGGCCACGTCGGACAACGTCATCCGCGCGGGGCTCACCCCGAAACTGCGCGACATACCCAACCTCGTCTCTGGGCTTACCTACAACGCGTCCGACCCATCGAAGCATTACGTCCGCCCCGCGCCGTTCCCGCGCGCGGACACGTTCGGCGTCGCCATCGACCTGTACGACCCGCCCGTGCCCGAGTTCTCCGTGCTGCAGATTAAGGTACCCGCCGCGGGCTCTGGAGGGGCGGGGATGAGCAGTGAGGACGGCGTCCCCGCGCGCAAGGAGCGCGTGCCGGCCATCGATGGGCCGAGTATCGCGATTGTGACGGAGGGCGGCGGGGTGATGGAGTGGGGAGGGAAGGAGGGGGCCCAGGTGGGCACGGGGGAGGTGGTGTTTGTGGGGGCGGGGACGGAGGTTACGGTGGAAGCGCAGGGAGGGGAGGGGATGGTTATATACTGGGCTTTCGTGGAGGCTTGAGACGGGAAGGATGTGGACAAACTCCATGTATGTAATTTTAGAATGGGTTGAAGCAGGATGTGGAATGGATTCTGTCCATAAACTTGATACAAAAAAGTGGGTCCCTGAGAGTTGAATGCTGTCTGCAACAAATCCAGGCATTACGGGTGGTGGTGAGCATCAGGAAAAGTACAGAGTCTTACAATCCTAGCTGTCCTATAATTGTCAAGCCACAGAATTAGCTAGCCTGCACCCACAATTTCACCTATTCAGTCTTGTATGAGTCCTGCCCTGTATAATAAAGAATATTCCAAGATGAGTGTACAAATGTTTCTGATTCATCAATATCTGGCATATATTGAAGTTAATTCACACCTTATGAGAATCACGCAGGCTCTTATGACCTGTTTGCTATCATGTCCTCAAACATATAAGACAGTTGGATTTTTGATATTGGCCCTATAGCATGTAAGACAATAAGTATGGCTATGGCACAGATGAAAGATCTTAGATGAACTGGAGAAAGTAAGGTTGATATAATCAACCAGGAATTAGGATTACAGAGATGGAGAAAATGCTCTTCAACCTGAAGTATACCTACATATATTCTTGCTCAGACTTCTATGATGTTTGCCACAGTACTGTGAACTCAATGACATTCATCATCACTCTCATATGGAGATCCTTAATAAGTGTACATGCACTGTCCCTACCTATTTACTACTCTGAGTGGCCACCATGGTATGCCATAAAATCTGCTGCAAGTTGGAGATTGTGCTGTAGCTCCTGGGCACATTCTGCAGCCTGTTCAGGGAGCCCAAGTCTTGTAAACATTGATATCGCTATCTCAAAGCACCTGAATGCTGACTCAAATAATGTCTGATAGATGATGATCCTGCCAATGTACCTGAAGGTCATGGCAATCCCAGAATAATCGGATAGCTCATGCCAGATAATCATGGAGGCTCCAACTAGACGCAAGGCATTGTCCATTCCTTCTGGACCCATCCTGAGAGCCACTAGTGCCATGCTCCCATAGCACTCAGCCACACCACCCTTGTTGTTCACCTCCTTGTGAAGTTTCACTGCCTCTTGCAACATTGCTTGAGCTTGGATATGCTTCTTCTCAAAGAGCAAAATGTTGGCTAAGCTCCAGAGGCACTGAGCCATTGAGGGCTTGTTTTTGGTTTCTTTGTAGTAAGCCAGTGATTCCTCCAATTTCTGAACTGCCTCAGTGTGCTGTCTCTGCATTCTCAAACACTCTCCCATGCTCCAAAGGCATTCAGCTATTGTGTCATGACTGCCAACTTGTTTGGCCAGGCTGAATGCTTCTTTTAATTGAATCACAGCCTCAGCAGGCTTGCCTTCCAGTCTTAGCATGTCACCCATAGCTGTATGACATGCAGCCACTCGATCTGGTTGTTGACTCTGCTGATATCCAGGAATTGCCAGTCTGAAATGGGCAACAGCCTCAGCATATTGATCCTGCATGCGCAAAATCATCCCAAGACAGTGGTGGCTCTGAGAAATTCCACTTGTGTAGTTCAGCTCCTGGCTGCGCTTCAATGTTTGTTCAATTTGCTTCTGGGCTGCAGTATTTCTGCCTTGTCTTAGCAATGTGATGCCAGCAAGGACCTCACACTCCACCAGAAATACACCTCCATTCATCTCCACCACAAGGGGGAGGAGAGAATCAAAAAGTAGTTGTGCTTGGGGTATGTTATGGTTTATGAGGAACCATGACATCTTGTATGCTGCCATCAGGATTTCTGCATAGATATCATGTTTGCTTTGGCATGCATGCTTGAGGAGAGCAGTTATGTTCCCAGATTCTCTTGACAGTGTATCATTGAAGTGATGGAAATGTTTCTGGATCAAGGTGATAAAGTAGTTCTCCAGTGCTCTTCTGTGCACTGCACCCAATGGACATTGCTTCAGGACATAGTACTGGATTGGAGAGAGGACAGTCAGGTTATCACCAGTCTTCTGTACAAGTCCTGCCTTCAAGAGGGCCTTGAGAGCCATATCTCTGTCCTCCATATGGGGTGTCATTGCTTCCAACTTCTCTAGACCATCTTCATCCTCTATCTGGGAAACAGCCAATAGGCCATCTGGGAGGCCTGATATCAGAGCTAGGAGAGGCAGAGCATCTTTAGCCTGTTGGACAATCTTGCTCTGCAAGGACAGTTCAATGGAGATTTGGACATTGTTGTGCTTTTCATTAGCAGTATCATCCTGAAGCATGGCAGTTTTCTGCCTTTCCCATTGCCTAAGAAGATGGGACACAGATTCAGACTTTGCCAGATGGGAGACCAGAGTAACTGCCAAAGGAATGTAGTCCAGCTTTTCCAAGAGCCTGTCAAGCACATCATCTTGATGCTGCTGGGTGATGTCAAAGAATATCTTCCTTGAGGCTTCCAAAGATATGGGCCTGAGTTCCAGTGCATCTCCCCAGATAGCCCCCCTAGGAGTGGAATTCCCTCTCATAGTGATAACAAGAGTCACCTGAGGGACACATGTGATCCTGCTCAGGACTTGCACAATCCCCTGGTTATTCTCTGTATCATAATATGGAGTCTCAAAATTGTCCAGAACCAGCAACAGCTGGGGCACAGCTTGTAGAAAGGCATTTAAGCTTGTTAGAATGTCTTGCCCATGCTTCTTCTGGACTGCCAGGGTAGTCAAGATATGTGACACAAGTTGGTCAGGACTGGTAGCTGAATCACAGGGGACAAAGTAGATGTGATCCTTGAAATGATGTTTGATCTGAGGATGATGCAGGATGGCCAAAGCCAGAGAGGTCTTGCCCATCCCTCCAGAACCCAGAATTGCCAAGTGGGTCTGTGTGGGGCCTAATATCTTGTCAACAGCATTTGATACCTCAGTCTCTCTGCCGTGGAATATAGATGGCATTGGTGGTGGAATCCTAGAGAAAAAGATACTGTTGAAATAATCAGCCACATTCATGATCATCTAGATCATGTCTGACCTCTGGGCATTGTTGGTTTGCTCATCCTACAACATGATCAGTTCCAAGAATATCAGCATACCATCTTCCTATAACATACCCATCTGGATCCAGACATGATATCAAGTTTTCTGTTGATTTGGGCTACCCCAACTTGAATATTGATGTCACCGTGTTGCTGAATGATCATTACACGCTGAGTTAGAGATCTAAACACTTTCGACTGAACACCTACAATGAACTTCCATCGTGCATCTTCCAGGTATTTCTTCCAGCTAGCAATCATGTCGGCGTCCAACTTCCCTGCTATAAACCGCTTGAAGCTGCTCCGGGCAGTCATTTCTTCCATACCGCGACATATATCCAACATTTTACTAACACGTTCATGAGGAATAACTGCTTCAAATGACAAGATTAGATAACTCACGACTGTAGATTCTCCAACTGCAACTGCAGGCTCGCACTAATATCCTCGAGTCGCTTCCCCTTCAGAGATTCAGCTAGATCCAGCATCGTCTGAGCAGCAGTGCGCGCGAGCTCATGGCAATCACTCTTGTTCTTTACGGTGCACTGAAGAGGCGTAATCGAACGCCTAAGTCATGTGTCTCGTCTCGGCGAGAGGAAGACATGGACGGCGACGTACCTCAGCCGTATCGATCAGCTTGATTGCGACTTGTAGCCCGGCCTTCACGAACGGCGCATTCATCGCATCCGCAATGTACGCAACCCCGCTAAGGGCTTCCTTTAGGTGTCCTAACGCCACCAAACTTTTCTTAGACTCCTTCAGTTTTGCGGGTGCCATCGTAGCGAGTTCGTGGTCAAGAGTCGAGGGCCAATGAGTCGATGAACCCGACGCTGTGCACTGCTGTATCCTCGTACCCATCGATTCACAGGCTCGACCTCGACCTCGGGCTCGGGCTTGCAAGTGCCGAGCTCTCAGTGCTGTACGCGTTTCCTGATCAACGAGTCCATAATGAGTTGTACATGCGGTCACTGGAGCCAATACGCCGGAATGTGCTTACCGCACAAGAGGCTTACTTCCCAGCAGCATGCTTGAGGCGCCTACTGCGTCGAGATCACTGAAAAGACAGGAAGTTGTGCTTGAAGCTGAATGAAAACACAGAGATCATACCGGAGGGCCAGAATCGGGTTCGAATTCTCAGCGTATCTTCCGAAAGCCACTCAGTCAATCCATGAAGGCTAGTGGGTAGTCCTTGCCACGCCACCCCTGATGCACCTTACACACCATTATGCTGTCAATGGGACCACCCACAGACCGGTCTACGAAGACCTGTAATTTGTACAGGATCAGCCTTCAAGGATCAGAGATGAACATGCGTAGACCGCGAAGAGACGGCAAGCCAGACAATCTATATTAAGTATAGAAAATTATCTCTCTCAAAGCAAGGTCTTCAGACGCGCGATATGCATATCTGAAAGCTTCAGGCTGCAATAATGAGCGAGAAATCGGCAGGTTGAGGACTTCAAGCTTCAAGCTTCAAGATCGAAGTCGACACGCGCGTTCCAGGCGCCTGAACGCGGTCAGTCACGTCACGCCGAGGACCAGTAGACAGGACTCGAAGGACGACGCATCGATGATATTCAGTCTTGCCTGGCTTCAGTCATCTTGCGATTAGGATCCAGTGCTTTAGAATGGGCCTTCTAACCATCATCAGGAAGAACCGACAGAAAGAGAAAGAGATGCGCATTCTCTTTCTGTGCGTCGTCTATTGCTTGAGCAACATGTTCCCTCACCTGTTTTCTCAGCGGTCTAGATAATGCAGGGAAGACCACCATACTAAAGAAGCTCAATGGAGAGGACATCATGAGTGTTAGCCCCACGCTTGGGTTTAATATCAAGACGTTTATCCACGGTGGGTGAGCAATCCATCTGCTGGTGCTCTCGATGGACTCTGATGGCAGTAAATGTGACAGATACACTCTGAATATATGTGGGTGTGCATCAGGTTCATGGCATAGTGAAACTGTGACACGTGAATGCCTAGGGGACGTCGGGGGCCAGCGCACGATAAGGCCTTATTGGCGAAACTACTTCGAACAGACCGATGCCATTGTCTGGGTCGTGGATTCGACTGACCGGTCTCGGATGAAAGACTGCCGAGACGAGCTACATTCGCTGCTCCTCGAAGACGTATGCATCCCAGGCTGACCCCCCTGGCTATATCCATATAGATGCTGACTCAGATATGTAGAGGTTGGCCGGCGCGTCCCTTCTAGTCTTCGCCAATAAGCAGGATATTCAGGGGTCAATGTCTGATGAGGAGATCCGCCATGTGAGGCAGTCGCTCCGTTACGCTTCGTTTGATGTCTGAATAGTGTGCTAGGCTCTTGACCTGGATTCCATTCGGTCGCACAACTGGAGGATATGGCCCTGCAGTGCGGTGACCGGAAATAATCTGGTGACAGGGCTCGACTGGGTGGTGGGTGATGTTGCAGGGCGGTTGTACTACAGCTCGACGGTTGGGGAGGCGAACCGGGCTATGACTGCGGCGATGAAGTAAGGCTTTGGCGATGGACCCGTATTCTTAGGTGCTGATGGAAGTACGTGCATCTCTTTGTTGTATCCTACCAATCGCACATTCCACTAAGAGCGAAGTCGTGGAATAATGCGTTCTGTCCCAGTCTTATCCCGCCGACCACCAGATGATGCAACTAACCCTAACCTCATGCAACGTCTCTCATCCGGGCCTCTACGATTCGCAGCTTCCTGCACGGAGGCACATGATGCGCCCAATCATCCCCACCGTCCGTAAGTGGCGGATCTGGCGGATCCCCCGTAGAAACGACTTCTACTCCGTGTCGGAGGATGGCGACCCGCAGGGTTGCCAGAAGCTACAGAAGCGTCTCCCTGTCAGCTCTAGATCGATTTGATTCAGGCAAGGCACTCACGTTAACAGCTGCGTCAGAATGATCGTAGGAGCCGCCGTGGAAGGCGCTGGTAGCGTCTTTTGCGGTGTACGCTCTCAAGTAGGCCTCCCCGCCTGGGTGTTCGTACACGAATGAGGAGACGTCGTGCACGAATCCCGAGATGACCATTAGCGGCCGCTTCATGGAGGCTTCCTTGACTGAGGAAACACTGCCTTAGTCTTTGATTGAAGAATTCTACATGCGCTCACATTGGTCCCAGCTCCAGATTTCTAGATGCTGGGGGTCGGTACCCCAGCCCCATTTCTCCTCGATGTCATCTTGAGTCCTTTTCAGTTTCTTGATCTCCATCATCAAACGGCATTTTTGTATTTCTGACTCTCGGAATCGCTGCAGATTAGACGCAAGACGAAAGCAGGCGCACAGTGAAATGAACCATTTCGTCGGATCGTATTGATACCAGCTAGATGGCGAGTTAATGTCTCAAGGCTCAGCACGAACTAACCCGATACACACCGAACGGCATTGCGATAATCGGACGGAAATTGGTGGTGAAAGTTGTGGTAGCCCTCACCCAACGTCAAGAATGCGGTGATCAGGTGATCCCGCGGAGTATGCTTGTCGGAATACGGCGTCGACCCCAGCCAGTGGGCGACTGAATTAACGGCAAAGGTACTCTGCTCGGTTATCAGCGTGGTCAACTTCGCGAGCAATCTAAGACTGGGACACTCACATGGTGGACCGCCACGAGCCTTGCGAAGCCTGCGTAATACCACCCGCCCCACCAATCTCCCCATCCTAGGCCGCAAAACGCGACCGGCGCTATCAGGCCCCAGAACGCTGCCAGCCAGAAATACCACCGGTGTTGCCAGGTGATTACGCCGTTGTTCTGTAGGTCTCCCGCTTCGACCCTTCCGGGTCTCACTCGCGGCTTCAGGAGCATCCATCCAAAATGGGAATGCCAGAAGCCGAGATGCGCCGAGTACGGATCCATGGACGTGTCCGTATACCGGTGGTGCGCGCGATGGAGGCGAGCCCAGAAACGGATAGACCCTTGGACTGCACCGGAACCCGCACATGCCAGCAAGTACTGCAGAGGAAGCGATGCCGTATACGATCGGTGAGACCATAAGCGGTGGTACCCCGCCGTTATTCCTGGTCGAGGGCAGTGTTAGGTCTACACAATTTCTGAGCGGCACAAGACTTACCTGTCATGTTGAAGAAATAATAGAAGAGACAGAAGGTCAAGGTTTCACGCCTCATTACCGTTGTTGTCGAGCCGTACAATGCAACAAGCGGCGTCAACACCAGCACTGCGAGGCTAAACCAGCGAACTTCCTTGTGGATGTTTCTCCAGGTTATTGGGGGCCATTGGGGCGCCGAAGCGATGCTCAGGTGGAGGAGTGGTGTCCCTGGCCGTACCGCAGAGTCAAAACTCAACATGCAACTTGTCCGGACGTCCGCGCTTTTGCCACATCTCGGGTCACTGTCTGAAGCACCGCTGCCTCTGCGTCTTCTGCAGATGGCAGAAGTCATCTCGTCGCCTAAGTTGTCCAGGGACCTTGGCAGGAAGTGTCTATCGCAAAGGTGCACACGTCTCGAGTCCAACTTCTCCCTCGTTGATGCCTGGCCTTGCCGTACTTATATCCGACGCAGAGCCGCGTAATACTCGCAGCATAAGCACGGATATTTGCGCCGTCGATATGAGCACTTGGATGCTGTCCGTGTACAGTACACATGTCGGACGGTTATTGCCCACGCGCCTGTGGCGCACGGAGACCGACTCGAGCGAATCGACCTTCGCAATGAAGTAATGTTATATGTACATAACGAGGTAAGGTCAGTCTAGATTGGCTTCCCGACTCGAAGAAGCGGTAAATGGTGGAGGCAAGAGCGACTCCTCCAAATTTCAGTTCATCTCATTGAGCCTCGGGCCCGTACTCGGGCGCACCAGCTGTCTCCCGCCCCGCTACAGGTTGACTCACATATCCTTACTAGACGTGCCGCGGTTATGTATTCCAACAGGCGGTGAGGAGCAGCACCCATTATTTTAGATGTTTTGCCGAATTGACTATTGCAGGACGCCATTCAACTTCTTGGGCGGCCCCTTCGTACGAGATTCAGATCTACCCGGCTATCCAACACTATCCAGCACGAGGCTGCGATTGACACTAAGACTTCCGATCTGTTGCATCAGAAGCGCAGTCGTCGAGATCGATCTGCGACCATAATTATCGAAGTGTCCTATCCTCGAAAGCTGTGCCGTGCAAGGAGAATTCGCTTCAAGCCCAATCCTTGCCACAAATTCGCTAGCTTGCAGGCAGCGGTCATCAATCGAATGACGCAGTAGAGTTAAGTTCAATGGGCTTAAGGCGTGCACATGGCTTGTACTGCTGGTCAGTTATCACCTTGCTGCAAGGAGGGTATTCACATCGACTGAGCACGTACAGATTCCTCACTTCAGAATAATGGAAGGTACCTGTCTTCCTGTCAGCGTTTGTTGCATGCGTATCTGACTACACCGCGTACACGCATAAGGTCCTGATTATACCACCTCCGTCTGTGCCGGCGAGGAGCAGAGTTTAGTAAACCGACAGGCGGCCATCACGCCGGCACCGACCGAGAGCGGGAGTATACTGACTGCTCGCGCAGTCACCCTCTCGATTTTGCAACGTGTTCTGCTGACGCTTGAGTTCCAGATGCGACCCGCACAGTCCGACGGCAGCGTATGTCGAAGCTTACCAAGTTATGAGTCTCAGAGAAATGAGACCCGCTCGCGGTGTCTAGTGCTCATTGCAACATTTGTCCAGTTCCGTCGATCGGATAGTGGTTTCGTGAAAAGACGTTCATTACTCTGCCAGTGGCTTCCCAATTCATCGGAGGACGGTAGCGAGGAATCGCTTGGGCTATTTCATCTGTACTGATGCGTGCCGACCTACGCCGTCTTTTCGTTGTGGTCTGCATTGCTGGTAAGCTATTCCACCCATGACATACGTGCTGTTGGATCTTCTCGTCAAGCCACGACCACTTCGTGTTCTCGTTTATACCACTGAGTCTTTTTCGGATTTCCCCCGAAGGTCCAGACGCTGCGGAGCACACATGAGTTTAGCAGCCTTGACAGCTCAGACAGTGACAGGAGCAGTCAGATACGCGCAGCAGTCAACTGGGACCTGCGACCCTGTGCGGTGTAATGGCCATAGTTCGATGGCTTCCGCAAATGCCGTCTCCGCCGTGGTCGCCTGTCGATCGATAGACATGGGTACTCTCTGGCTGCTCGTTCGTCGCCCAGTTGTGCTGTTCTCTGGGATGCGAGTCTAGACCACCGTCATTGCTGAGGAAGAAATCAGGATGTCCGCCGTCCTGCTCGACAGGCGGCGACGAAGGGGGAGATCTCTTCGTCTTCAATTAGATGCCGTTAACTAACGGAGCTGCAGTATCAGTGCTATCCAAGTCTTCGGTAAGCTCTCCGTGGGCAGCCGGCGGTAACAAGAGGCTTTTGACATATGACGACGGTGGCTGAGAGCGCGCCGTCCGAACGGACAGATGGGTCTCGCAATGTAACCTATTGGATGGACGGAGGGTTTGAGATAAATCCCACAGACGACTACTTCGAAGGCTCGTCGTCATACTTGCTCCCGCCAGCCTTCATAGTTTTCGTAAGTCTAGAACGAACCGAATGGAACGTACATTGCCGCGCTGGATTATCTCGCCAAAGCCAAGTGAGAAGACGGAGCTCGTGGTCGCGACGCGAACATGAATCTGGCGACTCACACCCACCTCACCCCGAGACAGCCACAGATCCCGCCGCCCCCTCGAATCTTCGCGCCAATCCCAGCAGGCTCGCTAATCTCAATCTCAGCCCTGCATTGTCCTAGAGAACCTCTTGCTTCTGTCCGCTCGGACGGATCTTCGCCTGGTCGTCTTCGCCGAGACGACTTGCCTCTGACGCAATCCCTGATTGAATCCTCGACATCCAGGGCAGACGGTGGACGTCACAGCGAACCTACCATGGGCCATGTACGCCGTGCAAGTCGGGGAGCCATCGCAAGCATAGCCGAGGATAGACGCAGATCCGGCAGCACAAGCTGCGCTGCCTAGGTATCCCACAATGATAACATTATCTTCCGCTCACCTCGGATAATTCGTTACTTCACCTACCTAAATCCGTCTGTTCCGCCTCGCGGAATGCTGGGCGCGCGGGCTTCGAGGATAGTCAAGACTTCTCGTGCTGTGAGCACAGGCTGAGATTCGATGTTCGGCGTGGACGAGGCGACAAGCCTACCTGGAAGTACGTCCAGCCTTGATGAGTTCTGCCAGTGTTCCTCTTCGGGCACCGAGAGAGGGTTCCCCGACGTTGGTTTACAGATCCGGGGGGACGTGCGATATCTGGCTGGAGGGATTCGAGTCCGAGTTCCAGCTCGGATGTGAGTTCCGCGTCGGACAGGAAACCACTTTGGAAGGGCCAGATAAGTTGTGTCAATCCCAGCATGGCCGCGTTACCCGCCTTCTCGTAGTGAGATATATTGATGTCTTCATATGCGGGAATGCTCCAAGGCCCAGGCGGCATGCTTCCGCCTTCACACGGAACGGTCCTTGGAAGGAACAGAGAATTTCTGCAGATCTGCGCAAGGCCATGTTAGCCGGCCTGTTTCTGTGAGATTATTTGTGGTGATGTCTCTAAACTCGGGAAGGCCCCGAGCGTCGTGGTTCCGCCTCGGCCAGGAAACAACTTTGGAAAGGACAAGGGAGCTCTGCAGATCCCGTAAGGCTGCGTTACCCACTCCAAGCTGGCAGTGTAGAGCGCATGTACGAAGTTCTTTACACTCGCGAAAGCCGTAAGGCCGCAATCGCGGTGGCTCGTCCCACAAGTCCCTGCGTGCAGGAATGCAGCCGCGATTGCTTCGCTATATCCACACTGTCCGAGCGTAACACTTTGCATTCTCAACTACTTATCTAGACAAATAGAGACGGCATGCGCTCACAGGCTACCACGACGCCTCCCCTTCTTTGCCCGTGACACGTCCACGCGCATCGTGAACGCCACTGGAAAGCCAGCCCGGACGTCGAACTTTAGGTGTGCACCAGTCCCAAGTGCAGCATCCCGTCTTCTCGGAAATTGCCGGTCCGCATACTTGCAGTCGCGGCGCTCCATTCTGGATCCAGCGTTTGGACCACAGAGGCATGCCGAAATCAGCAGTATCGTTCGCGAGATTGAGGTACGGACGATATGGTCAGCATCGAGCGGAGTCGCCAGATACAGAGGGGCGTTGTCGCGGAGTTTCGCTCCAAGTCCGCGAGAGGCCACATCGCACGGATGCAGGGATCGGGAGTCGGGAGTCGGTGCGATGTCATACAATTTGAACGTCCATCGGCAGCAGACGTAGTTTAGAAGTCCTGGGTAGTACCCATGTCGTCAGGGCACGCAGTGAAAGGAATCCCATCTCTGCTTTGTGATTCCGTGAAATCCGCGGCCCCGAGCAAGAATACAATATATCACACAACGCATAAGCAGCAGCGCAAGTAAAAGTTGATCGACTTGTTAGCAGACGGCGGCGCCACCATCAGAAACCAGAAGGATAACACCCGCGTCTCGGAGTGCCAGTCCAGTGTAACATGTTCAGCAGCAGACGTTTGGAATATCACTTTCAGCGATAGACATGGCTCCCGGACGACCAAAGAAGGCCCGGGACAGCCGAGATATCTGTCAGGTGCCAGTCAAACAAGCTGCGACGCCTTGGAGGAGGCCCGGAGATAGCGCGGACACCGAGCTGCCGAGGGGGGTGTCCTGGAGGAGACGTTTACAGGACGTCGAATACCCCGAGCCGTAGCAATATGGGCTGCTGGCTATGACGACACATCAGGTATAGGTACCTTCCGCGGGGAGGGCGGGACGAGTGCGACGGACGCGGACGATGGCTGTATCCTTTTCAGCGTTGTACGGGCCAACTGGGATAGGGCGCGGGGCGGTTTGGGCAATAGTGATGTTGGAAGCAGCGTGCGTTTCTGACGCCGCGGGATATCGCGAGGGGGGGGGGCAGAGTTCGATTGGCAGCGCGTGCGGGCGAGGGCGGCGGGCGGGCCCCTGTAGCAGACGTCACGGACACGAGTCCTGGATAAGAGAAAGCGTTTCCGCATCGCGTGCACCGAGGACAAGGGCAGGGCGATGGAGAGCGTCGGGATCACATTCGATAGTGGGACTGCTCGTCTATAAAGGTGCGCGCGGTCAGGGCCATGGATCACGATACGGGGTGGTTGTTAGATTGCTAAGTACGTCGAGCTGCTCATCGAGCTCTGTTTGAGGAGGTTGGAAGGTAGGAGGATGGCCTCGACTCGGATGTCGAGGGCACGCGCGAGTCGGAGGCGGCAGAGCGTCGGTGGCGAACGTCGGAGCAACAAACGGCGTGCAGCACAGTGTTCCGCGGACATGTAGAAGAGACTGAGGCAGAGGAACAGCAGTAGGCAAGCTGCAGACCCTTCCGCCCAGTTGTCGCAGAGGCATCAGCAGCGACGACGAAGAGGTCCACACCGAGTCCACGGTGGACCTTAGGGACCGGCGTCGGCCCTAACCCCAGTATGGCAGGTGGCCTTCCTGTTTGCTTCCTGCACTCCCTGGCAGTGTGGCCCACCGTCTCGGAACCTAAAGTGCTGCTTTGGTTTGATGATCCAAGTGTCGCTGCGTTCATAGGTTAACGCCACATTAAAATCCAAGCGGCGAAATGACGATGTTGTTCACAAATGACTTGCCGAGATAGATTAAACATAATCTGTGCTTGGTTGATGGAAGATCCAATTCTGTTGCCAATGCTAATGCTAATCAGAAAACGTGGGCTTTGCGGGCCCGCTGCGCCATTGTACAGGTGCGCGCTGCCGCTCGCAGGAACGTTCAACTTGGACACTCGGACGAACGCAAGCAGGCCTTCCATGCGACCCCCGTCTGTCTGCAGTTTACATATGTTTTTATTTTGCCAGGGCTGCCGGCGGAACATGGCAGTATGCAAAGTACGACAGAAGCAGGCTCGTCGAAGCTGCGCCTGCGCATTCGAAGATCGCGCAAAGCCTCGAATCTTGCGCCAGATGCAACGCTCATCTATCTGAGATCGCCGTCCCATCTCGTCCCGTCCGATGTTTTCGTGGTCTCGCTGTCGTCGACGTACGACCGCCTGTCCTCGCTTCCGCTCCACGGCCAGCCACGCCAGACATATAAGAACTGGCAATGCTCAGCCATGTTTCTCCATCGACATCGTCGTCTATCCGCTTTCTGTTTGAAAAGCTATCGCAAAAATGGGCCTGTCTTACTCCTCTGCTAGCTCTTCTTCGTGCGTTCCTGCCCCCTCGCAAGCGCTATCCACGAGGCCTCCAACGCCGTCGCTCGCCTCCCTTACGAGTCCCCGCTCATGGTTGGTATCATTAGGTTAGTACTGCTCTCTTCATTTCGCATCTGCGCAGACTTACAGCCCCGTGCTCCTGCATTAGCACGCAGCTCGCTATTGTCCGTTCTACAGCATTCGATCAAAACTGGCTCGCTCGCGATTCACGATGTGGACGGCTCTATCCACCGTTTCGGCCGGCGGAACAAGTCCCAAAGTAACGACATCACGCTTAGAGTCACCAACGACGAGTTTTGGATACGCGTCGTGGTGTAAGTCGCCGTCTTTCCATAGCCCAAGCCTTGACTTCATCTGACACACCGCATCGTTTCCAGATCCAGCGATCTCGGGTGTACGTGCCTCTCGAGTCGCATTACAGCGCCTAACTGACACATCGCATTGTTCCAATTAACAGTCAGCGAAGCGTACATATACGGCGACGTCGAAATCTCAGATCTCAACGGCGTCATGGAAGTACGTGCGCTGTGATCCGCGTCGGACCTCACTTACTGAACGACTGTGCCCTCCCGATGGACGTGCAGCTCTACCTCGATAATGCAGAGATGATCTCGAGCCTGCCCTCGGCGCTCGCGCGGCTCTCGGCGACGTTCTCTGCGCTGTCCAGCGCGTTCTTCGGACAGTCGAAGGCGCGCGCGCTCGCGAACGTCGTCGTGAGCTACGACCAGAGCAACGAGCTGTTCAAGGTTCGTCCGCGGGTCCAACAGGGATTGTCCATCCGGCTCACAGTGACTGCTTTCGCAGGCGTTCCTGAGCCGCGAGATGATGTATTCCTGCGCGCTGTGGGGTCCTGAAGAGGGCGGCGTCGAGGGCGACGGCGACGGCGGCCGGGACGCGGAGAAGCACGAGGAGACGGAGTGCGATCTCGAGCAGGCGCAGATGCGCAAGATCCACTACGTGCTGCGCAAGGCGAAAGTTGGGTACGGGAGCCGCGTGCTCGAGGTCGGCAGCGGCTGGGGCGCGCTCGCGATCGTGGTGAGTAGTCATCGCATCAGCGCCGCGTCTTCGGGCATTGACGCTGGGACGGACAGGCTGCGAGGGACTATGGGTGTACCGTGCACAGCCTCACGCTGTCCGTGGAGCAGAAGAAGCTCGCGGAGGAGCGGATCCGCGAGGCGGGCGTGGAGGATCGGGTGGTGGTGCATTTGATGGACTACCGGGACGTTCTGAGCAAGCCGGAGTGGGCGGGCTGGTTCGACGCCTTCGTGAGCGTCGAGATGGTCGAGCATGTCGGAGCGAAGGTGAGTAGATGCCTGATAGCGGGAAGGGAACGACGGAGCTCACGGGGAGATGGTAGTATTATAACACCTACTTCAAGGTGATGGATTACGCGCTCAAGGATAAGGACTCGACTGCTGTTATCAGCTGCAGTACTTTCCCTGAGTCGAGGTATTCAGAGTATCAGTACGTCTACGGAAGAACTTGACTTGCGGGCTTATGCTGACTGTATGATTAGGGCGGAAGACTTTATGCGCCGGTATATGTGGCCGAACTCGTGCCTCCCGAGCGCGACGACGCTCGTCAACGCGGCACAGGCAGGCACGCAGGGCCGGCTCATGCTCGAGGGCGTCGAGAACCACGCCGCGCGTGAGTACCTCCTCCCCGCTCTTCAGTCATCATCATGCCTGATATGAATGCGGTTCCGGCAGACTACCCGCGGACGCTGCGCACCTGGTCGAGCCGCTTCGCAGCGAACGTGCACCGCGAGCTGCTGCCGTTCGCGAGCGGCGAGGCGTACGCGGCGTTCGAGCGCAAGTGGCGGTATTTCTTCGCGTATGCGGAGGTGGGCTTCTTGAAGGGGTGGATAACGTGCCATATGCTGTGTTTTAAGCGCAATTGAGGAGTGCCGGGGGGGTTTGGCTTGTCGTTTTCGTACTTTCGTTCTTTCATTCTTTTCCTTTTGTCTATTTCGGCGTACGCTCGCTTTTTCCTCCTGGACTTGTCCGCTTTCATTCTCGGACTTGGTGATACCTGCCTGCAGACGTTCTCTCCCTGTTCTTTTCTTCTATGGACTTCCTTTTTACTCACTCCGGCGATGATAGATTTAGAAGATCGATTAGTAGTACTTAGACAAATAGATGTATCCGTACCCCATCTGTCGTGTAATGATTTCGTTCCTTTCTGTCAGTGTGCCCGCTCCGAGTCGAGAGGACTTTTGAGCGTTTACCACCTGGATTGAATGTCAATTTACATAGGGCGGTAAAGCGCGCGCTTACTGCTCAAGCCGTGGGTCTGAAAATAGACCGCGGACGGACACGAGGAGACAGCGTTGCCCACAAGTTGCCCAGGTCGGCCACGTATCGACTCTTGACCATTGACCACGTACTGGACGAAAGGATGTCTTCCCCCAGACCGGAAGCGGAACGCTTAGGGTCGAGAAGTGTAGTGTTAGCGAACCTCCGCGAGGCGCTGACCGTCGTCGCGAACGTGGCGGACGGCGGGATCAACGTACCTTTCGTGAAAGGAGCGATGCAGATCGCCGTCCAGGTTATCGATGCGGCAGAGGTACGTATGCGCCAGCCGGTATGAAGCAGCGCAGGATACTGAGCTGAGGCTTGTCGGTGTATGATGCAGTTGGTGCGGAAGAACAAGGAGGATTGTCGAGAAGTTGCGGCAATGGCTGCTCAGACGATGCTGAACCTGATCAAGCCACTGCAAGGGAAGGACGAGGGCGACATCACCGAAGCCCTGCGGGATCAGCTGGGCGATCTTCAATTGTGAGTTGCGACTGATGCTTGATCTAGGATCAGTGCTCATCGATGCATCGTGTCTCACAGGAAGCTGTCTGAGGTTTGTTGAGCGATGGAGGACATGGCAAGGCGGAAAAGCATCAAGAGACTCCTTGCTCGAAAAGCAGACAATGAGATGATTGCGAGCTGGAAGGAATTTCTCAGCAATGCACGGTGGCAGTCCTTGGTACGTGTTGAAACCTGCAGCTTTTCTATATTCCTGAGATGAAGAATTTACTGCACAGCAACATGGAGACATAAATACCCAAATGGGCATTGCAAAATCCAACAGAAAACTTGATCATATCAGCAAGAGGCTTGAGATGTTTTCTATCTCAGCTAGGGTATGTGTCCAATACTACTCTCTAGAGATTGGCTAATGATGTTGCAGGATGAACAAGTCCTGGACAGCAGTAGGTGGGTGTCAAGCATAGTAACCTAATAGGTTTTGGCTAATATTCCCTGCAGCATTCTCTTGTCCAGCACACCCCCTCCAATGCCAGCTGTCTTTCATGGCAGAGAGGGTGAAGTGTCAGATGCTGTGGCTACCATCCTGGGAACTTCCTGCATATCACCATCTCATCTTGCTATCCTTGGTTCTGGAGGGATGGGGAAGACTTCTCTGGCTCTAGCGATTCTTCACCATGAACAAGTCAAGGAACACTTCAAGAAGCATATCTACTTTGTTCCTTGTGAATCAGCAACCAGTCCTGAACAGCTGGTATCCCACATTACTAGTGTCCTCAGAGTCCAGAAAGTGAAAGACCAAGACATACTCACATGCCTTGACATTTTCCTGCGAGCTGTGCCTGAGCTCCTCCTTGTCCTGGACAATTTTGAAACCCCCTACCATAACTCAGAAAATACCCAGCAGATTGTGGAAATTCTTGGAAGAATAGGCTGTATTCCCCAAGTGACTATCATAGTCACCATGAGAGGGGATTCTACTCCCAGAGGGACTCTTTGGGGAGTGCCACTTTATGCAGGATCTCTACCTCCAGAAGCCTCCGTCAAGACTTTTGCAGATATCTCACAGAAAGATGCAAAGGACCCAAAGCTTTCTCAGTTGCTGGCCAAGATTGACCATGTCCCTCTAGCAGTCACATTGGTGTCTAACCTGGCCAAGGTGGAGTCAGTATCAAATCTTCTCAGACAGTGGGAGAGGCGAAAGACAGCCATGCTTAAGGATGAGACTGGAAATGCCAAGGACAATAATGTGGAAGTCTCAATTGAGATGTCAATCCAGAGCAAGATTGTGGAGGCACAGACAGATGCACTACCACTGCTGGCAATCATATCATATCTCCCAGATGGCTTGCTGGATCCATACTCTGAAGATACTCACCCTGGAACACAGAAATGGGGGGTCATGACAAGTCTAATGAAAGGGAGGGAGGATGCTGTCACAGCCCTCTCAAGAACGGGACTGGTACAGAAGACTGTTGGTGGTTTCAATACCCTTTCACCAATCAGGCAGTATGTGCTGAAGCAATATCCCCCATCTGAAGAGCACCTGAGGATACTGGAAGCATACTACATCAACCTCCTTTGTGGGTCCCATCCAGAGCATCACAGTGATATCCACCACCACCTGTCAGTTGAGGCTGGCAATGTTATGTGGTTGGTCAAGGACAGGACCCAGAACCAGTCACCAGTACCCCCAGGTTTGCTAGAAGCAGCATACAATATGTCTAGCTTCCTGCATAAACATTTCAGATATGATGAAGCTATCCAGATGCTCCTGCAGGCCCTCCAAGGTTACGAGGAGATAGGGGACAAGCATGGAGTGACTGGATGCCTTGAGAGTCTGGGTGACATTTTCTGCATGATGTCCAGATATGAGGAAGCTGCTCTGAAGCTGCAGGAGGCTCTCCAAGGCTACAAGGAGATAGGGGACACGCATGGAGTGGCAGGTTACTTGTGGAGTTTGGGGGTCATCTTGAAGAATGCTGCAAGATATGATGAAGCTACAGAGAAGCTGGAGCTGTCCCTGGAAGCCTACAGAAGCATTGGGAGTGAGAGGGCCAAAGCTCTCTGTGTTTGGCATCTGGATGAGATCTCAAGGATCAAGGGTGGGGGTGGTCATACCTTGTCATAGAATGGAATTAGATGTGCAATCACTGTCTTGCCTATGGACTTGTCACTTTTAGCACTACTTTCCAGTTGTAAGTATGAGTAGTAGCATTTGTTTAACCAGATCCATGTAGCTTTGAAGGTTTACAGCAATAGCAAGTATGCTTCAATATATCTGACATTCCTTTCATGACACCTTCATGACCATCATGCTCAATCTGTATGATCATAATACTCCTGAATTACAAATGTAAAGCAGTGAATGACTCCCTACCTACCATGCAAATGTCTACTGCAATATACCCTATCTTGCAACCAATCTCAGACTGGAACATTTAGTCTTGTTACCTACAAGCTACCAACTATCTTCCTCCTCATCCTGATTCTCTAACGGCGGCCATAGACCTTCAACTGTACCCGCTTGCCCCGGACGCAGCAGGTGCACTGCATGCCTAAACAGAGCCTCGGCATTGCAAGCCGCATCATCCATGCTCTCCGGGAGCAAAGGCGATGAAGGCGGAGTCACGAGCACGCGTGAAGAAGAGTCGGCTGTTGATAGTCGAGGGTACAGTTCTCGGTGACCGTTGATGGTGTAGAAGACCGAGAACAGTGCCTCGGGAGGAGTGGAGATGGTGGTGACGGAAGAGAGGGTAGCTTGTAGGTAGGGCTTCAGGAGCGTCTCAGCTGAACAGGGGGTCGAATCTTGGCTGTCAATCGGCATGGAGATGTATGCGATGCCTATGCCAAAGGGCGTTAACGGTATGTAGACTATAAGGTGAGTAGACAACAAGACGGGGGGGAGTTACTCACACTTGCCGGCAGGAGTGGACATGGTTCCCTCGCCGGTTAACAGCACAGTCGCGGACGCAGTCGCCGATGCTCCCGGTAGAGATCCCGGCGGGAAGACGAGCACAGCGGTGTCCACCTTCGATTGCGGTTCAGCGTCCGACTCCACAGGTAGATCAGCGTCGGCAGAAGTCAGACTAGGGTCTTCGCTGCCGGCCAATGTCTGTTGCGAAGGAGATGTCGGGAAAATGACGGGCCCGTCGAAGATTGCTATGCATCGAGCAACTGAAGAAGTCCCTTGAGAGGCGTCGAGGGTGTCGGGAGGGAGCAAACCAGCGATGGAACGCAGCTCCGGGGATACATAGTCGGGTGAGGAGATGATCAGGTCGGCTGTCAGGCGGTCTTCGAGGTCATCGAGCTGCAAGGAGAACGCGGGCTCGGTGCCGTCTGGGGGAGAGGACAACTCGATGTGGGTGATGGAGAGGATCTTGCGGCCGAGGATATATACGCCGCCGTGGACTGCTGACGCGCGGCAGAACCCCTGCGCGATCTCGCCCGCGCCGCCGTATTGCCCTACGAGGAAGGGGGACGCACCGTACCGGCCTGAGGAGAGCAGGTAGCGTCTGATACGGTGCAGCGCGGGTAGTGTCGGATCTGTAATCGTCGTTCGTGGGGATAAAACACTCGAGAGACGGGGGACGAACCAAAAGAAGATGTACAGAACGCGAGCGCGTAGGTTATAGCGTCGATGACGTCCTGCTTTAGCGAGAACTTGTTGCGGAGGAAGTCCGGGAAAGGGGTAGTCTCGTTACCGGCAAGCTCGGGCTTGCCTTCGAACTCGCCTGAGGCAAACATCAGGAACCGCATAAGTCGTCTCTTATCAACGAGACTGAGGTCCTTGCTCTTGAAGACATCCTCTTTGCTACCCGGGACGTTTCGCACTTTGCCCAAGCGGTCGAATACCGCGATGCGCTCGAGCAGCTTGTAGCCGCCATAGCGCGACACACCTGAGCCAATGAGAGAGGATGTTGCGGGTCCGTTCGAGGGGATCACAGAAGGGGAGAGGGACAGGGAGTATTGTCGAGAGTTGGGGAGAACTGACCCCGAGCGCGATACCGAGCGGAACTTGGCCCTCTGAGCAGCAGCATATCGTGACGGCTCGGACGCAGAGCTTGAAAGTGTCCTTTCGTCGGCCCACTGAGCGAGCTCGTCCAGAGTCAAGCTGGCCTCATCGCCGCCATAGTAAGGGTTCTCGTCGAGATGCGCTACCTTGAATCCCGCCTTGGACAGCGCCCTGGCAAGAAAGCGTAAGAAACATATTATTTCCTGATTGCAGCGAGCGGCGCCCACGCAGCAGTAATGGATTCCGTCAAGCCAGTCCCGAGGACAATAACCTCAAAGTGCGTCTCCGACATAACACAGACGAGCACTTGGACTTTGCGAGCGGACGCGGTGGCGGGTGGCGGTGCGCTTCAGCTGAGAGTCACGTGAACAAAATTTTAGGAAGTAATTTCGTGAGCCTGCTTCCGCTCCCTCAAGCGTCCCTTGTCTCTTGTCCCCCACTGCACCTGCTCGCCGACAATTTGTTTCACTCATGGCTGTAAAATCGGACAAGAAGGACGTCAAGGCGACAAGGGACAAGGCAAGCAAGAAGGACGCTAAGAAGGACGCTAAGAAGGACTCTAAAAAGGACTCCAAAAAGGACGTAAAGTCCGCAGCTGCAAAGGCAGCGGCACCTGCAACAAAGAGTCCTGCCAAGTCCGATGTATGTCTTCTCTTAGCTATCGCTGCGTACTCTAATGAGCTGGTCGCATAGAAAAAGTCCTCACCCGTCAAGACTCCCGCAAAGCCCGCCAAGAAGGCTGAGAGCAGCGACGAATCGTCCGAGGATGACGTAGGAATCTTATCTTTCTGTCTATGTTCTCATCTCATCCTTTGTCATGTCTAGTCCTCCGACGAGTCGGAAGAGGAGAAGCCCAAGGCTGCGCAGGTGAAGAAGGCAGCACCCAAAAAGTCGTCTTCCGACTCATCAGAAGACGAATCTGAGGACGACTCGGAGGGCTCCAGCGAGGGAGAGACGGCGAAGGCTGCACCTGCCGCAAAATCCAAAACGAAGAAGTCTGCTCCCCCTACGCCCGCGAAGAAGGCTGCGCCTCCTACGTCGTCTGATGACGGCGAGGAGGATTCTGATGATAGCGATTCGTCCGATGAGGACGAGAAGCCTGCTGCGACGAAGGCTGATAGCGAGAGCGAGAGCGACGAAGAGTCCTCCGAAGCCTCGTCAGATGAGGAGTCTGCGAAGCCCGCCGCCTCGAAATCGCCTGCTAAGGCTGCAAACGGTGCCGCAAAAGCCAACGCCAACGCGAGCGACGAAAGTTCGTCCAGTGAGGACGACAGTGAAGAAGGCAGCGATGCGAGCGACTCGGACGAGGAGATGGCTGATGCTCCTGTCAATGGTGCAGCAAAGGGTATGTCTATCCCATCTCGTTCTACATGAAACTAGTATTGACACCACCGCAGGCAAGCGAAAAGCTGAGGACGAGCCAAAATCGACCAAGAAGGTGAAACTCGCCAACGGCGACGCCGCTCCCGCCGACTCCTCAAACAACAACGAGGAAGAAACCAAAACGATCTTCGTCGGCCGCCTCTCGTGGAACGTCGACAGCGACCAGCTCGCGCAGGAGTTCGCCGAGTGCGGCGAGGTCGTCTCCGCCCGTGTGCAGATGGATCGCAACACGGGCAAGTCGCGCGGCTTCGGCTACGTCGAGTTCGCCACCGCCGACGCCGTCGAGGCCGCGCTCAAGATGAACGGGCGTGAGATCGACGGCCGCCCGGTGAACATCGACCGCTCCACCACGGTGAGCAAGGACACCTCGCGCCAGAACCGCGCCAAGGCGTTCAACGACCAGGCGAGCGCGCCGTCTGCGACGCTATTCGTCGGCAACCTCAGCTTCGACGTCACGGAGGACACCGTCTGGGAGGCGTTCACGGAGCACGGCGAGGTGAAGAACGTGCGCCTGCCGACCGACCGTGAGACGCAGCGCCCGAAGGGTTTCGGGTACGTCGAGTTCACGGACGTCGAGTCTGCGAAGAAGGCGTTCGAGGCGTGCAACGGGATGGAGATCGCGGGCCGTGCTATCCGCCTGGACTACTCGCAACCGAGGGACAGCAATGGCGGTGGAGCCCGGGGTGGTCGTGGTGGTGGACGCGGCGGGTTCGGTGGAGGACGGGGTGGTGGTGACAGCGGCTGGGGTGGCCGTGGTGGTGGCCGTGGCGGTCGTGGTGGAGGTGACCGCGGTGGTCGTGGAGGAGGACGGGGCGGTCGTGGCGGACGCGGTGCTCCCCGCGGGGGCGCCCGCACAGGTGGCATCGTCCAGCCTGAGGGCAAGAAGGTCAAGTTCTGAGGATTGGGTACCTTGCTATATGATATCTTGTCTACGATTTGTACACGTCATGTCTCGTTCCACGCTCTCGCTATGTGCTATGGTTATAGTATGACGGCCTCTGCATTCGATGTGGCTACACTGGAGGGTATATGTAATTTATATCGATCGAGTCGATGCTACTACTGCTCGATGATGGACCGCAATACAGTCGAGGTATTAGGATGTCTGTCATAAATACGGGGATCATATGCATAGCATAGTGCGTGATAAAATTAAAAAGTTAATTGGAGACCGATTCATAGCGGTGGATTGCTTCGGTGGGGGACTACGAGTCCGGGGCCGCAGACGGGTCGCCGCGCTTTTGGATCTTGACCGTGCCGGTCTTCTCGAGGCGCTCGAAGAGCGTCATGAGCTTCTCCATCTCCTGCTGCTTCTCCTCCTCGGTCATCTCGGGCTCGGGGTGCTCGACGTGCACGGTGCCCGTGATGGGGTTGATGGGCTCGCCTGTGGGCGCGGTCGTCGGTGCCGTGGAGGAGGCGGGGCGCGGCGGCGCAGACATGATGCCCTTGTTGTAGAGGAACCCGGCGACGTTGCCGTAGCCGACTTGCGAGGCGAGGACACCGGCTGGAATGCATATGTAAGCAAGTGATGTTAGACTGAGGGGAAGGAACGGCTTACCATCGGAGTCGCAGATCGCATAAAGCATCTCGCCGACGGCGTCTTTGAGCCGCGGGTGGTACACGCTCGAGAGCAGGCGCAGGCACCGCCCGAGCATGTCCGCGCGCCCCTCGAGCGGCGCCGTGCGGTCCAGGTCGCGCGGGATCACCCACTCGCGCATCCTGACGCGGCTCGCCTCGTCGTCCACGCAGAACCGCGTCACGAGCGCGACCAGCGGGCTCATGATATCGTCGAGCGTGTGGTCGCCCTCCTTCCGCACGCGCTCGCGCACGCTCGCGTCGTCGGGGTCGACCGCGCCCGGGAGGTAGTGGCTGAAGGAGACCTCGAGGAGGTCGTGCGCGCGCAGGAGCGAGTCGTGCACGGGCGGCGGCGAGCGGCGCGGGGAGGACGGCCGCGAGGAGAGCGAGCGGCGCCCGGCGGAGAGCGCGGAGATCGCGCGGTCAAACGCGCCCGGCTTGGGGCTCGGGGTGGCATGCGCGGGGGAGGCTGGCCGCGAGGACGGGTGCGAATCGGACGTGGAGGAGCGAGACGGCTTGGGCGAGGGAGACGAAGGCGCGCCGAGCCATTGCGCGCGGAGGGGCGCGATGGGGATGGTGATGAGGGAGTGGATGACGTGTGAGAGGGGCGCGGCGATAGGGGAGGGGAAGGTCGGCGGGAGTGTGTTGAAGGCGCGCAGCAGGGGCGGGAGGATGCTAGATGGGTATTAGAACAGGATTGACATTAATGGATGTTACTTACCCGTCGAGACGCTCGCTCCAACGGTCCCCGATAACCAGTCTCTCGTCCCCTTTGCTCGACCCTGCCTCTTTCGAATCGCTCGGTTCCGCCAGCTACAACGTGCCTCCGTCAGCACCTCCGTCAGCTCACCTGAAACCCCACGCACCTTGGGATAATGAGCAAGTAAGTTGAACGTCAGCTTGAGGAGGTCGGTCATGGCCTCGCGGCTCATCTTGGCGCCGGCGAGGATGGAGGAGGTGAGCAGGTCGAGCTTGGCGCCGATGATGTCGACGATGGTGCCAGTCTGAGCAGCGGGGACGTCCTCCACTAGCGAGCAGATGAAGGAGGCGGAGGAGAGGGAGACGGTGCAAAGGAAGAGGATGCGGGACAGGAGGAATATGCGGTCTGGGGAGGTGGATTTCTGTGGGGGTTGTAGCAAGGAGATGGGCGAGATTTAGCTTAGGAACTGAGTGAGGCAATGAGAGGGAGATCGTGCGAACCTCGAGCAGGAGGACGCACGTCCGCGCGCCACCGATGTCGATCCAGTTAAGCCGGCCCTGCTCAACGAGGAGCAGCGCGTTGGCGACGCAGCGCAGTGCTTCGTTCGACACGTCCTGGTCGTCCCTGTACGAATTAAACACGGCGAGGAGGGCGCGCAGATTGGGCGGGGAGGAGATGACCTCGGAGGAGGTGGGATGACGGCCGAGGGTCTTGACGGCGAGGAGCGCGTCGGCGGCGTCTGCGGGGTCTGAGGCGACGAAGGAATAAAAGACTGACTGATGGAAGTACCTTTGGCCGAGAGCCGGGAAGTCTTTTCGCCTGCTGCTGTGGCATCGAGGTCGTTGAGGAGCTCCTGCACGAGCTCCCTGCGCGTGCTGTCGTCTACGGTGGTCGGCGAGGCTGGGCGCGGTTGAGCTGCAGGAAATGCTGTGACGCCCCAGGGCAGATACGCACCATTAGTTATTGACTTGAGTACATTAGAAACGTTGCTGCGGGGCGACGAGTGTGCTAAAGATTTGTAGTCGGAGAGCAGGCGAGACATGAATGCGTGCAAAGAAGAGTAAAAGTCAGAGCAGGGCGTTATAGTCGAGTCGGGAAGGATGTATTAGAAGAAAGAGAAGAGAAGGGACAGCGGGTATTAGAGCGAGAAAAGATCGTTTGCAGAGCTGGAACAGAAGTGCATGACAATGTCGTCCGCCTATCGATCCTATCGGCTTGACGACTGCAACCGGCTACCGGCGGCACTCCGAAGTTTCACCCGACTGCCTCTTTTCATTAACGGATTACAACGCAAGTCTAAACAGGCACAAGGGCGTGTACTCTACTCTACTCGCGAGCAACGACTCTGGACGAGGATGGGATGCGGGGCGTTGCGGGACGGGTCATGTACTTGCACGTAGCCCGGGAAGAACTTCGACGGTGGGATGCCCGACCTTCGTCGACAACCAATGCAGGGCTGCAGACCTTATGCATCGTATGCCCCTCATACGTCTCCCGCTCGGGTTAGCAAGGTGGCACACTGCAACTCAGGCTGTCAGCCTGTGATATCTGGCGCGCAGGTAGTATAGCCTCGTCAATACATCAGCAAAACGGCATGACTGTCTAAGCGAAGCTAAGAACTTATCTCAGGCACATAAGTACCCAGTCTATGGTCTTGAGTCATGGGGGCCCACCCCCTGAGCCCAGCACCGAGACTTAGCTAAGTCCTTGGATAAGGTGCTAAGAACACTCAGGCAAGAAATAAGTGGGGAGAGAAAAGCAATGTGCTGGCACCACAGAGATTCAAACCAGCATCTGCCATACCCACACCATATGATAAAACTGTTGCACTACAAGGCCACACTAGTTAGTGCCCAGAAACATTTCATGATGGACCCAGCCTTTGCCTTGAATGATAGCAACTCCTGAATTACGAGTCTCCGCCCTTGTCTAGTGCTACTGGTATACATTACATGTACATCTATGATCAACAGAGCCATGTATATTGCTCTGCCGACCCCTACAGCATCAGCTAAGAAACTCAGAGAGTTAAGAGCTAAGGAGCTCGGTAAGGGCGCCTTATCTGTACTTATGGGCATTGCAGTGTTCACAAGGCATTATATTGGTTTATACTTTTTTCCCTCGTTTGCTGATAGCCATGTGCTATACCACAACAACCACATGTAATATTCTTCTGCACATTGTGTGAAATATATGTGAAAAGGTCGGGAGTCTATTGCTGTGGTGGGGTAAACAGAACTGTAGAAGCCACATAAATATGAGAGACTTCGCAGAATTCAGACCATGGGCAAGTATTTACACTAGATTACTAAGGTACATCAGATGCCATGCAAAGCAGTGGTCCTCTTCCCCAAGTTATTTGTGGCCTGTGGCTAAGGCTGAGCTCGGCATGGGCACTGCCACAAATGAATACACCTCCGCGGCAACCTTCCTCCGCCACCTCTTTACCATCTCGTCGACTCATCATGAGGCTTTCAGCCGCGCTGAGCCTCGTCGCCTCGCTCGCCCTCGCAGCAGCCGTCCCCGTGCAGTCCGTCGAGCTCACCGTCCTCAACCCCGACAACTTCAAGCCCACCATCGCCGACGGCGTCTGGTTCGTCTTCCTTCTCATATTACGCAGGTAGTGTCACTGACCTCCGAACAGGCTGATCGAGCACTTCTCGCCCTACTGCCACCACTGCCGCGACTTTGCCCCGACATGGCAGGAGCTCGTCGACCGCACGCAGGCGAAAGCCGACCCGGGCATCCATCTCGCGCAGGTGAACTGCGCCGTTGACGGAGGTGAGTTTGATGCACGTCTCTTGGTCCCGGTGCTAAGGAAGGGTATACTAGACCTATGCTCCGAGAACGGCGTCAAAGGCTACCCCCAGATCAACCTCTACAAAAACGGCAAGTACGTCGACCAGTTTCGCAAAGCCCGCTCGCTCGAGCTTCTCGAGGAGTTCATCGCGCAGCACGCCGAGCCCACCAGCAAACCCATACCTCCAGCACCTACCACGACGCAGGCCCCCACCGAGGCCCCGTCCCCGCCTCCGCCGGTCTCGAGGAAACTCCCGAACCCGCGCGGCGCCGTCCTCAGCCTCACCGGCAACACCTTCCAAGACGCCCTGAAGGACGGGCCCCTCTTTGTCAAGTTCTTCGCGCCATGGTGCGGCCACTGCAAGAAGCTCGCGCCCGTCTGGGTCGATTTGGCGCGGCACATGGCGGACAAGCTCACCGTCGCGGAGGTGAACTGCGAGGAGCACTCGGCGCTATGCAAGAACCAGGACGTGACGGGGTACCCGATGTTGTACTTTTATCCTGGTGGCGGCGCGGCGAAGACAGAGTATACGGGCGGACGGAAGTTGGAGGCGTTGAAGGCGTTTGCGGAGAGGGCGGTCTCGCCGTGAGTGTTTATACGTTTTCATGTGGGGTGAGGGATGCTGATGTGATGTGAGGATAGGGCGGTACAGGAGATCGAGTACGACAAGCTGCATCAAGTCGTGGAGGAGCACCCCGTGTTCTATCTCCTCCTACACGCCCCCGAGGACACGCGCACAGTCGTACGTTACCCCTTCCCCCCTACTATCCCCTTCACCAATTTCCGGCCTCCATAGAACGATGTCACGCAAGCCGCGCACGTCCTCCTCGGCTCCCCGCCCATCTACACCTCCTCCTCTCCCGCCTTCCTCACGCACTTCTCCCTGCCCGCCTCCTCCCTGCCCATACTCCTCGCACTGAAAGACCACGACCCCACCCTCCCTGTTTCGACCTACCACCCGCCTGCAGCCAACTCCAAGCACACCACCTCAATTGAAAACACCCAGCGTTGGCTCCTGTCCAACCGGCTGCCCACCACCACCGAGCTCTCATCGGAGTCCTTCCAGGCGATTATGAAAGCCCCGCACAAGCCGCTCGTCGTGCTCGTCGCCGTCCCTGACACGCAGGACGCGCAGACCATCCGGAAGGTGCGGGATATAGGGAAGCAGTGGCGCAACCGCCAGGGCGCGGGCGACGTCGTGTTCACGTGGATGGACGCGGGGCAGTGGGGCAAGTGGCTCAAGAGCATGTACGGGATCAGGAAGGGCGACCTGCCGGGCGTGGTCATCGCCGAGCACGAGGTGCGTCTATATATCTCTCGTGTGGTGTAATTGTAGGTAGCGCTGAGGCTGACTGTTTGGGTAGAAATTAATGTACTACGACACGGACGAGCACGGGCACAAGATCCAGCTCGAGGCGGACAGCATATTCTCCGCGATTGACGGCGTGCGCAAGGGCACAATCCGCGCTAAACACTCAGAGAACATCGTCGAGCGGCTCGCTCGGGTGCGTCCCCAAATCTCTCCTTATGTCCTTCTCCGTACTCATCCTCTCCTTAATCTAATGCAGTACCTGAATGCGAAGATGATAGCAGTCGAATACTACGTCTCCCACCACCCCTGGCGCACACTCTTATTCGCGGTTTCCTTCCTCTCGCTCCTGGCTCTGGCCGCCAAGCGCTTCCTCGCTTCAGACAATATCTACGAATACCGCGAGCACAAATCCAATCGTTTAGATTGATCGTTCCGATCCCTTTCTCTACATGGCTGGGTGCGCTGTCGCTGTATCTATCTAGTATACATGTATAATGTAACATTATAATCTACACTATCATAAGCCTCGTAAGTCGAATGATCACTTCGGATCGAGCAAGCAAGCTAGAAATACAGCGTAAACGTCTCGTGATGAGTCAAGAGGGTGTGAGATGCGGTTAGTGACTCTCAGTCGCAGCACTGCCGGAGTGCACGGAAGAGGCGTCGGAAGCCCAGGGGGAGACAGAGTCGTCGAGCATGATGCCACTGATGCGGGCGTAAACGGCGGGAGGGTATTTTCTGCACGCTGGGTGAGCATGGAAATCCTGACGTTTTGAGAGGTATACTCACCGAGACTGCAACCGTTCTAATAGTGCGATGGCCCGATCTCTGTTACCGACGCCCAATTCCGCCCTGACCATGGCTTCCCAGGTGGAAGGCTAAACCATGCATCATTAGTTAGTGGACAATGAAAAGTATAACCGAACCGCATACCTCGCGATAGACCGGTGTTGATGGTAGTTGACGATTACCGTTCAACGAATAGGAGACGTGATTATTTGGAGCAGCGACACCTTCTGGTGGGTCAACGAGACCTTCGAAGACTTCGCGTGCTCGCTCAATGTCGCCTCCAGCCGCGTAACCCTTGATGATCAAGTTGGCAATGTATGCGGTCATGTGTACGTTAGACGACTTGAGCCGTTGGATATAGGGGGTGAGCAAGTCCGTGCGCCGGAGGGTGACGAGGACGTTGATGATGGCTTCATAAGCAACGGCATCTGGCAGGGGGGTACCAGAGCGCCTAGACGCGGGGTGATTCGCGATGGACTCGAACACTTCAACTGCTTTCTCCAGGTTCTTCTGCACACAGCCCCAAGAATTGATCAAGGAAGCCCAGTGTGCACCAGTGACCTCAACAGATTTATCCGCGACAAGACGCTCAAAGACGCGCTCCATCGCGGCCACGTCAATCGGTTCAATAGTACCGTATGCATCCAACAAGAGCTGGCAAGGAACATCAGTATGCAGGTGATAACCCGACAGCAGCTAGCACGCACCTTGTAAGTATGAGCCGAAGGCTGGATATGCGCATCCAGAAGAGCATTGTAGTAGAATAACGCCTTCTCACGATTAGGCTTGGTGTGAACGTACAGCTGAATCATGGTATTGTAAGGCGGCACACGGGGCTTAAAGTTTGCCTGTGAGATCATCTCCTGGAACAATTCCTCGGCGGAGGGAGCATCACCGACACGGCAGCAGGCAGCGATGACAGCCCCGTATGTAACCGAGGTTGCACGGTGGCCCAGCGTCCTCATCTGGTGGAACAACTCGAGGGCGTAGTCCGCCTTGCGCGCTTTCGCCAGCTTCGAGATGATGGTGTTGTACATGTACGTATTCGGAACCACGCCACGGACCTGAGCTTCTTCGAACAAAGCCAGAGCATGGGCAGCATCATCGGTAGTCTCCTTCACAGAAGATATCATTGAGCCGTACGCATCGGCAGACGGTACACCCCCATGCTCCAGGATGCGGCTACGATGAACATGCGCAGCATCAGGGAAGCCCGCCTGCGCCAAAGCGACGATCATCTGATCCTCAATCTGGAACCACGCCGCGGATTGTGCCTTTTTGTCATGTTCCAGAGCGGCGAGGTACTTTTGAGCCTCGGCGTATACGGACTGTACCTCGTATATTTTTCCGTGCCGACCCAGTGCATTGATTAAACGACCGATGACTTCAACCGAGGGGAAAATGCCTTGAGCAGCACTCTCCTGAAAGCGAGCGAAAGCAACGGAAGGAGTCACCTGCGGGTGGGAAGGATAGAACTCCCCGACGTAGCGAGTGCAAGCCCGGTCGACACGTGGCCGTTTCGTAGCAGGAGAAGCAGGAACAGTCGGCATTTCAGGGCTGGTCGGCGGTGTGAGCAGAGCGTCATCTCCCAGAGCTCTGACGAAATCATGGTGGCCTGACTTGCGCAACAGGCCTCTGGCTGCTGCAACGCCGCCGGGCTGAGCATACAATGTCTCTACAAGCGACCGGCGCACATGCTCGCTCATGGTGGCAAGGTCGACGCTGTGCGTGGCAAGATCCTTGAGAAGGTCCTCCAAGGATACCGGAGCAGACACCGGCGTCTGTTTGGTACGCACAAGCTGGACGGCCGCGTAGAGGAGAAGCTCCCAATCCCTCGAAGTAAGGTCGAGGGGATGGCTTGCCGTCTTGGCGTTAGCGTAGGCTCGGAGGTACCGCGGGGCCGTCTGTGCAGACGGGAGGAGGGAGACGTGGTCGCACAAACGCGCGATTCTCAGCGCCAGATCGATACTCGGCACAGCAGCGTCAGGACGGTCAACTCCGAGAATACGATGTGCACTGCTCCCCGCTGTCGCGCGGAGACAGGCGATTGTAGGAGCAGAGACCTGCGTAGTCTGCATTTCCTTCTCCCGCGAGGCAATCCACTGCTCCACTATGTCAACTGCGCGCTCGATATAGCCATACCTGACGTATTGCCCCACAAAATCTGCGAACCTCTCTGCCAGTGGTTCAGCAGCAGCTCGAGCCACAAGTGACAGGTCGGTATTGAGAATGACTTCGTTCGCCACGAAGTCCATCAGCTCAAGGGCCTGTTTCCTATCCAACTCGCTGCTCTCAAGGTGGCGCAGATTCGCCTCGAATACCATTTCCCGGTCGTTCCAGCGCACCTGGACGACACCCGTGTTGTCGTCCTGCAGCAAATGTTTGAAGAGTCGGTTTAGATCGTTTATCCGCCCCTTCTCGACCAGCGTCTCGAGCATGATGTTCCAGGCCACGGCGTCCGGCTTGCACGTCTTCGACGAGGCCTCGAGAGGGTGCCGCGTAGCCATGTCCTGTAGCAGCAGCTTGTCGAACCACGCGAGCGCGGTGTCGACGTCGCCGGACCGGATGAAGCCTGAGATGACCGTGGTGAAGGTAGCCGAGGCGGGAGGAGGCACGTCCGCGGGCCCGTAGTTCTCGCCCGACTTCGAGTCCATCATCTGCGCCAGGAGCTCGATGCCCTTCTCGGGCATCTCACAGCGGAAGGACGCTTCGATCATGCTATTCCAGATATTGAGCTGTATCACGCGTTCCCCAGCCGAGCGATCCTTCGTATCGAGGAACCATGGCTGCTCTTGCTCCTCGTTGATCGACCAGTCGATGTGGCCGGCCTTGGACGCCTTCAGGAACTCAGTGAACACGTCTTCCGCACCGCGCAGATCGCCGAGGTCGGTGAAGATGGAGATGAGGTAAGAGTACAGCGGAGGGCTGGGCTTGATATCCTGGCGTTTCTCGATCTGGTTGAAGATCATCAGGGCCGCGTCGAGGTTCGCGTGCATGGCCGCACTGCGCATCAAGTTCCGGTACAGCCAGGGCGGGAAGTGCTCGGCCATGTACTTGAACGTGCACCCAGCCTCGAAGAGGGACATAGCCGAACCAAAGTTGTTCTCCTCCCGGAGGGCAGCGATGCGACGCTGGTCGACAGACTCGGTCGCGACCTCGGACCTGCCACTCAGCATGCGCCGCTTCGCGCGGGATTCGAGCGTCGCGATTGTCCGCTGCACCTCAGCGTCGCGCACCGTCAGCGCGCTCAGCAAGATAAGGTAAGTCTTGAAATTGGGCGTGATGGACCGGTTCAGCATGTCATTGTACGTGTCGATCAGGAAGTGCAACGGCTGCCCGCCGCGGCGGCTGTGGAACAGCGCGTCGAGAGCGGCGTTGAAGTGAGCAATCGTGAGCCCAGTTTCCTTTGCGCGCATAGCCTGGACGATCGTGTAAGCCTGAGTGTAGTCGCCTGACGTAGAGGCAGACTTGAGCGAATCGATGATGGCTTCGCTCTCGCTCTTTTGCAAAAGCTTTTCCGTCACGCTTTCCGAGGACTGAGATGAAACCGAGGGGACAGGAGACAGCGGGCGTGGTGACGGTGGACGGCTCCGAGGGGAAGCAGGGCGAGGTGGGGGAGGTGCGGTAGACACATCGTGTTGCGAAGATACAGCTGCTGCAGTAGAATTCCGGCGAGAAATGACACGGGGCGGGGTGGGTATAGAGGGTGTCGTGTTGAATACAACTAACTGATCTGAGGGTTCTGAGCTCTCCGGCGCATGGATAGTGGAAGAAAGGAATGTATGTTTGCGCCTGACGTGCATCTGCACTGTGCGCAGCACGCCCAGTGCCTCACCGCGTTCTCTACGCCCCGGTCCCGAGTGTGAAAGACTTTGACTACGTCCCCGACCTTTCCCTGACCCTCGGACAACCGGCCGCGGCGGTCTTAGGTCTTCATCGTCACCCTGGGAGAAATCTCCGTCTTGTGCTGCAGACGTGTTCGCTTGCGTGACGGCTCGGCCCGCGCCCTGTCGCAGAAAGCACGAACACAGAGATTATTACATGACAATTGCAGAACAACCCACACTACATACCTGGTAGCCCGAGTAGAATCGACTACTCCCCTGATACTTCCCACCGGGCCCTGGCCCGTTTCCCCAACTAGAACTTGACGCGCCATTCAAGGTAGTGAGGCCCGTCGCAGGATTCGAAGACGTCTGCAGCTGCAGCACATTGCGAGAGAAATATCCAGTCTGATTTTGGACGACAGCTGCCGCACGGGCAGTATGGTGCAGGAGATGGTTAGCAACTTTCGGCAGCATAGTTGATCATGTATGCAGACAGGGGGTCCGACAGATAGTGGATGGGACCCAGACGCAAGCAGGCCAGAACAGCACGGAACGAAATTTGTTGGGCGTGCCGTGCACTGCAGCCAAGTTATGAGCCCGAGTGTGCCGAAGCCGACGCGTAGAGTCACGGCGTCGCTGCCAAATGTGGTAAATTTGCAGTGCTCGGAGCACTTCGGAGGCTCATCAACACCCCCAGCCGACTCTCTCCGCTCACTTACACACCATCCGTGGCCACCCGGCAGCAATCCACACCTGCTGACCGCCATCCTTGATACAAGGTGGCTCTGCGCAAATATGTGGAGAACGTACGGTAGTTATTCCGTTGTTCCTGGTGCGTACTACCTCCCCAGGAATTCCTTATGATTGATTAAGTATCTCCTATGTTCAACACAGAGACCCATGTAGTAGAGCATTTGTTCATGCGAATCCAACTGAACCGCGGTAAAGGCCGCTCCCACATACGCATCAGCGACATAGGAGTCGCTGGAATGCCCATTCCTGCAGAACATGGCAAACTACCATGTACCTTCCAGGACAGCGCTACTTTAACCTTGCCGTGCTGGGATGGTTTTCAACGTAGGTTTAGGTTGCGAGATTCGGGGCGCCCCGTATGCTATACAATCTGCCCGGATCTGCTGACATCCTGGCCTCACGGATGGACGAAATGCACGGCTCCGCTGGGGCTGCATGTCCGTTGTCACACATTTGGCTGGCTGGTGTATCTGCCGTGAGTATCACGCGCTTCGGTACTGAAATATGACCATGGGTCAGTTCGTCGTTACTCATTCCACCGCTCTCCTTTGGAATTGACACATTGATAACATGCTTCAGTCAATCATAGCACGGTTAAAGCACTAGCACTCCTGACAAATTATAGACCAATCGTCGAACTGCGACTGCGTTTCTGCACAGGTGAGACTCACGCTGGACGCGGAGCTCCTAAGGAGTTGCACGGCCTCAATAGGATAAGGCCATTCCGTCAGAGCTGCTCAAGTTTGCCGCATAGTGAGTCGTAGCCTCCTCCAACCCCACGCGTCGGTAAATGTACATCGGTTGGGTCTCTTGAGCAATCAGTCCATGGGAAATGTATGATGCACCTATACACGCGAGCTGTCGTCTAGTTTGCACTTCGCTTCTTCGATACGAGCCGGTCGTCTCAATTATTTGGTCACTCTAAATCCGCGTGTGCTCCGTCGATAGTACGATGTGCGCCCTCACTTGAAGATTTACTTACTCGTGGTCCGTGATACTGTTCGAATAAAAGAGATGGAATGGTCGGAAATGCTCGTGTACTCGCGGTGGAAGATCGAGCCGTCGAGGACCATCCTTCTCTGACATATCCGCTTTCGGACAGCTCTTCATTGCTTACGTAAATGCCTAGGTTAGGAGTGTTGCCACAACTGCGAGCGGGCCACCGCACAAGCAGGCTCCTAAACCACCCGTCCTTAGCGTTCGCGCTCCTCTAATTACTAGGGCAGAAGTGAAATATTATGTAAGAAAATGTATTATATGAGAATTACCGGATACAGAACGAACAAGAGGAGGAGAACGCTATAGGACGGCTGGAACAAATCGTCTCCCCGAGATCACCGAGTCTGACTAAGCATGCCAAAAACGGCAGTAGCTGAATTGCTTCAACAGCAGTGGGTGGGCAATTGGGGTCATATAACATAGTTGTATGAGTTCGAAGCAACTTATAAGACATTCAATGAAGCTCTCAGA